GTCACGTCAAAGCCAACGACCGGGAGCACAATGCCAAGTTTTCATACGCCGTAAGTGTGAGGGGGTATCGTGAAATGATAAATAATACGTCCACGTTTTGTAATCTAATCTAATGTAATTTCATACTTTTTTCTTTCTTAGGACAACCGCATCAAAACCTCAAAATACAACTTCTTTACTTTCCTGCCCATGAATTTGTTCGAGCAGTTACAAAGAGTTGCCAATATTTACTTCATAGTGCTACTGATCCTGCAAGTAAGTCTGATATCACGCAAAAAAAGTGATGATTTTGTCACAATATTTACTGCAATAATCCTAATCTGTTTTCTAGTTAATTCCTCAAATCTCGTCTCTGTCCTGGTTCACCACGATCGTGCCTCTGGTGCTGGTTCTGGCCATCACGGCGGTCAAAGATGCGACGGATGACTTTGTGAGTTTCTCTGTTTGTTTTGTCGATTTGCGTTTTGTTTTTGTTATTTGATTTTTTTTCCTTGTTGCAGTTTCGCCATAAAAGTGATCGACAAGTTAACAACCGCCTGACTCAAGTTCTCATCAAAGGAAGGTACTTTTCCAAATCTGTGTGTGTGACGCTGGAGGCAATATGAAGCTAAACAGTCCCTTCTACAGTTTACAGAAGGAAAAATGGATGCGTATTCAAGTTGGCGATATAATCAAACTAGAAAATAATCAATTAGTTGCTGTAAGTTGTACATAGAACAACATTGTACAAATAAGTGGACAAAAATATTCATAACGTTTTTTTCCCACAGGCCGACCTTCTCCTCCTGTGCAGCAGTGAGCCTTATGGACTGTGCTACATTGAGACGTCAGAGCTTGATGGGTACATGTTATTTAGCAGCTATTTAGCAATCAATTGTTTTTTAAAATTGTTTTTTTGTTCAAGAAATAACAAATACACAGTATGCGGGGGGCACATACTGATATAAAGAATCCAATTTTACATACATAAGGGATGCCAGAGAAACAGCGCATCTGTCATAATGTCAAAAGGAAAATATCCCAAAACTCAGAACTGCAAAAATAATATTTCATAGAACTAAATACAAATGAAAATCCAGAATAAACACAAAAAGTAACCAAAGAGGGACAGGAACAAGGAGTGAAGGAACCGATGACTGCCAATTTGGACACAGCCGACTGTAAAGAAGGAACACACAGGGTTTAGATTCGCTAACGACTAACGAGACACAGGTGAGACACATGGGGGCGGGGCAGGTAATCAGGAAACAGGAAGTACAACTAAAGAAGATACAGGGGGTTAGCAAAATACAAAATAAAACAGGAAATAAATCACGACAACGTCAGAATACAGTCACGTGAACAAGTCCAAGGAATGAACATAATGGGTATATTTTTTTATGGACGAAAAAACAAATACTGCTGTAAATTGCAAAGAGTGACTATAACTTGATTCTGTTTGCAGTAAATATATAAGAATTTCCAACAAAAACATTGGACGTTGTTTCCTTACATGCTGAGCGTGTAAGGACAGGTGTGTCAAAACAACTCGGCATTTAACCTGCCCTGCGAGGCGTGTGTAGTGGGACATTCTTACCAAATGTTTAGTCATTTAGACCACAACAAAACCAAGTTGTTGTATAGCGTTTTTAGAGCCATGTAACAAGCTCATACCGTCAACAATGCAAAAAATGAAGAAAAATAAGTCAAATATTGAGCACATTTTTACTGCCTTGAAACAATATCTGCCAAAGGGACAAGCAAAACGATCTTGTTTTAAAATATGCACAACTAAATGGCTTGTCCCATTGGTATATCTTTGGTAAATTAGGATAAAAACAATCGATTCAAACATTTATCACCTCATATTTTATATTTTTTTGCAGCGAAAGTTTGGGCTTTTTCCCTCGCTGCATTCCTTTATAAAGTTGTGCTTGATAAGTTTAAGCTTTCAATTGTTTATATTGCTCCATGCGGATAAGCGTGCCGTTGTCCATTATAATGAGATTTGAGTGAGTCCTGGATGTTCTGCACTATGACTTTAGAAGAACAATTTTGAAGTCAGTTTGTGTTTTGATCCTTTTATCGAAAAACTCTCCTGTCCTCCCCGTGTCTAAAAAACAAACAAAACAGGGGTCTAAACAATACACCCACCATTCCCACTGTTATTACGGGTCAACACACCTTTTCAATATGAGTCAAAAAACACAAGGTACCAGTGGGAAAAGCCTGATATTTACATCTCTTTTCGTTAATAATATTCTTTCTAGCATCGCACATAACTCAGATAAATATTTGAAATGATCTGTGTAACAACTCATTAAAACTATATGTCAACAAAACAATAATTTTTTTCTGCAGTGAGACCAATCTGAAAGTGCGACAGGCTCTGACGATCACCTCCGAGCTCGCAGACAGTTCCAAGCTGATGGACTTTGACGGTAAGATCGGTCCTATCGATGAGCCAGCATTTGCCTGTTTACTTATTGTAGATGGTACGTTCTCAGGGGAAGTCATTTGTGAGCCGCCGAACAACAAGCTCGACAAGTTTACGGGGACCTTGCTGTGGAGAGACTCTAAATACCCCCTTGATAATGAGAAAATGCTGCTTCGAGGCTGCGTGCTCCGGAACACACAGTGGTGTTTTGGGATGGTCATATTTGCAGGTGAGATTTGAGTTCAAAGTTTGAATCGTTTCATGACTTAGAGGTTGAATTACTTTGGCTTTATTCAATTTAGTTTTGTAAGATAAGATAAGATAAACTTTATTGATCTCACAATGGAGAAATGTACATGTCACATTTGGCATAGATAGGATCACTCAGGGTGTGCAAAAAGACAAGAAGTGTGCAAACATGTTAAAGGGTTGAAATAAAGTCTCTTTTGTGCAGGATTTTATTATGTACAATAACAAATCAAAGTGACTATAGCAGTGCAGCGGGAGGAGGCCCAGGGGAAGACCCAGGACATGCATGTCTCTCAGCTGGCCTGGGAACGCCTTAGGGTCCCCCTGAGCTGGAGGAAGTGTGTGTCTGGGCGTCTCTGCTCAGACTACTGCCCCTGCGACCCGGCGGCGGATGAATCGGAAGAAAATGAATGGATGGTTTTAGCAATGCAAGTTTGTCAGTCCTTGTGCAGGTTTTTAAAGTGACTTATCGTACAGTCTGACAGCGGTGAGGATGAAGGCCCTGTGGTCTTGCAGTGAGGGTGTCTCAGACCTCGTGCTGACCTAAATCACAACAGTAGTTATCCCGGAGGACTTTACAAAGCTGTTGATTCGCCAACACAGATCGGAGAATTAAACAGTCTCTAAATGTTGTTGAATGTCGAGGGTCCTGGATTAGACCTTCCTGCATCGGCAAGAAACACCTGTAAAAACCCAGTGGGAGGAAATGAGTAACCTCGGGGAGCCCCACAACGAGAGAGGGATTCGCTTCCACAGACGGACGTGCTGTAGATCCAGGAATCAAGCCGTATAACACTGCTTATAATAATAGTACTTTTCATTCTTACACTATATTCACAGGTTCACAAACAAAACTCATGCAGAATTGTGGGAAAACAACTTTTAAAAGAACAAGTATTGATAAGCTGATGAACACGTTGGTTTTGTGGGTAAGTGTGGTACAAGTGCAAGAAGAAGTCACAAACTAGAAATAATCGTGTCGTTCTGGTAGATCTTCGGGTTTCTGGTCTGCATGGGCGCGGTGCTGGGGATTGGAAACACGGTTTGGGAAAGTTTGTTGGGCAAAGACTTCCATGTGTTTTTGTCGACGGAAGACTCTCAAACCAACCCGGTCTTCTCAGGGTTCCTCACCTTCTGGTCCTACATCATCATCCTCAACACTGTGGTGCCAATCTCTCTTTATGTAAGGTAAAGCTTTGACGATGCAACTACTGGACTTACGTCGTTTTCCTTGTGATCTGTATTTGACTAATTCATTTTCAAGAAACTTTTGTTTTTTACTCCTTATTTTAAAACCTAAACATCTGTAGATTCTGTACTTTATTCTTTTTACATGATCGGCTAAATCATTCATACATTGTGGTTATCCATGCTTCTAAGTTCATTGTGATTTTTGCTGCTAATTGTATATTTGGTGTACTTGTTTATAGTTGTCATTTTAGGATTTTTGACTATTTTTTTATCATTCTTTTTTGTAATGTATATTTCATCAGTCAAACATTAATCAATAACAACATCAACAGACAGTACAAGTATCAAGTATTTGAACAAAAAAAAAGAGAAAAGGGGAAAAAAAATAAAATAGATGGTATATATAGATCTAAAAAAATAAAAACAGAAGAAAAAAAAAAGTAATGACTAATGCCTTTACCTATTCTTACTTTTACAACTTGTTTGCACCTTGAAATAATTCTGGTTCATTCACTGTGGTTAGCCATGCATCTAAGTGTGAAGTTAAACAGGATGAATAATGTCATGTCTTTGTGTCCTTTGCTGTTTCCACCTCTGATCTGCTGATTATTATTCTTGACAGTGTTGAAGTGCTGCGACTCGGACACAGTTACTTCATCAACTGGGACTGGCAGATGTACTTTAGTGCCACGGACACTCCGGCTGAGGCCCGGACCACAACCCTGAACGAGGAGCTGGGTCAGGTCCAGTTCATTTTCTCTGATAAAACAGGAACTCTCACTCAAAACATCATGGTTTTCAGAAAGTGCTCCATCAACGGACAAACATACGGTGAGTAAACTGCACAGCGGCCTTCTATATATTTATATATTTCTACCTACAGTTGGGCTTGAAAGTTAACACACCATTTTTTGTTTTATTATTATTATCTATAGTTCAAAACAAAGGAAGGTTGCTCACCCTTTATCTGTACTTCAGTTAGCAAGTTTTCCCAATGTTTCGTTCTTCATCCAAAGAACTTTCTCAAGGGAATGAACGCTCAGACGCGAGTTGGAGATTTATAACCTGTGGGTGTGGATAGACACCTCCTGATCCTGAGGCTAACTCATTAACATATCTAAGGTCCGTTAAGATGTGGTAGGGAGCAGGTCTAACGACTTTACCAACATCATAGAGAAAATTCAATTGGGCCACAATCGGCTGTAAACCTCCACCTCAAGGCCACCAACCACACCTTGAACGACACGGAGGTTAAAATTCAGGCTCGAGACAAAAATTGGTTTGAGAGAGGGGTGAAAGAAGCCATTTTTATGAGGAAACACAAACCTTCTCTTAACAAAGGAGGAGGGTTAAGTTTGTTTGGCCTCACATCTATGACGACGTCCTAACAACAACGCCCTAACTATAGATAAGGTCAGTGACATAGCTAGTTAGCCCTAGCACACCTAACACACCTTAGATGCATGACGCTTTTGGGACTGGCGGTCATGAGAGTGGCGAGGGCTTTCACTGGTACTTTAAATATAAAAAAATCTACTTATTTGACAATAGATGGCTACATAAAATCACTAACGAGGATTGAAAAAAAGTGTTGTGTTATTATTCACACAAAAATATACCTCTGGCTGGATGTGCACTTTCTATCGTTGTTCTCAAGGTTAGAGCTTTTTATTTATTTATTTACACACAATTACATGCAGTTAATGACAGTTATCAACAGCACAGTACAATCTGTGTGTTGTTTTCTTTTTGCAGTCTCCCCTCCCTGTACCACCCCCCTCCCCCAACCACCCATCCCTCCCACCTTCCCCATTTTGTCTCCAGGCTGACAGACAAAATATAAATGATATGAATTATGTTTAGCTGAGGATAAAGAGTAAATGAGTAAATTTGTAAAAAATATATATACATATCCATGAAAAAAAATGAAAAGAAAATCCACAAAAAGCGCAGGTAAAAAGGAGATGAATACAGATATAATGACACATCTTTCTAATGGCTACTACACAATGTTAACACGTCTTCTGTGTTGTGTTGTGTTTCTTAGGCGATATTTATAATGAATTTCATCAAAAAGTTGAAATCACAGAGGTAAAGCTTCCTCACAGTACAAACATTCACTTTAGTGGATTTACTCGTTCCATTGAACCCTCTACGCGTCCACAGAAAACAGCCTGCGTGGACTTTTCCTACAACCCGCTCCGAGACACAAAGTTTACATTTTACGACAATCGTTTGGTGGAAGCTGTGAAACAAGAGGATCCTTCGGTGCAAGAGTTCTTCCGCCTGTTGTCCCTTTGTCACACCGTCATGTCAGAGGAGAAACAAGAAGGTACGTTATGTCTATTAGTAAGAAAATAGTTCATTAAAGCTGGGTACCTACATTTTTACAATCCTGTGTGGAGAGAATGGAAAAATATCTGAACTCTGATTTTTTTTTTTCACAATCTCTGGATGGTTTTAAGGCCTTACAACTCCTGCCCGGCTCCTCCATGATTAACATTTAGAATAGACCGACTGAGGTGTTTTTGTCACAGGTGGTCTGGTGTACCAGGCCCAGTCTCCGGACGAGGGGGCGCTCGTGACGGCAGCAAGAAATGTGGGATTTGTTTTCCGGTCTCGAACCCCGGAGACAATCACGGTGCAGGAGATGGGACAGTCTGTGACCTATCAGCTCCTGGCCATCCTGGACTTCAACAATGTTCGCAAGAGGATGAGTGTCATTGGTCTGTCTTCTCTTATCAAACGACTATTTATTTGAATTTAAAGAAGCTGGAGTCTGTAACTTTTACCCACAAAAAAATTCCGTGAGTACTATATTGTGAGGCGTAGTAATCTGAGGAGCGCTACGTCCGCGCACTAACTTCTCTCCGTACTACAAGTCACGCTGCTTCTATTGACGGAAGTGAGCGAGAGAGAAGTCTCCGGAGAGAAGTTAGTGCGCGGACGTAGCGCTCCTCAGATTACTACGCCTCACAATATAGTACCCGTTTTATCCGCTGAGAAAATCGACTGTTACATTTCTGTGTTACTATACTTTGCAGTGTAACACGTCACGTAACTATATACATTTAATAGGGAACACTTGGAAGAGTTTGGTAGCTACCTTTTGGGTACTATACAGTATACAGAGGAGGCTGCGTTTGTCCTCCCGTTTTTGCTCCGTTTGCATGACAGAGCGCACGGACTAAGACCAGACAGGTACATATTAACTAGTCTAAGGTAAGGTAAGAACATATGTCAGTATGTAAAAACGGTGAACTATTCCTTTAAAGGTGTCACAAGCTGGCTCTATGCTTGTGGAAAATTAAGGGACAGACAGGTAGGGTCATTTACATATTTATTGTAAATAATGAAAACAACAAACAAAAGTTAATAATCCGTGACAAAGGTACAACTCCTCATATTTCACAAATAAGAGTAGGAGTTTATAAACTTTAGCTTCTGCCTATTCCTTTTTTCAGACCATATATTTGACCTTGTTTTCCAAGTGAAACGTCTGAAAAAATAAATAAAGTAAGTAAACTGAAACTGTTAAAAGTTCATGTCATTTAAAATAATGACATAGAAATAAACTAAATCAAACCAAAGTAATCACACTTTCAAAACTAACAGCTGTCAAATTGACTGCTGTGGGAGTTCTAGTGTTAAACAAGACTCTTTCTGTTGGGGCAGACCTAATGTATTCATGAAGTTAGGTACTCCAGCTTTAATGCGACTATAAGACTGATGTGAGGTTGTTTTGTGTGTTCTTAAAGTTCAAAACCCTCTTGGTCAAATCAAGTTATATTGTAAAGGCGCTGATACTATTATCTTTGAGAGACTACATTCATCAGAATCGGAGCTCATGGAAATCACCTCAGACCATCTCAGCGTAAATATAAAAAATACTATTACCAGATGATTTTCCCCCATAAACCTAATAGTTGTAACCCTTTTGAACCTTTGCTTGTGACTAGGAGTTTGCCGGAGAGGGTCTTCGGACTCTGGCTCTGGCCCACAGAGACCTGGACGAGGGTTATTTTAAAGAGTGGATGAAGAAATATCTGTTTGCGAGCACCGTCATCGAAAACCGCGATGATGGGCTGGCAGCTCTGTACGAGGAGATCGAGCAAGACCTGAGGGTAAAGTAGATTCTTGTCCATATCCAATCCACTTCCAATCCACTTTATTATAAAACATGTTATTTTGTATACTTTGTAAGAAAGAGCCATTTGAGTGCTCCTTTTTTCCATTTTTCGGACAGCTCTGAATGTCATCCCCCCGACCCATAAATAGACTAGTAAAGGGGTAGAATATGAATGAATGAATGAATGAATGAATGTCCGAAAAAACTGATCTAAAGAAATATTGTAAACACTTTAGACTAATTAACACATATTTAGTGGAACTTAGCCCTGACCCAAATGGAAAATTGTCAGTTAGATGTAGAATAAGGACTAATACATGATTATATATACCACATTTCATACAGTTTCCAAAGTGCTGCACAATGGAAGACTAATTAAAACGAATCCATAGTTAATGTATAATAGTGAAATATGTTACGGATAAACATGGAAGGACCCAAAAGCAGAACTGCAAAATAATATATAAATGAATAAATGGCACAAGAAAATGAGTCCATCCATCCATCCATTTTCTTCTGCTTCATCCGTTGCCGGGTTGCGGGGGCAGCAGTCTAAGCAGAGACGCCCAGACTTCCCTATCCACACACACCTCCTCCAGCTCGTCCCGGGGGACTCCAAGGCGTTCCCAGGCCAGCTGAGAGACATAGTCCCTCCAGCGTGTCCTGGGTCTTCCCCGGGGCCTCCTCCCGGTGGGACGTGCCCGGAACACCTCCCCAGGGAGGCGTCCAGGAGGCCTCCGGAACAGATGCCCGAGCCACCTCAACTGGTTCCTCTCGACGTGGAGTAGCAGCGGCTCTACTCCGAGCTCCTCCCGTGTGACTGAGCTCCTCACCCTATCTCTAAGGGAGCGCCCAGCCACTCTGCGGAGGAAGCTCATTTCGACCGCTTGTATCCGCGATCTTGTTCTTTCGGTCATTACCCAAAGCTCATGACCATAGGTGAGGGAGGGAACGAAGATTGACCGGTAAATCAAGAGCTTTGCCTTTCGGCTCAGCTCCCTCTTTACCACAACGGTCCGATACAGCGACCGCATCACTGCGCACGCTGCACCGATCCGCCTGTCAATCTCACGCTCCATTCTTCCCTCACTCGTGAACAAGACCCCGAGATACTTGAACTCCTCCACTTGAGGAAGACGGCAAGGCACCTTTTTCCGGTCGAGCACCATGGCCTCAGATTTGGAGGTGCTGATTCTCATCCCAGCCGCTTCACACTCGGCTGCAAACCGTCCCAGTGCATGTTGTAGGTCCTGGTTCGTTGGAGCCAACAGGACAACATCGTCTGCAAACAGCAGAGATGAAATCCTGTGGTCCCCGAACCGGACCCCCTCCGACCCTTGGCTGCGCCTAGAAATTCTGTCCATGAATACAGTGAACAGAACCTGTGACAAAGGGCAGCCCTGGCGGAGGCCAACATGCACCGGGAACAGGTCTGACTTACTGCCGGCAATGCGCACGCAGCTCTGGCTCCGGTCATACAGGGACCGGACGGCCCTCAGCAGAGGACCCCCAAAGGACACCCCGGGGAACACGGTCGAACGCCTTCTCCAAATCCACAAAGCACATGTGGACAGGTTGGGCAAACTCCCATGAACCCTCGAGTATCCGATGGAGAGTATAGAGCTGGTCCAGTGTTCCACGGCCGGGACAAAAACCACACTGCTCCTCCTGAATCCGAGATTCGACCATCGGCCGTAGCCTCCTCTCCAGTACCTTGGAGAAAACCTTACCAGGGAGGCTGAGGAGTGTGATCCCACGATAATTGGAACATACCCTCCGGTTCCCCTTCTTGTAGAGAGGGACCACCACCCCGGTCTGCCACTCCATTGGCACCGCCCCCGATCGCCACGCGATGTTGCAGAGACGTGTCAGCCAAGACAGTCCTACAACATCCAGAGACTTTAGATAGTCAGGACGGTTCTCATCCACTCCCGGCGCCTTGCCACCAAGGAGGCTGCCAACCACCTTGGTGACCTCTGCCAGGGTGACAGAAGTATCCGCCCAAACATCCTCAGCCTCTGCCTCCGGAGCGGAGGACGTGACGGGGGGATTGAGGAGAACCTTGAAGTATTCCTTCCACCGTCCGACAATATCCCCAGTCGAGGTCAGCAGCTCACCCCCCGCACCGTACACGGTGTTGGCAAAGAACAGCTTCCCCCTCCTGAGGCGCCGGACAGTTTGCCAGAATGTCTTCGAGGCCGACCGATAGTCATGCTCCATGGACTCTCCGAACTCCTCCCAGTCCCGGGTTTTTGCCTCTGCAACAGCCCGGGCCGCGGCACGCTTGGCCTGCCGGTACTGGACAGCTGCCTCAGGAGTCCCCCGAACCATCATGGCTCGATAGGACTCCTTCTTCAGCCTGACGGCATCCCTTACTGCCAGTGTCCACCACCGGGTTCGGGGGTTGCCGCCGGGACCAGCACCAGAGACCGTCCGACCACAGCTACGAGCCGCCGCATTGGCGATAGAGGAAGAGAACATGGTCCACTCGGACTCTATGTCCCTGGGAGAAGCTCTCCCGAAGGTGTGAGTTGAAAGTCCGTCTGACAGGGGTCTCAGCGAGACGTTCCCAGCAGACCCTCACTACACGCTTGGGTCTGCCAGGTCTGACCGGCTTCCTCCCCTGCCAGCGGATCCAACTCACGTCCAGGTGGTGATCGGTTGACAGCTCCGCCCCTCTCTTTACCCGAGTGTCCGAAACACGCGGCCGAAGGTCAGATGATACAACAACAAAGTCGATCATCGACCTCCGGCCTAGGGTGTCCTGGTGCCACGTGCACTGGTGGACACCCTTGTGCTCAAACATGGTGTTCGTGATGGACAAACCGTGACTAGCACAGAAGTCCAATAACTGAACACCACTCGGGTTCAGATCAGGGGGGCCGTTCTTCCCGATCACCCCTCTCCAAGTGTCACTGGCGCTTCCCACATGGGCGTTAAAGTCCCCCAGGAGAATGACGGAGTCCCCGGGCGGTGCACTGTCCAGTACTCCTCCCAAGGACTCCAAGAAGGCCGGGTACTCTGCACTCATTCACCGGGGAGAACTCCAACACGTGGCGGCTGAGATGGGGGGCAATGAGTATGGCCACCCCAGCTCGCCGCCTCTCCCCGCGAGAAACACCAGAAAAGTGGAGCGTCCAACCCCTCTTAAGGAGTTGGGTTCCAGAGCCCAAGCTGTGTATGGAGGTGAGGCCGACTATCTCTAGTCGGTACCTCTCAACCTCCCCCACAAGCTCGGGCTCCTTCCCCCCCAGTGAGGTGACGTTCCACGTCCCAAGAGCCAGATGTTGGGTGTGCGGACTGGGTCGCCGAGGTCTCCGCCTTCGACTGCTGCCCAGTCCTCTCTGCACCGAGCCGCCACGGACCCCTCTGCAGGTGGTGGGCCAACAGGAGGGACTGCCCACGTCGTCCTTTCGGGCTGAGCCCGGCCGGGCCCCGTGGGCTAAGGCCCGGCCACCAGGCGCTCGCTTTCGGGCCCCGACCCCAGGCCTGGCTCCAGGGTGGGGCCCCGGCTGCGCCATTCCGGGCGACGTCACTTTTTCTCTTTTAGTGCGATCCATGATGGGTTGTGGACTGCGCTTCGTCTGACTCGTCACCTGAGACCTGTCTGCCATGGGAGACCCTACCAGGGGCATGAAGCCCCAGACAGCATAGCTCCCAGGATCACCCGAGTACTCAAACTCCCCCACCACGTTAAGGTGGCAGTCCAGGGGGGGAGAAGAAAATGAGTTCAAAAGTTAAAACAAGGAACAAGACATGGCATAAAAACAACAATGGACCGACACCAAGAGGACAGGAGCACTGGGTCTAAATACACACAGGCAGGAAGTAAAACTCTCAACAAGAGCACATACTGTATATACATCAAAATAAATTAACAGAACGTCCACACCATGACACTTTATTTGTCAAAAATAACTTCCGATTTGCCGTTGAAGCTTTTAGGAGCCACAGCGATAGAAGACAAACTCCAGGATGGTGTCCCAGAGACCATCTCCCGCCTCGGTCTGGCTGATATAAAGATATGGGTGCTTACTGGGGACAAACAAGGTGATATCATACACTGGAAATGAATGAATGAATTATGGTCAGATTTGTTTTTGTGATAAAGTTGACTGTTGTTATTGTAGAAACGGCTGTGAACATCGGGTACTCGTGCAGGATGCTTCGAGACGATATGGACGAAGTGTTCCTTATTTCAGGCAACTCTCTTCTGGAAGTGCAGCGGGATCTCAGGTAGGCCCTGACAAGCGATCAATCTCAAAAAATGGAGGTGTTCTAATGATCGACAACTATTTTAGTAACGGATTAAGCGTTTAACTGCCCTATACACACACTTTTTGTGACATTTTCATTTCTTAATAACTTAAAAGTGATAAGAGATAGATGCTTCGTGTAAATTGGAGAAATTATAAGGATGGCCCAAAGTTAATGTAGGAAATAAATGCACATGTAGACAATCAACACAGAGGAACAGGACAGGAAGTAAAACTAAAACAAAACCACAGAGAACTAAAGTCAAAATAAAACCAGTTAACAAATAATCCAGACCATGACAAACTGTAAATGTCACTTTTTCTGATAAGAAAGTCAGAAAATATTTAAATATTTGGCTGATAGAATTTCCTCAAGCTCTGTCAGTTTTATTGGAGCCATAGGGGACGGCGCCAACGACGTCAGTATGATCAAAAGTCAGTTACCTTTGATATCATATATCAAAGGTAACATTAACCCTAACCCTAACCAAATGTATTTAAAGAAATAGCTGCTAGATCAAATGATTGTCAGAATCATTATTAGTTACAACTCTAATCTCAGGTCCAAGTCTTGTGTATACTGTATGTGTTTGAATATGATGGAAGTAATATTGTCCTCTTGATGCAGCTCAATACCCTCTGTCTTGAATCTGATGTAACTTCCTTGTGTCTGCAGAAGGGCTAAAGAACATATCGTGGGATGGAGCCAAGTGAGCAGGGTCTCAGAGGTGGATTCGGAGCCGTACTCTGGGTCTGTACTCGAGGAAATGATTATTCCAGAGTATGCTTTGGTCATCAATGGGAACAGTCTGGTAAGATTGAATGACATTAGCATCTGTATCTGAATCCTCAAAATAAACCTGATCCAAATCTACTGGATCTGTATTTTCTGAATGAGCATCAGGCCGACTCTTTGATGATAGTTTTCGTTCTAGACTGTTGCTCTGCCTCCTCCCTGTTATGTTACTGAGTCGTTGCTGGGAGTCGCCTCCAGAGAGGACTGAGGGTTAGGGACTTGATAGTTCTATTGTTGTGCTCATAACCAGACAGGTATCGTCAATACAATAGACACTGAAATTATTATATTTAAGAGTAACATTAACCCCTTTAATGGTTTCCTCAACCATTTGGTGGATCACTTTTAGAGTCACTATATATACTTGAAGCTTGGAACCGAAATCTATCTCTTTGGTGCATCTCTATCACTTGGTTGTAGACACTTTTACCATCAAGCTGCAGCTCAACCATTTGGTAAAACCCTTTTAATTAAAAAAACTTGGGAGTTAAAGAATAAAAACTAAGTATTTGTTTTATTAGTACCCACATCTTGGAAACTATATACATATAATTTTTGTTTACATTTCTTTCTTCATGGAGTGAATATTAAAGGGTTAAAAGGCATACAGTACGGGTTTAACCCTACCACAAGACTTTCTCCACCGACTCCCACTGATGTCTGCTGACGTTGTGTCCTTGGCAAGACACTTCACCCCCATTGCCTAGAATGAGTCTGGTTGGTGGTGGTTGCCTTGCTTCTGTCAGTGTGCCCCAGGGCAGTTGTGGCTACAGTAGCAGTGTATCATCACCGTGTATGGAGTGAATGAATAATGACATATGAAGCGTCTCTCCAATAAAGCGCTGTATATTATGTTGTAGGTGGGAGATTAATAACTGTTGATTCTCTGATCTGTGTAGGTGATTTCAATGGTTTTGTTAAGCCCTCTGAGATGACTGCTGTTGTGATTTAGGGATATACAAGAATAAATTGTGTTGTATTGTAATACGTCACCAATGAATTGCACTATTCTCTGTGGAATGAGAATAATTCAGATGTAACATAAGTGTCTCTATGCCGTGCTTTTCAGGCCCATGCACTGGACCTCAGTCTGCAGTGTGTGTTTCTGGAGGTGGCGTGTCTGTGCTCAGCTGTGATCTGCTGCAGAGTCACTCCGCTGCAGAAGGCTCAGGTCGTGGAGCTGGTCAAGACACACACCAAGGCTGTCACTCTGGCCATAGGGGACGGCGCCAACGACGTCAGTATGATCAAAAGTCAGTTACCTTTGATATCATATATATTCATTTTATTTGCGATCAGCAGAAAAAACACTTTGGAATAGATTTGCAAAAGTCCCCAGATGAGTACATGAATACAAGATAAAAAAAAACAGAAAGAAGTATGTATCTGATTATTTCAAATCAAAAGGAAAAATCAGTGGAACATATCAGCAACAACAGTATGGATGTGTTAGCAGAGGTGAGACAGCAGAGAGAGGAGAGAGACAGAGGTGAGACAGCAGAGAGAGGGGAGAGAGGTGAGACAGGGGTGAGACAGTAGAGAGAGGAGACAGTAGAGAGAGGAGACAGGTGAGGCAGCAGAGAGAGGAGAGGTGAGACAGCAGAGAGGAGACAGAGGTGAGACAGCAGAGAGACAGAGGTGAGACAGCAGAGAGAGAGGTGAGACAGCAGAGAGACAGAGGTGAGACAGCAGAGAGAGAGGTGAGACAGCAGAGAGGAGACAGAGGTGAGACAGCAGAGAGAGAGGTGAGACAGCAGAGAGACAGAGGTGAGACAGCAGAGAGACAGAGGTGAGACAACAGAGACAGAGAGGTGAGACAACAGAGACAGAGGTGAGACAGCAGAGAGACAGAGGTGAGACAACAGAGACAGAGGTGAGACAGCAGAGAGACAGAGGTGAGACAGCAGAGAGGAGACAGAGGTGAGACAGCAGAGAGGAGACAGAGGTGAGACAGTAGAGAGAGGAGAGGTGAGGCAGCAGAGAGGAGAGAGACAGAGGGGAGACAGCAGAGACAGAGGTGAGACAGCAGAGAGACAGAGGTGAGACAGCAGAGAGAGAGGTGAGACAGCAGAGAGGAGACAGAGGTGAGACAGCAGAGAGAGAGGTGAGACAGCAGAGAGGAGACAGAGGTGAGACAGCAGAGAGAGAGGTGAGACAGCAGAGAGGAGACAGAGGTGAGACAGCAGAGAGACAGAGGTGAGACAGCAAAAAGAGAGGTGAGACAGCAGAGAGGAGACAGAGGTGAGACAGCAGAGAGACAGAGGTGAGACAACAGAGACAGAGGTGAGACAGCAGAGAGACAGAGGTGAGACAACAGAGACAGAGGTGAGACAGCAGAGAGACAGAGGTGAGACAACAGAGAGAGAGGTGAGACAACAGAGAGAGAGGTGAGACAACAGAGAGAGAGGTGAGACAGCAGAGAGACAGAGGTGAGACAGCAGAGAGAGGTGAGACAACAGAGAGAGAGGTGAGACAGCAGAGAGGAGACAGGTGAGACAGTAGAGACAGAGGTGAGACAGTAGAGAGAGGAGACAGAGGTGAGACAACAGAGAGGAGACGGAGGTGAGACAGCAGAGAGAGGAGACAAAGGTCCCCATAATTAGTTGATATATCAAATCCAGACTCAAAGCTCACCTTTTCAGACCTGACCAGTCACCCCATCACCTTCGTCCAGCTCTGTTCTTTTGTTTTTTTGTTTTTAATTGCACTCCTGTGTTTTGAAATACGCCTTCAATAAAATGTATCATTATTATTGTTATTATTATTATTATTATTATTATTATTATTACATACTACATCTACATGTTCTCTTCTCTGTTCTAAGCGCAGTGGCTCATATTGGTGTTGGAATCAGTGGCCAGGAGGGCATGCAGGCGGTCCTCTCCTCTGACTTCTCCTTCGCTCAGTTTCGGTATCTCCAGCGCCTCCTGCTGGTTCATGGCCACTGGTCCTACTTAAGAATGTGTCACTTTCTGCGTTATTTCTTCTACAAAAACTTTGCCTTCACCTTAGTGCACTTCTGGTACGGGTTCTTCTGTGGCTTCTCTGCGCAGGTGAGAAAAGCAACATTATTTTCTATAATCTATTTGAATTATAATTGTATTTTTTCAATAATTTCGCAGTTTTTTTTCATTTACAGACAGTCTATGACCAGTGGTTCATTACTCTTTTTAATATTGTCTTCACATCTTTGCCTGTCATTGCAATGGGGCTGTTTGATCAGGTAATATTGTTTGTATAATACATAACAACATAGACAATGGTTTCACTTAAAGCTGGGGTACCTAACTTCAAACTACATAAAACATGATTGATGTGAAAAATAATCCTAGTAGTTCCTTGCTCTCAGAACCAAAACAGTTTTCACATACATGTATTTCTTAGCCTCTGTCACATGTCTACATAAAAAATACTCCTTCTTTATAACCAATCAGCCTAAATAAATCCATTAGTGACTCACATGGCACTTTCTTTCAAGTACACAGCATATACACTAGAAAAAAATATAATAAGTATGGTAAGTAATAAGTATTGTAAAGCGCTTTGTGACTCTGGTCTGGCATAAAAAAGATTACTCACTTAATTATTGCTTGAATCAAGTGTTTTCCCGATTAACCAGATTTGCCAATGGGACAAAGGCATTTAGTCTTCTCTCAAGAACTGTTGCTTTATTTTCTCATTCCAAGGGAGACATTTCTTGTATCTTTTTAAAAACAGGATCACTTTTTGTCCTATCGTCAAATCTTCTTTTAAGGCAGTTATAATGTACTCAAATGAAGATACATTTTGCCAAATTTGAGCAATGACTTATCTTTCATCACTTTTTGCAGTGTATATACAGACATGTGTTTTGATATAGACAGCTTTTTGTGGTCAGATTTGTTCACAGTATTTGTCTTTTTCTCTTTTCTAAGTATATAAATATGTATTCTTTTGTTTTTGCAGGATGTAAATGACAGAACCAGCCTGAGATACCCCTGCCTGTACAAAGCAGGCCAAATGAACCTCCATTTCAACAAGCGTCACTTCTTCCTGTGCGCGCTGCAGGGACTGGCCACCTCTTTCCTCCTCTTCTTCATTCCCTTTGGAGCCTTCTCAGTCCTGCTCAAAGAAGACGGTTTGAACTTGGACCAACAAGCTTTGGCTGTCACCGTTTCAACCTGTTTGGTCATCGCTGTGAGCGTTCAGGTGAGATACAGAGAGCGTATAATGTGCTAGAATATTGTATGTGGTTCAGTAAAAGTCTTATTCCTCTGTTAGATTGGACTTGATACTCAGTACTGGACGGCCATCAATCATCTCTTCATATTTGGGAGCGTAGCAGTGTATTTCGCACTCATGTTTGCGTTGCAGAGTAATGGCATGTTTGTCTTCACCAGTTCTTTTCCATTTGTCGGTAAGTTCGTAAGTGCATATTTAACTCTGCCGACCTGACCTCACATGTCGTGCATCTGTGCAATCACTTGAACCAATGACAGAATGTGCATTATTAGACCATGTGTGTCTAAACTGTTGATTCTCCGATCCGTGTTGGTGATTTCAATGATTTTGGGAGATGACTGCTGTTGAGATTTAGGGCTGTCGAGGCCATCACAGAACAGCCGTAATTATACTGAGATTAGATTACACTCTGGTGGACTCTATTTAATGGTTTGGTCAACATTCAACATTAGTCCTTCAGGCGACTTCTAAAGGCAATTGGTTTTACTCAGGAAAGGGGACTGAATAATTTTGCTGTAGTATCTGAAGTATTATGAGGAATCAATGAGCCTTGTGCCCTGATGAAGACTCAAGAATAAATTGTATTGTGTTGTATTGTATTGTGTTTCACTTTACTGTAATCATCTGTGCAATCATTTTTAGTAATAATTTCCATCACTTCAGAATGTGCAATATATATGGACCTTCACTCTTAAATCTTAATCATTTGCATATGTTGCAATTTGTATGCAGGTTATTTCATCGTGTTTGAAAATGAAAACGTAGAGATGTTTGCATTTGTCTGTAGGTACGTCCCGCAACACCTTGTCAGAGCTGAACGTGTGGTTGGTCGTCCTGCTCACTACTGTGGTCTGTGTTCTTCCTGGACTCGTGGTCACTTTCTGCAGAGTTGACCTCTTCCCGACGCCAACAGACAAGGTTTGCCCTTTACTTCCCTGAGGTCATCGCATCACAGCATAAAGCTAAGGAAAATAGATTAAGATTAAGATTAAGAGATGCTTTATTCGTAAACGTGCTCACTGGTTTCATTAGTATTTTTGTCACATTTGTCTGGATGATGTGATGTTAAAAGATTTTTTGAAAGTATACAAGTTTGAGAGAACCACGGGCAGCACATGGTTAGGGATTCTACCTCCAGACTTTTTGTGTGTGTGAAGTTTGCATGTTCTCCCTGTGTCTGCGTAGGTTTACTCCGGGTGCTCCGGTTTCTCCTACCACTAAAAACGTGTGGTAGTCGGTCTGGCATGCACCTCCTCTTGTATGACAACCTCAATCCCATCTCTGTGTGGAGTGAGAGGACAGGCCACAAAAATTGACTCTGGTCTGTGAAAGGCGCTAAATAGATAAAGATTACTCACTTTCTAAAAACAAAATAAGGTTTATGTCCCCCTCGTGACAGAAACATAACAAATATAGATCTTGGTAAAGCAATAATGCATACAAGTGCCCATCATACGTCACTTTACTTCACTGTACTGCTGTCACCTTACATTGTGTGCACCATGTGCACTTGTATATTGTAAATAGTAACTGTAACTCTATTTTAAATTTAAATTTATTCTTTAGAAGTGTTTTTTATTCTTATTTTTATTATCTCTTTTTGACTGTTGCACTGAGCCAAAGCAATTTCCAAGTCTGTGACCTCCCGTTACTTACGTTGGCAATAAAAATGATTCTGATTCTGATTCTGATTCTGAAGTGAACGGTGGTGAAAGGATTACAGAGGGCAAAAGGGTTGTGGACCGCTGCTCTATCTTTTTGGTTCCAGGTTCGTCAGCTGCAGTTGGGGCGTGGTCAGGGTCAGGGTCCACGGAGTCCGAGTCTGAGGAGGGTCCGCCGGAGCAGCTCCCACCGGTCGGCTTATGCCTTCTCCCATCAGCACGGCTACGGAGAACTCATCACCTCAGGCAGAAACATGAAGAGCCCTGACTGCCCCGCGCCTTCTGCTGCTCCAGGACCCTCACCGCGGCACCACAACTGGATCCACAATGTGTTAAAAAAGAAGAATGAAGTGGATTGTGCTCCTGAAGAAAACACTGTATCGGACCGTAAAAGAGCAGACGACACAGACTGACAAAGATAACATTGTTTAGAACTTAATAAATGAGCATCACTCCCTCAGCACAATATAGCTCACAATAGAGTAAGAAGACATCAAACTTTAACTCACGTTCAAGAATACATAACAATAGAACCGTTAAATAACATTAAATATAAAAAACAACTAGGCAACGTTTTAGAAATCAAACTGTTTTTATTTTCTTTCACCAGACAATTCAGTATTTGTTACATAAAAGGAATGCCTTTTTTCTGGAGAAGCCCATAATTCTGTTCACAAACTTAAGACGCTGTGAGAAAGTGCAGCAGGAGGCGCTCAGGTGTCGAGGAGCAGAAAAACCTCCATCACAAACTCCTGAACATCGCTCACACAAACACAGTCTGTGACGGCCACAGACATGACGCTGAAGTCACTGACACCTGTTGGACTTTTCAGGGATGATATTCTATCAATTATCATACAAATATATATTTTTGTGTCCATGCGGATGTTTCTGTATATACACACTGGAATACTTTATCAAAAATAACCCATTTGGGCCAAAAGTATAAAATAAAGACATTCGTGAATAATGTTGACTCCTTGAAATAAGTCATTTGACCTTGTTTTCCGTATTTATAGGAAACTCTTGATTTGTTAAAAAACACATTTTCAGATTTGTTTTACCATACACCTTATAATTCATACAATATACTTCTGTGCCCTTTTATTCCTCAATTAAAATAGCAGCCCCTCCTCCAGGTTTTGTCACAAACAAACTTTGCTTCTCCATGGCAGCTCTACGAGGGTCACACAGATAGTATTCCTCTCGAACTGCTTTGAAGAAACTCTCCACTCTCTCAGTGGGGACCATGGACACTGCACATCCGCCCCATCCTGCCCCGGTCAGCCGAGAGCCCAGGGCTCCACTTTTCCTGCGAATTGGAGGTTATTCAGAATGATTAACTTTGTTGTTGCTTTTTAGAATGAGGAAACCTCTTTGGGTCATAGTAATAGTTTTCATAAGTCATATACAAACAGATGAATACATTTCATATACATTTTTTGTGCAAGTTTTACCAAATGTCTTTATCTTAAAATGATGATGATGCTCTGACAGTCAAAGTGTTTGTGTAAAGTGTGTAATGGTCATGTGACTCACAGACAGAGTTGGACGAGCTGGTCCAGCTCTGGGCAGCTGCACTCGTACAGGTCTCTGCAGCTGGAGTGGCTCTGGTTCATCAGGTCCCCGAGGAGCGGCAGAGCGTTAGCGGGCGCAGAGTCACACACACGTTTAAACTGTACCACCCGCCACGCCTCACTGTACACGTGCTTCGCCCGCTGGTAGAGCTTGAAGTGGGTCACTGCAGAAACCACACAGCGCTTCATAATATTATACTGAGTATAAAAAGGGAACAAGTGGATGGGCATCGATGGATGGTCCAAGTAAATTAAGACAATACATTTGTCTTAACTTTTGTTTTCAACACTTTTAATCTTCATGGTACATAAAATATCTTGCACAAAAGACACTTTAACACTTTTGCACAACCTGAGTGATTCCATCTATGCCAAATGTGACATGTGCATTTCTCTATTGTGAGATCAATTAAGTTGATCTTATTTTGAGACACTGAGAATATTTTAAAGCAGGACAGAGCACAGTACAGCGAGAGAGCTCTCTGCTGGAGGTTAGTCCAGTGCTTTGTCCCAAAAGCTAAATGGAAACAGAAGAAGAGCGCTCCCTGCTGGATAAGAAGTGGTTGACCACAGAGCTCCAGTTGGAGAAGAAGTGGTACAGGAAACTCCTCTGCTGCTAATTCCTCTAAACCTACAATGGAGGAACGTATGTCGAAGCATGAATAATTGTTTTTATTCAAAAACAATAACAATGTTTAAGTGGACAAACCCGTCCACTTAAACATTTCTCATTTAATTTTCCAATGCACTTTTCCTAAAACCTAGAACCTTTTAGCTGAGTAGTTTATCTACACACAAATACAGACATACACAGCTGCTGTTTGGTCTCATCATACAGCGGTGGAGGTCTGTCTGCATCTTCTATACTGACGTCCGTTTTAAAGGTTTCTCCATTCAAACAAAGTTTTTGTTTACTTATACACTCAAAGGTTGGTGCTTACTGATAAAATTACTTGCTTATTTAAGGTAATAAACTGTAACGTAATGACAGATTTAAAGACAGCAAAGACTAGTTGGTAAAATAACGGAGGTTTCACCATCCATTCAGTTTTTGAGACAGGCTTGGAACATCAGCGATCCAATTCATGTATACAGCTCTTTTTTGGGCACTCAAAAGACATTTCACATGTTTCACCAGTACTGTGGCCACAGCTGCCTTGGGGCACACTGACAGAAGTGAGTCAACCAGACATTATGGTCCTCACCAAATATCGGTCAATTCTAATTCGCACAACAGGAAGGCTGTTCTTGCAACACAACAGGATTCCAGAGTTTAGTGTTTAATAACTTCAGGTGCTCAGAAAGAGAATCAAACAAACATATATGAATGTATCCACAATTTATCCGCTCAAAAAGTATATTGTCCTACCGTGCTGTGTGTTGGCACTCAGCAGCTCGGTGCAGAACTGCTCAGGGCTGATACCCAGCCTCTTGCAGATTTCTTCTCTAGTGAAAGGCTCAGGATGAAGCACGTCGTCCACTATCGCCTCCATCTCATCGAGAGACGCCTCCAGCTCGTTCTGAACCTGAGCCAGCTTCAGAGAGCGGCTACAGTCCAGACCCCGAGCCTTCGCCAGCATCTGATAACAACAGGCAACATGTGTGTATGCAGAGAACGAGACAATTGTGAGAGACATGCCTATAAGCATTCAATACTAATCCAATGACCACGACAAACGACTCAAAGAAGAGTGTGGAAGTGTACCTTTGCTGCGATGCGGCATTCAACCACACGGATGTTGAAGTGAGAGGAAGCTGCTTTGTTCATCTCCACACAACAGTTTGATATGACAAACACAGCTCCAGACGGGAGCTTCACATCTGTGGCACGCAGAGGCTGGAAATCGATCAGCTTAGCCTTTAGGGATACAGCAGAAGCCATGTGACATTAAGGCAAGAAATATTTCAAGCATTGATGTTAGTCCATAGTAAAGATAAATTAGATGTGCACAGGACACTAAGGTGGTTTATATTTAGTTATATTACCAAACGTGAAATGTCTATTAAAAAACTAGATGGATCATAGTTTTAAGAAAAGAAAGGTTGCGATAGTACTGTAGAATTATAACATGCCACTCCTAGGTACCTTTCCACTTTCTGCCAAAAACGAAATGGACTGATCCATGCCGCCACCTTCAGTGCCAATGTAGCGTTCACACTTGGCACAAATTTCAGCTAAAGCCACCTAGAAATAAATGAATAAATAAATACAAAGTGGCACCATCCATTCCATCCATATTTAAATGCATGTCGTAACTAGAGTATAATAGTTTAATTACCTTAGAGAGAGATCCTTTATTTGCCTCCATGGTCACCAGCCCTGCACAACAAACCAAGGCACTCGAGCTGGACAGCCCAGAGCTGGGAGGAACTGTCCCATCAACAACACATGACATTCCTGCCAGATTTGTAAGGCCTAAGTTTTCCTGAAATAAACAACATTGGTTTTAAGTAATGTTTAAGATGTATGTTTGATAGTTAGTCTTACCTGGATCCCTTTGACACCACAAAGAAAATAATAATACCATTTTGGATTGTCCCGGTCAATGGCAATGTCTTCAGTGCAGGAGACGCTATGATCCCTGAATTATATAGTTTCATAAATCAAATTGAAATGACATCAAGTTCATGAATGTATGCAGTTCATGAATGTATGCAGCTCTTACTGTAAAGGCTTACATGTATTGAGAATTTGTATTGGCCAGCTGAAATCTCCCGGATTTATTCACAGTTACAGCTGCAAGAATACTCTGTTCAATTGCCATTGGAAGAACTGAATAGCCACAGTAATCAATGTGCTCCCCTGTGAAAAAGGTTTCCCATGTAAACATGTCTTCTGTAATTGTGAGAATTATTTGTTAATCAAAAATATAATACCAATTAGGTTAACTCTTCCAGGAGCACATGCATAAAATTGTGGAGGTTCCCCATATTTTTTTTCAAAGGCACTTTTTAAGGCTTGCAACCTGCATGGGAATGAAAAATGTTTAATGTTTGAATTTGACAATGCTAATCAATAATTCTCACCTGTCATCTGCGGAAATCACTGTCGATATCTTGGGTGGATTTAAAGCCATGTCTTTCTTAAAAAGTAGCTATGATTTAACACGTCTACTCAAACGATATGTAAAAAAATATTTCGTATATCCTGGTGTGATCACATGACAATTACAGGAACAAGGTCTGTGCCAGCGAGTTGACCCAGGATCGGCTTCATTTCCAGTGAACTCACTTGTGCAATCCAAAAGTGCTGTTGATATCCTGATTCAGAATCAGCTACAGCAATACGGAAGTGTGAAAATGCTGGGGGGGCGTGATCATAGGCGTCAGGGGGCGTAACAACCTACGTCACTAATATTATTATTTTCAAAAAATGTTCAATCCCAACTTGTACATGTCACGGTGTTACAGTTGGGGGGCGTAGCAATAATGTGGTTATAATTGTATAAATAGTGGTCTGTAAAAAAGTTTTGGACGTTCAGTTGCCATGGATACGCAAATCACACTTCCTGTTTGAAAGCGTGGTTTTGTTGAAATACTTCTGGAGTAGCGTTAATCTTGTTTTCATTATGAGACTCCGTGTGAACTTAGATAACAAGATTCAGTGGTAAAACAAAAGGAGTGGTTTTATAGTGTCTGGTCTGTGTGTGTACCTCTGTGTGTCTCTCTGTGTGCCTCTGTGTGTGTCTCTGTGTGTGTGTCTCTGTGTGTGTCTCTGTGTGTGTGTCTCTGTGTGTGCCTCTGTGTGTGTCTCTGTGTGTGTGTCTCTGTGTGTGCCTCTGTGTGTGTCTCTGTGTGTGTCTCTGTGTGTGTCTCTGTGTGTGCCTCTGTGTGTGCCTCTGTGTGTGCCTCTGTGTGTGTCTCTGTGTGTGCCTCTGTGTGTGTCTCTGTGTGTGTCTCTGTGTGTGCCTCTGTGTGTGTCTCTGTGTGTGTCTCTGTGTGTGTGTCTCTGTGTGTGTCTCTGTGTGTGCCTCTGTGTGTGCCTCTGTGTGTGTCTCTGTGTGTGTCTCTGTGTGTGTCTCTGTGTCTCTGTGTGTGTGTCTCTGTGTGTGCCTCTGTGTGTGTCTCTGTGTGTGTCTCTGTGTGTGTCTCTGTGTGTGTCTCTGTGTGTGTCTCTGTGTCTCTGTGTGTGTGTCTCTGTGTGTGTCTCTGTGTGTGCCTCTGTGTGTGTCTCTGTGTGTGTCTCTGTGTGTGTCTCTGTGTCTCTGTGTGTGTGTCTCTGTGTGTGTCTCTGTGTGTGTCTCTGTGTGTGCCTCTGTGTGTGTCTCTGTGTGTGTCTCTGTGTGTGTCTCTGTGTCTCTGTGTGTGTGTCTCTGTGTGTGTCTCTGTGTGTGTGTCTCTGTGTGTGCCTCTGTGTGTGTCTCTGTGTGTGTGTCTCTGTGTGTGCCTCTGTGTGTGTCTCTGTGTGTGTCTCTGTGTGTGTCTCTGTGTGTGTCTCTGTGTGTGTGTCTCTGTGTGTGCCTCTGTGTGTGTCTCTGTGTGTGTCTCTGTGTGTGTCTCTGTGTGTGTCTCTGTGTGTGCCTCTGTGTGTGTCTCTGTGTGTGCCTCTGTGTGTGTCTCTGTGTGTGTCTCTGTGTGTGCCTCTGTGTGTGTCTCTGTGTGTGTCTCTGTGTCTCTGTGTGTGTGTCTCTGTGTGTGTCTCTGTGTGTGCCTCTGTGTGTGCCTCTGTGTGTGTCTCTGTGTGTGTCTCTGTGTGTGTCTCTGTGTCTCTGTGTGTGTGTCTCTGTGTGTGCCTCTGTGTGTGTCTCTGTGTGTGTCTCTGTGTGTGTCTCTGTGTGTGTCTCTGTGTGTGTCTCTGTGTCTCTGTGTGTGTGTCTCTGTGTGTGTCTCTGTGTGTGCCTCTGTGTGTGTCTCTGTGTGTGTCTCTGTGTGTGTCTCTGTGTCTCTGTGTGTGTGTCTCTGTGTGTGTCTCTGTGTGTGTCTCTGTGTGTGCCTCTGTGTGTGTCTCTGTGTGTGTCTCTGTGTGTGTCTCTGTGTCTCTGTGTGTGTGTCTCTGTGTGTGTCTCTGTGTGTGTGTCTCTGTGTGTGCCTCTGTGTGTGTCTCTGTGTGTGCCTCTGTGTGTGCCTCTGTGTGTGTCTCTGTGTGTGTCTCTGTGTGTGTCTCTGTGTGTGCCTCTGTGTGTGTCTCTGTGTGTGTCTCTGTGTGTGTCTCTGTGTGTGCCTCTGTGTGTGTCTCTGTGTGTGTCTCTGTGTGTGCCTCTGTGTGTGTCTCTGTGTGTGTCTCTGTGTGTGCCTCTGTGTGTGTCTCTGTGTGTGTCTCTGTGTGTGTCTCTGTGTGTGCCTCTGTGTGTGTCTCTGTGTGTGTCTCTGTGTGTGTCTCTGTGTGTGTCTCTGTGTGTGTCTCTGTGTGTGTCTCTGTGTGTGCCTCTGTGTGTGTCTCTGTGTGTGTCTCTGTGTGTGCCTCTGTGTGTGTCTCTGTGTGTGTCTCTGTGTGTGTCTCTGTGTGTGCCTCTGTGTGTGTCTCTGTGTGTCTCTCTGTGTGTGCCTCTGTGTGTGTCTCTGTGTGTGTCTCTGTGTGTGTCTCTGTGTGTGTCTCTGTGTGTGTCTCTGTGTGTGCCTCTGTGTGTGTCTCTGTGTGTGCCTCTGTGTGTGTCTCTGTGTGTGTCTCTGTGTGTGTCTCTGTGTGTGTCTCTGTGTGTGCCTCTGTGTGTGTCTCTGTGTGTGCCTCTGTGTGTGCCTCTGTGTGTGTCTCTGTGTGTGTCTCTGTGTGTGTCTCTGTGTGTGTCTCTGTGTGTGCCTCTGTGTGTGTCTCTGTGTGTGCCTCTGTGTGTGTCTCTGTGTCTCTGTGTGTGTGTCTCTGTGTGTGCCTCTGTGTGTGTCTCTGTGTGTGCCTCTGTGTGTGTCTCTGTGTGTGTCTCTGTGTGTGCCTCTGTGTGTGTCTCTGTGTGTGTCTCTGTGTGTGTGTCTCTGTGTGTGCCTCTGTGTGTGTCTCTGTGTGTCTCTCTGGTGTGTGCCTCTGTGTGTGTCTCTGTGTGTGTCTCTGTGTGTGTCTCTGTGTGTGTCTCTGTGTGTGTCTCTGTGTGTGTCTCTGTGTGTGCCTCTGTGTGTGTCTCTGTGTGTGCCTCTGTGTGTGTCTCTGTGTGTGTCTCTGTGTGTGTCTCTGTGTGTGTCTCTGTGTGTGCCTCTGTGTGTGTCTCTGTGTGTGCCTCTGTGTGTGCCTCTGTGTGTGTCTCTGTGTGTGTCTCTGTGTGTGTCTCTGTGTGTGTCTCTGTGTGTGCCTCTGTGTGTGTCTCTGTGTGTGCCTCTGTGTGTGTCTCTGTGTCTCTGTGTGTGTCTCTGTGTGTGTCTCTGTGTGTGTCTCTGTGTGTGTCTCTGTGTGTGTCTCTGTGTGTGCCTCTGTGTGTGTCTCTGTGTGTGCCTCTGTGTGTGTCTCTGTGTGTGCCTCTGTGTGTGTCTCTGTGTGTGCCTCTGTGTGTGTCTCTGTGTGTGCCTCTGTGTGTGTGTCTCTGTGTGTGCCTCTGTGTGTGCCTCTGTGTGTGTGCCTCTGTGTGTGTCTCTGTGTGTGTCTCTGTGTGTGCCTCTGTGTGTGTCTCTGTGTGTGTCTCTGTGTGTGTCTCTGTGTGTGTCTCTGTGTGTGTCTCTGTGTGTGTCTCTGTGTGTGCCTCTGTGTGTGCCTCTGTGTGTGTCTCTGTGTGTGCCTCTGTGTGTGTGTCTCTGTGTGTGCCTCTGTGTGTGCCTCTGTGTGTGTGCCTCTGTGTGTGTCTCTGTGTGTGTCTCTGTGTGTGCCTCTGTGTGTGTCTCTGTGTGTGTCTCTGTGTGTGCCTCTGTGTGTGCCTCTGTGTGTGTGCCTCTGTGTGTGTCTCTGTGTGTGTCTCTGTGTGTGTCTCTGTGTGTGTCTCTGTGTGTGCCTCTGTGTGTGTCTCTGGTGTGCTCTGTGTGTGTCTCTGTGTGTGTCTCTGTGTGTGCCTCTGTGTGTGCTCTGTGTGTGTGCCTCTGTGTGTGTCTCTGTGTGTGTCTCTGTGTGTGTCTCTGTGTGTGTGCTCTGTGTGTGTCTCTGTGTGTGCCTCTGTGTGTGCCTCTGTGTGTGCCTCTGTGTGTGTCTCTGTGTGTGTCTCTGTGTGTGTCTCTGTGTGTGCCTCTGTGTGTGTGCCTCTGTGTGTGTCTCTGTGTGTGTCTCTGTGTGTGCCTCTGTGTGTGTCTCTGTGTGTGCCTCTGTGTGTGCCTCTGTGTGTGCCTCTGTGTGTGTCTCTGTGTGTGTCTCTGTGTGTGTCTCTGTGTGTGTCTCTGTGTGTGTCTCTGTGTGTGTCTCTGTGTGTGCCTCTGTGTGTGTCTCTGTGTGTGCCTCTGTGTGTGCCTCTGTGTGTGTCTCTGTGTGTCTCTCTGTGTGTGCCTCTGTGTGTGTCTCTGTGTGTGTCTCTGTGTGTGTCTCTGTGTGTGTCTCTGTGTGTGTCTCTGTGTGTGCCTCTGTGTGTGTCTCTGTGTGTGCCTCTGTGTGTGTCTCTGTGTGTGTCTCTGTGTGTGTCTCTGTGTGTGTCTCTGTGTGTGTCTCTGTGTGTGCCTCTGTGTGTGTGCCTCTGTGTGTGTCTCTGTGTGTGCCTCTGTGTGTGCCTCTGTGTGTGTCTCTGTGTGTGCCTCTGTGTGTGTCTCTGTGTGTGCCTCTGTGTGTGCCTCTGTGTGTGTCTCTGTGTGTGCCTCTGTGTGTGTCTCTGTGTGTGTGCCTCTGTGTGTGCCTCTGTGTGTGTCTCTGTGTGTGCCTCTGTGTGTGCCTCTGTGTGTGCCTCTGTGTGTGTCTCTGTGTGTGCCTCTGTGTGTGCCTCTGTGTGTGCCTCTGTGTGTGTCTCTGTGTGTGTCTCTGTGTGTGCCTCTGTGTGTGTCTCTGTGTGTGCCTCTGTGTGTGTCTCTGTGTGTGCCTCTGTGTGTGCCTCTGTGTGTGCCTCTGTGTGTGCCTCTGTGTGTGTGTCTCTGTGTGTGCCTCTGTGTGTGTCTCTGTGTGTGCCTCTGTGTGTGTCTCTGTGTGTGCCTCTGTGTGTGCCTCTGTGTGTGCCTCTGTGTGTGTCTCTGTGTGTGTCTCTGTGTGTGCCTCTGTGTGTGTCTCTGTGTGTGCCTCTGTGTGTGCCTCTGTGCTCTGTGTGTCTCTGTGTGTGTCTCTGTGTGTGCCTCTGTGTGTGTCTCTGTGTGTGTCTCTGTGTGTGCCTCTGTGTGTGCCTCTGTGTGTGTGCCTCTGTGTGTGTGTCTCTGTGTGTGTCTCTCTGTGTGTGCCTCTGTGTGTGTCTCTGTGTGTGCCTCTGTGTGTGCCTCTGTGTGTGCCTCTGTGTGTGCCTCTGTGTGTGTGCCTCTGTGTGTGCCTCTGTGTGTGTGCCTCTGTGTGTGCCTCTGTGTGTGCCTCTGTGTGTGTCTCTGTGTGTGTCTCTGTGTGTGTCTCTGTGTGTGTCTCTGTGTGTGTCTCTGTGTGTGTCTCTGTGTGTGTCTCTGTGTGTGCCTCTGTGTGTGTCTCTGTGTGTGTCTCTGTGTGTGTCTCTGTGTCTCTGTGTGTGTGTCTCTGTGTGTGTCTCTGTGTGTGCCTCTGTGTGTGCCTCTGTGTGTGTCTCTGTGTGTGTCTCTGTGTGTGTCTCTGTGTCTCTGTGTGTGTGTCTCTGTGTGTGTCTCTGTGTGTGCCTCTGTGTGTGTCTCTGTGTGTGCCTCTGTGTGTGCCTCTGTGTGTGTCTCTGTGTGTGTCTCTGTGTGTGCCTCTGTGTGTGCCTCTGTGTGTGTCTCTGTGTGTGTCTCTGTGTGTGCCTCTGTGTGTGTCTCTGTGTGTGTCTCTGTGTGTGTCTCTGTGTGTGCCTCTGTGTGTGTCTCTGTGTGTGTCTCTGTGTGTGTCTCTGTGTGTGCCTCTGTGTGTGTCTCTGTGTGTGCCTCTGTGTGTGTCTCTGTGTGTGCCTCTGTGTGTGCCTCTGTGTGTGTCTCTGTGTGTGCCTCTGTGTGTGCCTCTGTGTGTGCCTCTGTGTGTGCCTCTGTGTGTGCCTCTGTGTGTGTCTCTGTGTGTGTGTCTCTGTGTGTGTCTCTGTGTGTGCCTCTGTGTGTGCCTCTGTGTGTGTCTCTGTGTGTGTCTCTGTGTGTGTCTCTGTGTGTGTCTCTGTGTGTGTCTCTGTGTGTGTCTCTGTGTGTGTCTCTGTGTGTGTGTCTCTGTGTGTGTCTCTGTGTGTGCCTCTGTGTGTGCCTCTGTGTGTGCCTCTGTGTCTTTGGCGCTGCCGAGCGCGGGACTTTTCAAAGTGGGCGAGCCTCTCCGTGGTCACGCCTGCGGATGCTATGGGCTAACTCCGGTGCTAGCTTTGAAACCTTTGTAATTACACGATTTTTAATATATCACATTTTACTGGACTGGGGCGATGATGACACGTTCATGCACTTGATTACATGGACACGAAGTGGGTTTATAACTTTTAAAGGCTTTGTGAGGGGAGCAAACTCGCAGGGTAAAACTTAGCCAAGTTAGCTTGTTTGTTTGTAGCTTGTAATGTAAAGCAGAGGAATAATGACAACGTTATGATCTGTTCAAAGAAAACATCTGGCTGTTAAACTACCTGGTAAGTTACTAACCTCATATTCGTGCTATAGTATTGGGTTTATGTGGGACAGCTTCTTTACACAATTGTACATTTATCTTTATTGTGTAGTTATAGCAATTGTAATATTATTTTTCTCCCGCAAACACACACAGTTCCTGCACCATGTCCATCGACTTTGACAGTGCTGCTCTGCAAACACAACATGAGGAAGAGGAGTATGACCAGGAGGACTATGCCAGAGAAAAAGAGGTACCCCGTTTTTCCACGTCGTTGCTGCACCATTAATCATGTATAATCATATTCTGGAAAACTAATTACAATTTTAAGTTTACATATTAAATGATTCCGTGATGTACCTCCTTTGGGATCAATAACATTATAGTAAACAGGTTGCCTTTCATCTGTTGTTTGGGGAAACACTTGAGTGCACTGTTGACACACACAGACTGCGCTTTTACTCCCTTTGTTGCTCTATAAACCTGTGCTATTATTGGTTCAGAAAAGTCCTCCTCCAGGTGTGTCATTATGGTGAAACAGGCTTTCCCTCCGGTCAGATCATTTGGGTTATGTTGTTTCTTGAGTTGGCTGCAAATACAGACACCTCACCTGCTAGTATTGTGGCTTTTTAGGCAATGGCTATTGAGGGAAATAACATATCAGACAAACAAAAACAAAAGTGGTTCAAGTGGAAGAATTTCATCACCAGTAGTTGGAATGTTTCTGCTCCAGTTAACCTTGCCATATGTTTCATCTAAACAATGGAGGGCTTTCTGAACACACCACAGCAGTTACACGGGGAGTGATGACATGCTGGGAGCATTTTGGATATTTCAGTCACAAGGACGGCTTTAACAACTGATAGCATGTGCGTAGCGGCTTAACCAGAAGTGTTTGTATCTGTATCTGGTGGGACAGTATGGCTCCTTCCATGGTGAACCCAGTAGAGGATTTAAGGGACATTCAGGACTCGTTGTTGGAAGTAAGTTCAGTTGTATTTACTTCTCTTTTGGGATTAATGTCCTTTCTATCTCTGACATCGAGAGGAATCTGCTCGTGTTTTTGAGGCTTGGGGTCAAGATGGCTTTGACTGAAAAAGAAAACATTTACAACCTATTAATGACTAACAAACACACCGCAGTAGTACAACAGTAGAGGATATAGGGATTCTCAATTTGTTCTGCACTATACTACACAGCTCTTCTTGATTTAAGTTATATTTATATGTTGTATGTATAACAGTAACCAGTGTTCACTTGTATGACTAATAATACACAAAGCAACTATTCTTACCTTAATCAGACGCACTGATTTAAATGTGTTGACCCATTTTGGCGGTTTCTGTGTTCTCAGCATACTCCCTCTTTACTTTTTTTTCTCTCTCCCCAGTGAATGTTGTTTTTATTTTCACTATTGATTACCCCGTTGCTGGGAAACCTTTGTGACTCATTTCCATTTCCTCAGCTCCTCAAACTCCTCACAGACCTGCCTGATGACATGCTTGAAGATAGCAGAGACTCCTCCTCCCCTGAACTGGAGTACTCTCCTGGCAGCAACAAAAATACTGGCGACAGGTAAAATTGTAGTCAAATGCAAATGATTTAATAATAAAAAATATGTACAATAATATTCTGCTTGTCCTTCTCAGTCCTCAGGCAAATGGAGCTCAGCAGTGGTCCAATCACGTCAGGCAGGCTCCTCACGAACAGGTAAGTGTTGTAGTTAATATAGTTAATATGTGTTGATAATGCACAACATATGAAAAGTGAATTGGTATATTTGAAGAACTGTGAAGCCAACTACAATCGGTGCCCATACGGAGAGCGCGTCGTTACTGAACACATGAACGGGCATCAAGGTCAAACGCAGCCTCACGTTTGGAACCAGCCACAGGGTCCCCAGTCCAACCAAGGAGACTACTCCTACAACAGCATCGGCACAGATAATGATTTCTCCACGGACGACTACGGGACAAACGTGTATCCTCAGGCCTCGAAAGTCCCTGTGGAGTATCATGGAGATGGAGGATATGGGGACAGACGGGTCAACGATGAAGCCAGGAATCACTTTCTGGTTAGGATTTGGATTTTGTTATTGGTGTAACAGTTTTTTTTTCAATTGAATGAGCATTTATGAGGGGAAAATAAAACAGTCTGTCTTCTTCATCATGCTAAAGATAGTGATTTTATACGGCTTATACTGGTGTTTCATTTTATTTTAGCATAGAGTTGTTTTTCATTTGTCTTGTACTGTGTGCTCCTCATTTCTACTGTTCTGTAACTTGTAATGCTGAAACACTGAAATTTCCCCGCTGTGGGACAAATAAAGGATCTTAACACTGACACACTTTTTGTCAGTAATGGAATGTATTATTTGTATTCAAAGGCGTTCAACTCTAAACCTCATCAAGGTCAAGAAATGGATCCACTGCAAAGAGAGTTCCTTGATTCCACCACAAGTAAGACTTTCCGATACTCACTCTTCATTAAGTTGATGTTTATTGCTGTAGCTGAGGCCGAATCATAATAAGTTATGTTCATGTTAAAGAAACTGCTGATCAGGAACAGCTTGCCCAGTTGCGTGTCCTGCACAAGGCTCAGCAGCGACAGATTGTCGACCTGGAGCAAAAACTGGAGGATTCACGACGCAACATGCGATATTTGGAGCATCAGTTTGCGATCATCAAAGGTAAACAGAGATTACACTGGTCTTGATTTACATTAGACTTTCTTCTCATGCCCACTCCTCTGCTAGAAATGTAGGAGTTATTTTTGATAGGTCCACTTCCAGGATGGACAAGCAAAGGGCATTCAGTTAGCAAAGCAAGCTTCTGCCAGCTCCGGGTCAGAAAACCAGTTTTTGTTGAACGTCAAGCCTTTGCTGTTGTTTCTCCCAATCTGTGGGATAATTTACCTCTGTAGATTGGAGCAGCTTCTTCATGGGAAGTTTTTAAATCCTGGTCTAAAGACCCATTTTTACCATTTGGATTTTTAACATCAACTGAAGTTTTTTCATGTATTTGTGTGTATTTTATGCTGTTCTTTTCATTATTCTCTTTCTTGTCTGTGAAGCCAGCGTTGTTGTAAATGTTGTAATACAAATAAAGCTGACTTGACATTGACAATTTGATGAACAGATGAAAAGGATGGACTTGCTGTAAGTCTCAAAGAAGCAAGTCGTCTGATCGAAGAATATAAAGAACGAGAAGGAAAGATGCAAAAGGCTGTTAAAGTCTTGGAACATCAAGTAAACCTCCTGAGTGAGAAAGACCAAGAGGTACAACTTCTCTGCACTTTTGTGTCCGTTATAATATTGCTCAGACTGATACTAGCAGTGGGATTGTTAGTAGAAACATCAGTACATTTTGAGAGAAGACAAAACAGTAGAGAAAAACATTTCAACTATTTTTAAAAGTGTCATGGCTTCCCCTTAATTCCCACAGAACATGAAGAAGCAGAGCGCGGCGGAGGCTGCGGTGGACGCCATGAAGCAGCAGATGTTGGACATGTGCCGATCTGACACTTTGTCAAAATCTCGCGAACAGCACGACCGAGACATCACCGTTCTGAGGGAGAAGCACGAAGCGACGCTGTTGGCCTCAAACCAGAAGATTGACTCGATATCAGAAGCATTAGACAAACAGGTGCGGTACACTTTACACGTCAAGGATGAAGCTACAATTTGACGTTTTGGTTTGATCAAACAACTACACGCACAAAATATGAGGTAATAGTTGCTTGAATCTGATTGGGAGGTTTTGGAGTACATACTGGCTGTCTTAAAACAAGATTTATTTATTTAGACATTTATTTAAAGAGGAATGACCCCATGAGATGCATCATCTCGTTTTCGTGGGGGTCCTCTATATACAGGTTACAGCGTAGTCATTTGATGCACAACAACATCAAAAGAAACAAAATGACAAAAATAAAATAAAACGGAATACAAACACAAATGCACACACACACACACATCACACCGCTCTCATTTACCCCCCTCCACTACCAATACATTACAGATACCATTACAATCTTTTGAAAGCATGTTCAAGAAGTACATTTACAAACATACATTTAGAGTTATATCATAGTGTCATAGTGTCATTGTGACGGAGACTATAAGATGAACTGAAAGGAACTAAGTATTGCTTTAGGTAAGATGGGAAATTAAAGTGGATGCATTTGAAAATGAATTGAAGCCAATGGTGTTGACGTCTGCCTGTTAGAGAGAGCCAAGACATTTGTTCATACATGAGGCAGTGATGTGTCCTGTAGGGGCAGCGAAGGATGAATCTGCAGAGACTGTTATAGACAACATTTAGAGAGTGTAGACCGGTGGCGGAAGTGTTCTGATATACAAGGTCAGCATAATCCAAAATCGGTAGGAGCAATTGAGTAACTATTTTTTTCCTAATCAGAAAATTAAAACAGTTAATGGATACTTTTTCTCTGGAACAGCATTGAAAAGGATTTAGATTTATTTAGGAGCAGTTTATTGCATGATAGCCAGTGCTGGACATTATTGAAGTCATGTTGAAGAGAGTTGTTAATGTCTGTAACTTGCCATTTAGTCTTATTTAAAATCTTATTCAAAGAACTGTGGCTTTATTTTCTCTTTCCAAGGGAGACATTTCTTGTATCTTTTTGAAACAAGATCGGTTTGATTAGCAATTTGTGACTTATTTATCATCACTTTTTGCAGTGTAATAAGCTAATAACATTCTACACTGCAAAAAGTGATGAAAAACAACCCAAAATTACTCAAATACTGAAAAATGCATCTGAATTGTGAGATCAGTATAGTATATCTTCTTCTTAATTTGAGCACATTTTTCCTACCTTGAACCCAGATTTTTCAATGGGACAAGCAAAATTATCTTGTTTTGAAAAGATACAAGTAATGTCTCCCTTAGAATTAGAAAATAAAGCAACAGTTCTTGAAATAAGTCTAAATGGTTTCGTCACGTTGGAAAATCTTGAATGTGCTCAAACTAAGATTTAAAAAAAAAAAACACTTATTCAAGCATTTATTCCCTCATAATTTATCGTTTTTTGCAGTGTATTTACCATTTTTAGGTAGATTGTAACAGTGATAAAATGTATTGATTACTGTGTATCGTTTATTGAATCTGTGCTTGTATTTAAGTCAGTGAGACGACCCAGTAATGGATGCTTTGATGTGAAATACTGAAAGTGAATTGCCGCTGTGTTGTTTTTTGTAGGTTGATCTTACGCAGAGGTTACGGGAGCAGGTGAAGCAGTTGGAGCGTCAGAGAGAGGAGGAGCATCTAGAGAGAGCCAGAGTCATAAACGGGCTCACGCAGCGCCTGGAGGAGAGCCAGCAGCAGTGCGCCAAACTGCTACACACCAGTAAACACGGCCGGGGGAAAGACAACTGCATTTTATAAGTTCTGCGTTGCGTTAATTGTGACTCTTTGTTGATTTCAGGTTCAGTACAAGAAATGAGCGAGCTGCAAATTAAACTTCAGCAAAGCCAGTCTGCGAAGGCACTCAGTGAAAACATGAATAAAGCCCTACAGGTTCAGTCTATATAACTATTGCAAACGTCACTATCATATTTCCCGGACTATAAGCCGCACCTGATTATAAGCCACACATATCCCACGTTGTAATATAACCCTAAAACTTACATTGTGTGAGTCACTGGCTGTTCTTATTCAGATCAGAATCAGAATCATTTTTTTTTTTTATTGCCACGTAAGTAACAGGAGGTCACAGACTTGGAAATTGCTTTGGCTCAGTGCAACAGTCAGAAAGAGATAATAAAAATAAGAATAAAAAACACTTCTAAAGAATAAATGTAAATTTAAAATAGAGTTACAGTTACTATTTACAATATACAAGTGCACATGGTGCACTTGTATATTATATATTGTATATTGTACACTTATTCTTCCAGTGTGAAGCAGAAAGATAAGGAGCTATGTCTACTATACTCTTTTCACTTTCATGTCTGTACAGAGAATCCAAAAACTTTTTATTATGAGATATTTACACAAAGAGAGAAGTGAGGACTTCAATTTGCTTGATAATACTTTTTATAAATGTTTTTTTTCTAACGGTGCCTGTAACCTTTAAATACACCATACTTAAGCCGCACCTGAGTACACACCACAGCGTTCAAAGTGAGGTAAAAAGCAGCTTTTTATTGTCCGGAATTTACTGTAATTTGGTGGAATACGAATAGCATTTCAGTCATCATAGTCATTTCATTGACTCTTTCATTTCTAGGAGGATCTGGCGGAGCTGAAGGAGCAGATCACTTTGTATGAATCCGCCGTTAAACATGGGGTCATTTCCTTGGACCTGAACCATGACTTGGAAAACCATCTTTCAGATTCCTGTATAGATATGGGATTGAAGAAAACCAACCGGAAAAATGGTCTTTTACACAGGTACATGGAACTATGCTGTAAAATGGTTACAGACAGAATAAACACAGAACATGGCTGTCTGATGTGCATAGTTTTTATAGTTGTGACTGACAGATGAGCCAAAAATGGAACGCTTACAACAGACCTGTCAAACTCAGAAAAGACTATATTTAGTGGCCTCTAGCATGATTTTTATATATCAATATTAACTTGCAGCATTGATGGTAAAGGACGACCCATGGCATGTTATACTTCATTTATTCTAACATTTGAACCTAACACGTCATTAGAAGTGTATAAATCAATATGTTTAACTTTACATTTGTTCCAGTTTTGGTTCAATCCAAATAATGATTACATTTCATGACAAAATATAAATAAATGTCAAAATACCTTCTTAATGTAAAAAAAACAATTCAAATGTATTCTTTTGGCCCTGATCAGCTCCTATTGCTCTTATTGCTCTGCCCCTGATCAAAATGAGTGTGACACCCCTGGCTTACAACAACATGGTTTATTTGAGGATAATTAATGCACAATTTCTTGCTTGTGTTTCTGCAGTCCGTTGGTCAATCTGCCCGACACAAAGCTGCCCAAAGACGAGGCGTTGAGGCTCCTGAGAGCGGAGATGCAGCGCTGTTTGGGGAATCTGAAAGCAAAAAGGCAGAAGATTGAGCAGCTGCAGCACGAGCTCCGGGACAGCCAGGCCCGATCAGAGCAGCTGCAGGCGGAGCTAGAGGAGGCTAGACTCAGCTCCAGGGTGAGAGTGATATCAACAAGCTTTAGTGTAGAAGGAAAGGCAGAGAATAATGTTACGTTAACTACATGCTACAACTGTCTTTTACAGATCAGGGAGAATGGTCAAGTAAAACATACGGATCTATCAGAGACGTCTCAGAAAGAGCTCGAGAAAGTGGAGGAGGACAAACGACAATTAGAGAAACAACTAGAGGTCTGTAGATGTTTTTAAATCGATGTTGCGGTGATGCTTCCGTAAATGTTTTATGGCTTTGCAAATGTAACTTTTGTAACTTTAATTACAGATTTTGGAATATAAATATAAGGAGCTGAAACAGAATGAGGAAAAAGTGAAGGCTGCAAACTTAGAGCTGTGCACCAAAATGAGAGAAATGATTCAGGAGCTGGATCAAGAAAAGCAGGAAGCAACTGAAAGGTACTGGACCTTCTTATCAACACACTTCCTCCAGCTCATCTGGAGTAATTCCGAGGTATTTGCCCATGCTCTCCTTTGGGGCCCCCCACAGTGGGATCCGTGGGTGTTGCGTGCTTAGAGGACTGTGTGGTGTCACACACACAGCCTCTGACTGTTGACACCAGATCTGATAATATGTTGGCTCTGTGTTTGTGTTCAGGTCAGAAAGGCTTCACCAGCAGCACAGGGAGGATGTGGTGAAACACATCAGGACTGAGCTCCATCAGCAGCACTCTGCACAGATGGAAGAACTGAGCCAACACCTCCAGCAGCAGATCCTGCAGTTACAGTCCGTTACATGTTTTATTGTTTATTTGGTGCCACATAAAAGGTTGCCATTTACTGATGTCCATAATCTCTCCTTAGAAGTCAGCTTTCTGAGGCTCATGACAAAATGTCCACAGTACAAGAGTGCTACATTTGTGTTTGCAAAGAGAAAGACGCGCTGGAGGAAAGTATCCGTAACAAAGAGAATGAAGCAGCTGCAATAAAAGACACAAAGGTAAATAAATATGTTCTGGTGAATGCTTTGAAAGAACACTATAGAAGTTACTATGGAGTACAGACTGACTGTTGTTTCAATAAAAGATGCATGAGGATATTGATGCTGCTCTGAAGAAGCTCAGGACTGAGATGGAGGCGCAACACCAGGAGATCATCACTGAACTCAAAGATCTCTGGAGCAAAGACAAGGAAAAGGAGATTCAGGACACAGTGGATACACGGGAGGCTCAGATCAATGCAACATGGAAAGAAGAGATGAAGAAGGTAGAGTGATGTCAGAGCATGAATGGCTTTTTGTTTCCACTTGCAAAGGTTTTAAGATGTCTTTTTCTAATGTTGACCATCTATGCATGCATGTTGTTTTTCCTTCTTTTGCATGTTCCAGATGGAGCAGAGTTGGTCTCTAAAGCTTGAGGCGTTAACCCGACAAAGGAATAGACAAACTGCTGAAGCGACCGTTCAGACGAGCTGTTTTCAAGACAGTCATGTGAGCATCAGTGCAGAGGAGCTGGAGTCCAGGCTCCTGGATCAGAAACAACTTCTGCAAACTGAAGCGGAACGAGCCAAAAGGAAAGCTGTGGACGAGACCAAGACACAGGTCCAGAAAGAACTACATGAGAAACATCTGGAGGACATGGCCAAACAGGTGAATGTATACACACACATATACATGCACACTTACACACGCACGCACACATACACAAATACACACACATACAGTACATACACCCATGCTGTGAGAGAAGTGAGAAATTGGACTGAATGTTATATTTGAACTAATGGCCATAGTATTTTTTTTCTAAAAGCTTTAACACATTCACTTGAACAGAAATTCAAGGAGGTGTGTTGTTTTGACTCGTGGGAAAGAATAGAACGTCTCATAATGAAATAATCAAAACACACTTCTGACTTTCAATATCAGTTTTCTAGCCCACTACAGCCAGCCCATCACCCACACAGAGCAATGTTAGAAATGTTAAACGCATCTTTACAAGGACAACAGATAAAAGAAAGAGCAGCGTGTGCAACACCTCAAACTTTCTTGACCTGACCCACACAAAACAATGTCGGAAAATGCAACCTGGGGTTTTTTTCTCCGTGCGAATAAACCTTAAATATTGTTTATTATGCCAAACTGACTCCTAATGAATAGTTGTTATATTTTTAGCTAATGGAGAAAGGTACTGGCTTCGTTTTCCGTTTGCATAACAACTATTTTGATTTCCAATTCCTAAAGGTGGAAGGTGCGGTGACGAGGGCCTACAATCGGTGGGTAGAGGACTTAACTTCATTACCAGAATACCAGGCATCTCTTCGACGTGAGAAAGAGAAATGGAAAGAACATCGGCAAGAAGTCATAGATGAAAAGGTACGTGCTCTACCAAACCGCTCATGTTTATTACATGATATGACACATTTTATGGTCCTTATCTTTGACTCTATTCTCTGCGTCTAAATGGATCAGCTTTCCCTGGCATTACACGCAGCAGAAGAGCAGTGTGAGAGGAGACAGTCTTCACCTCGACTCGAAGAGCTGCTGCAGACGGTATCGAGCCTGAAGAGCCAGCTGGACCAGAGCAGGGGAGAGCAGGCCGCTTTGCTGAAGGCCGAACTGTCCGCCGCTCGATCTGCCTGGAACAGAGACAAGCTAAAGGAGATCGACAACCTCCAGATGCAGAGCGAACAGGCGTATCAAACCAAACTACAGCAGCAGCAGCAGAGACTAGAGCAGGCTGTGAAACGGGCAAAAGAGGAGCTCCAACGAGAGAAGGAGGACGTGGAGGCCCGGATTCAAACGGCCGTGAGAGCCAGAGAGCAGGAGCTGAAACGTCACATCGCCGAAAAAGAGATACGAGCGGAAATCCAAGCTTTACTGGCAAAAGTCCAAACTCAACACTTTTTGGAGCAGCAGGGATCGGAGGGAGCCAAGCGAACCAGTGGGGACCCGTCAGAGGACACCATAACACTGGTCGTCCAAAACTTCTGCAAAGATGTCGTCAACAGAGCAGTGGTCCAGGCCAAGAGGGAGTGGAAGAAGGCGAGTGACTTCAGGACACATCAGTAGCAACGCCAGACTTTACACTCATTTTGGTCAGGGGCCGGTTAAAAAGACTAGGAACTGGTCGGGGCCAAAAGAATAGAAGGGATCTTTCTTTTCTTATAATTGTTTTTTATTTATGAAGGTATTTTGACATATTTCTTGTGTTTATTATTTAGATTGAACCAAAACTGGAACAAATATAATTTTAAACACATTGTTTTATATTTGACTCTTTAACTTCTAATAATGTGTTCGATTACATTTTTAGAATAAATTAAATTAGGTTGTTTTCCTGAGAAAATAATACTGATGTAAAACATAGCTTGGTAAACCCATAACCATCAATGCTGCAAGTTATTAATAATAATTGAATATCATTTCAGGGGCCACTAAAAATTGTCTTTAGGGCCGGATTTGGCCCATCAGCCTGAGTTTGACCTGCCAGTGCCGGCTTTAGACTATTTCAACAACTTTAGCATTTGTAACATAGTATGACATCATAGAGTGAATGTGAATATGAAGTGTAATCCTCCTCTCTTCTCACAGATGAGTGAGGAGAAACTGTGCCTTGTGTTGAAAGAGACCCACGAAAGATACGAAAAAGAAATCAACAAAATGCGAGGTATTTAGATTCTCTCCTGCCGCTTTTTCATAAACGTGAGGAGATGTCATGTTGACGTTTTGATCTTTTCCTCAGCGTCTGTGTCTCAGTCGAGCGAGCGCGGTAGAAGCAGCCAGGAGAGCGCTGCAGCTGTGGAGAAACTGCAGAAGAAGAACCAGGAGCTGCAGAGGCACTTGGAGAAGGCGTGTCATCAGCTGCAGAGCACCGTGAGAGAGCACAGAGCGGCTGTGGAGAAACTGTCAGGTATCTGCAGCTGTGTGTGTGGTGATGCAGCTGTGTGTGGTGACCATGCAGCTGTGTGTGTGGTGATGCAGCTGTGTGTGGTGAACATTCTTTTATTATTATTTATTCTGTTTTTAGACAAACACCAACATTCTCTGCAGAGGATCAAAGAGGAGCACGAGCAGCAGCTGCAGGACGCACAGAAGAGCAGAGAAAAGTCAGAGTTAGTATCTGTGGTGCTTTCTTTTAGGGCGGAATGTTTGACTCACAGCCAGGAGGTCCCAGGAGGTTTTTGTGGAGTTTGCATGTTCTCCGCGTGTTTGCATTGGTTTCCTGTACATGCCCCGTAGGCCTGGCATGCACCTCCGTGGCGAGTGAGAGTGAAAATGCCAACGCTACTCGTATTTTAAGTACATTTACTTTGAGTATAGTATACTATATATTAGAGTATACTTTCAAAATACAGTATATTTAAGTGTACTTTCAAAGTTAGATATAAAAGTATATTTAAAGTTGTTCAACTTCAATACAAAAAATCCTTAATGTATTACATTTTTGTTTTTCAATAAACACAATTTCAAGTACAAAGAGTATTTTCAAAAACTTTAAGAATATTTAAAATAATGAATAACTTACTCATTGGCCTTTGGGCCTGAAGGTCGTGGGTTCGAGCCCACCGTAAGACCTACTTCACGACTCCCACTGATGACTGCTGTCGTTGTGTCCTTGGGCAAGACACTTAACCCCACTTTGCCCAAAGCCCCAACTGAAAGATCTCAGCTCCTGTGGACTCACCACCTGCAGGAGGATCAGGGGCTGGTGCTCTGTGTACTGGGTGCAGCTCTGACTGCCACCCCCCCGACCCAGAAATGGATTAAGGGGAAGAAAATGGATGGATGGAATAACTTACTCAGTTTAGCTTTGTTATAGTAAGTCAAAAATCTAGTTCTTTTCTTGTGTTTATTCAGAGCGCAGGTTAAATAACTGAAGCCGCTTTCTGACTCTTGTTTTGTTCAGGAGCGCGGACCAAAGGCATTTCCAGCAAGGCCTGGAGGAGATGAAACGGCAATATCTAAATACTGTGGAGAAAATACGAGGTTTGTAAGAAAACAAATTCAATGTATCTAAATGTACCATACTCGGGGCAACGTTTTCACTCAGTCCCACTGTCGTGCTGTTATTGAACGGTCATGTGTTTATCGATACACATTGAACTTTTGCACAGTGCTCATCTCTCCCAGAGCACCGCCCCCCAGTGTCCAATTTGGGGGTGGCAGCATCGTGTATAAGGGGCTGCTTTTCTTCAACAAGGGCAGGGAAGAGAGTCAGTGTTTATGGGGAAAGTAGAAGGAGCAAAATACTGGACAAACTTCGAAGACATCCCTTAGCTGTCCCACAGTGGGGAAATTTCAGTTTTCAGTGTTGCATCCGTGGTTAAGCCTGGCCCGTGTGAGACCCCACACACGGAGATAAAAAATCACGGGTCGTACAGTGTGTGGTGCGCAGCCACACGGCAAAATCACGCAAACCACACACATCACACACGAACCGATTTCACCCCTGAACATTCACAGGTCACTGGAAATCTCACAACATCTCTCGAGATCAGAGTATACAGAGTGTACGGGCCTCTCTGCTTCACGCAGCCTATAGAGACTCTCGTCTGACCACAGCAGCCACAGACACCATGAGGACAAACACATACATGTGGATTTTACTGCTCTACAGTTCTCTGGCCCGTACTGTCTGTGCTGTTCAACAATACAGTTTGTACGGACTACCTGTGAACGCATCACACACACTGCTGGACATGAAACTTTACATACGCGCAAACCAACAAGCACGGCTGCAGTAACGGCTGCACCACCACGTCTGTACTGTATTAGGACAGAGTGCAAAGTAAACGTACAAACACAACCATCAGTCTGATCATTTAGTACTAATCTTATCTAATCTTGGCTTATGCCAACACTACCTGTGCAGCAGCAATGTCTGCCCAATTCCTCTCCGTGTCATTTTGGTGATGATTTTCTTTACACGACACGTCATACATACATTGCCAGAGGTCATCTAGATGTTCCTCCATCTCTGATGTCCACCGAACTTTCTGGTGCGCCATGCCGCTGACTGGCTTGTCTCTTCTTCTGATTGGCTACACGCCGCAGTCATGGCAACGCGCTCGTCTGTCCTCGGGGGACACCACACACGGAGAAAAATCGGGCCAAAACAATCCAAGATGTTGGATATCCCCGATATTGAGATCGGAGCAGTCCCGAAGTCCTTCCGAGCGACGAGCGCAGTCTTAACACACCACACACGGCAGGAAAATCCATCACATTTTTTGTTACGATATTTGGAGCGTTCTTACGATTGTCGTAGGGGTAAATCGGGTCCAAAATTGGCCTAATTATCCTGCCGTGTGAACCAGGCTTTACAGAACTGAAGGAATGAGGAGCACACAGCAATAACTCTGCACTAAAATAAAACTCTAGCTTTCGCATGATAAGGAAGATATACATATAAATACTGTATATTATAGCGCAAGAATAATATGTATACATCTATACATGTTCGTAGGATGAGGGTAAAGTGACAGTGGAGAAATATGTGGTTCTATATTGCACATTCTGACATTAGTACAATTATTATAGCACAGATGAGTAAAGTGCAGTGACAGTGCACATCTTTTCAGAACAAAACATTTTTAAAACCACTGTTTGCGGTCGTCAAACAGACCAAACCTGCAAAAGCTTCGACCTGTATGAACACACTTTCTCAACCCCTTGCTGAACCCACGGCTGACATCGTTGTGTGCATTCTCCAGGCGACATGATGCGTTACCTCCAGGAGAGCCGCGAACGAGCCGCAGAGATGATCCGGGTGGAGGTGCAGAGGGAGCGGCAGGACACCGCTCGCAAAATGAGACACTACTACCTCACGTGTTTACAGGAGCTACTGCAGGACGGAGGCCAGAGCGCCGGGTACGACACAGAAAAGGCATTGCAACCGCTGTCGCCATGACGCCCATTGAACTTGTTTTCTCCGGCCTGTGTGTGTGTAGAGCCGAGAAGAAGATTATGAGCGCGGCGGGTAAACTGGCAGCGATGGCCAAGGTGCTCGAAACGCCAGTCAAGAACAAAACGCACGGGAAAAAACCTGCATTAACCTGTAAGTGTTAAATATACTGGCTTTTGTTTTTCATTTATTTTAATCTTGTTGGCTTCTTTTATCAGCTGACATCGAATCAGAGAAATTTAATTTAAGTTAAAAACGTGTCATGTTTTTTTGTGGTTTGAAAGTTGGGTATATTTCCGCTCAAAGCACAAAACAATTGGCAACTAAGATAAGATGGATAAGAATCAGAATAAGAATCAGTTTTTTTTGCCGTGTAAGTAACAAGAAGTCACAAAGTAGGGAATTGCTTTGGCTCTCGATGAAAACAGGCCAAGTAGAGAATAGAATACAGTGCCTTGCGAAAGTATTCGGCCCCCTTGAACCTTTACAACAAATATGTAAAAACTAAATTTTTTGTCAAGAATCAACAACAAGTGGGACACAATTGTGAAGTGGAACGAAATGTATTGGATAATTTAAACTTTTTTAACAAATAAAAAACTGAAAAGTGGGGCGTGCTATATTATTCGGCCCCCTTGCGCTAATACTTTGTAGCGCCACCTTTTGCTGCAATTACAGCTGCAAGTCGCTTGGGGTATGTCTCTATCAGTTTAGCACATCGAGAGACTCGAATTCTTGCCCATTCTTCCTTGCAAAACAGCTCGAGCTCAGTGAGGTTGGATGGAGAGCGTTTGTAAACCGCAGTATTCAGCTCTTTCCACAGATTCTCCATTGGATTCAGGTCTGGACTTTGACTTGGCCATTCTAACACCTGGATACGTCTATTTGTGAACCATTCCATTGTAGATTTGGCTTTATGTTTTGGATCATTGTCCTGTTGGAAGATTAGTCTCCGTCCCAGTCTCAGGTCTTTTGCAGACTCCAACAGGTTTTCTTCCAGAATGGTCCTGTATTTGGCTCCATCCATCTTCCCATCAATTTTAGCCATCTTCCCTGTCCCTGCTGAAGAAAAGCAGGCCCAAACCATGATGCTGCCACCACCATGTTTGACAGTGGGGATGGTGTGTTCAGGGTGATGAGCTATGTTGCTTTTACGCGAAAACAAATATCGTTTTGCATTGTGGCCAAAAAGTTTGATTTTGGTTTCATCTGACCAGAGCACCTTCTTTCACATGTTTGGTGTGTCTCCCAGGTGGCTTGTGGCAAACTTTAAACAAGACTTTTTATGGATAACTTTGAGAAATGGCTTTCTTCTTGCCACTCTTCCATAAAGGCCAGATTTGTGCAGTGCACGACTGATTGTTGTCCCATGGACAGACTCTCCCACCTCAGCTGTAGTTATCTGCAGTTCATCCAGAGTGATCATGGGCCTCTTGGCTGCATCTCTGATCAGTCTTCTCCTTGTTTGAGATGAAAGTTTGGAGGGACGGCCGGGTCTTGGTAGATTTGCAGGGGTCTGATACTCCTTCCATTTCAATATAATTGCTTGCACAGTGCTCCTTGAGATGTTTAAAGCTTGGGAAATCTTTTTGTATCCAAATCCGGCTTTAAACTTCTCCACAACAGTATCTCGGACTTGCCTGGTGTGTTCCTTTGTCTTCATGGGTCTCTCTGCGCTTTAAACAGAACCTGAGACTATCAAAGAGCAGGTGCATTTATACGGAGACTTGATTACACACAGGTGCGTTCTATTTATCATCATCAGTCATTTAGGACAACATTGGTGTTAAATCAAGATAAACTCCACTTGTAGTTCGTTACATTTATTTCAGTCAACCATACGCAGGTTCAACATACAACCCGCCTCTCACGGTCTGCATAGAAAAAAAACATGTGCGCTATACAAAGAGCGCTAGAGCCCCCTAGCTGTAAGGCATGGAAGGTGAACATTAAACCAAGAGCTAACAAACTCACTCTCTTTATAAAAATAAAAAATAAACCTTTTTTTTTTTTTTTTAACACAACATGGACAAGTAAACAGTATTAACAGAATCGTTTTATAACATTCAGATGGTCACCCAACAGCCCACTGTCCTTCATGAAGAGCCTTTAGCAACCTAGCTGAAGAGGCACCCTTATTTGTTAGGCAGTCTGCAAGTTGGTCTTTGGTTTCTGACAACACCACCTGTTGAACCATTTTGTTTTGGGTCAGTTCTTTTATAGAACTAATTTCCAAGTGTAGTCTCTTTTCAGTCACAAACTTTGTAGACTTCAGTGCATCAACTAGAGAAAAGTTATCAGTAACACAGATTATTGGCACACTGTGATCTGTACAACCTGCACTCAGCTCAAAAAACAATGTAGAAAGATAAATGGCATTGTCAACTCCCTCAGACATTGCTAGCGTTTCACCTGCAAGTGCACTTCTGACAACTCTCTTGATCCTCTTTGACTGCCATGATATTGGAGAGAAGTGTCCATTGTCACCCATTAAAACAATAAGGTGCCCACCTTGAGTACCCCCATCTGATAGGTTAGCGAAAGAAGCATCAGTGAAAGTAACAATCTTTAAGCTACTGTCTTTACCAAGGTGCTGGAAATTCAACTCGACTGACTTGGCTTTAAGTTTGCACACAACTCTGTTTGCTTCATTGATGGTTTGTATAGTAGCCTGCTTGAGATTTGATGCTAAGTTACTTGCATCAAACATAACATCAGGTCTGCTTTGTCTGGCAACCCACAACAGTTGCCCTATCTTAGATCTTAGAAGGTCTCTCTCAGTTTCTGTGAGCAATGAGCTTGGCTCGGCAGCCCGTGAAGGAGCAAGAGGGATGGGCTGTAAATGCTGAATGTATGTCTCTTGTTGAATTTGGACTTTTTTGCCTAAAGTAACAAAATTAACACCCACATAAGAGAAGCTATCCTGAGCTTCACGACCTACATTGAATTTGGATCTTATGATCGTATGACATTCATAGAGAAAATTTTTGTACCTGCCCAAATGAAATCATCCACATGACCTGCTAGTATACCAGTTACATTTTTTTCCTTATCTAACCAGTAGAAAATTGCAGGGTCTACTTTAGATATGACAGCTCCGGCTTCAATCATTATGCCTTTTACTCTGTTATACCAATACAGTGAAGCGTCAGCTAAACCATACACACATTTTCTCAGTTTCCAAACTATGCCTGTACTATTGGCCTCTGGAGGCGGTTTGATGAAAATGTCTCGAGACAGTTCTAGTCCTTGTAAAAAAGCTGATTTGATGTCCCTTGAATTAAGTTGCCATTGTTTGTGGCAACTCACTGCCACAAGGAGCCTCAGAGACTCCGAAGCACAGGTTGGAGAGTCCTTTTGTAGTTCCGAAACTTGTAGCTCTTCAAATCCTCGTGCAACAAGCCTGGCTTTAGGAACTAATCCGTTCTCCGTCTCTTTCAGAGTGCACACCCACCGAGTAGAGATGCACTTTTGTCCATTGTCTTCAACCTCTTCATACACATCATTTTGTATCCAGCTTTTTATTTCACTGATTTTAGCTTCATCAAATGAGACATCCTTTGTGATAAAAAACATCTTCATCATCAACAGCTTCACTGGTACCTGCCCTCTCAGCAGGCTCAAGTAGCTCCAAGTTGTACCAGTTCTTGTATTTTCCTTTTGCTTTACCAGCACGTCCCAACACTTTTGCTTTCTGCAAGGCTTGTTTCTGAATGTCACAATTTGACCAGTCTTCACATTTCCATCAAAACCTCCTTCAGCCGCTGCATTTTCCGGAGCATTCAGTGGGTCATTGTCAATGTTTTCACTATTTGTCTCTTCTATATTATCACTTATGTCATAGGTGTTGTGTTGTTCAATTTCAGAGTTAATCAGAAGTTCCACATGGTCCTGAGTAACCTTTCTCAGCCGAAGTTGGTGAACTCTGACACAGATGCCTCCATGTCGAACAAAAACAACAGCACCGTCTTGTCCAATGACCTCTCCTGGCCCTTTCCACTCTGCACAGTCCACACGTTTGTAAAACACCTTGTCTCCAAGTTCATACTTCTGATCGTTGCAACGCAGCTGTTTCTTCAGTGCTCTCCGTATCCGCTCTGAACACTCCGCTTCTGTAAATGCCTTCCGTGCATTGTGCAGAGCTGAAATGTGTTTGGCAACCCAATCGCATCTTGTGGTGCCCTCTAATGCAGGTGCCCTGTCAATTAGAACAGAGGGTAAGTTTGGATTCTGCCCAAACACGAGCTGATGTGGACTGTAACCGTGAACACTTTGCATACAGTTCTTTGCCATAAGAGCCCAGTCCATAGCAATGTTCCAGTCGCATCCTGTGTTGGCTTTCACTTTCAGGATCATTTCAGTCAAGGTTTGGTTATGACGCTCTAACAGTCCATTACTCCAAGGGCTGTAGGCAGGTGTTGTCTTCACTTCAATATTAAAGTTTTCAGCCATATCTCTAACTTCTTCATTATTAAACTCCCCACCATTATCACTGAACAACGTTTGTGGTGGACCGTGAACACAAAATGTTTGACTATTTCAGAAGACCTCTTTGTGGTAATGACACTCCCCGCGCTAAATCGAGTGAACTGGTCAATGATATGTAGGTACCACACTCCTGGCTGAAGCTCATGCAGATCTACAGCCACAGTCTCATTTATATGTTGACGCAAGTGGTAAACCGACGGCAGGTTTGGGTTTGGTCTTACAGTACCTTTGGCAGGCTTCACATTGACCAATTACTTTTTGTAATAGGCTAATGCATTCTGTGTCTTTGTTGCCAGAACTGCTCAAAAGTCTCTGTAACTTGTCGGCAGACGCATGCCCAAACTGTTTATGAAGTTTCTCTAAAACTTTCATCTTCTCACTTGTGTTCATTTCGTTCGTGTTTGTAAGTACTTCTTCAATAGTTGTCAATATCTGATCAGCACTTGTAGGGCAACTGTTCTCATTATCAACTATGTTCACACAGTAATGCTCTGAGCTTGTAAAATCCAGTTTGACAGGTTGATTGAACATCACTGCACTGTCATTTTCCATGTCCAGAACTGTCCCAGCACATTTCAAAGATGTTTTACTCAAAAGCAAGGGGATATTAACAGGAACAACTTCTGTCTCGATATTACATTTTGTGTTACCAATCTTGGCCGGTATCTTAACATTTTTGACAGAGTACACTACTTTTCCGTCCCCAAACTTGAAGGGCCTGTGACTCTGCATTTCTGTTGCCCTCATTGACTTGACGTTTTTCTTTCCGGACACACAAATGTAGTTGTCTAACCACTCTTGTCCACATACAATCCTTGTGCACGCAGTGTCTATTATAGCAGAGCCAAAACATTCCGTCATGAATATTTCTGCATCTGTTGGCGATGCTTTGGTGTACAATGTAATGTTATACTCTTCAAAGCCTGCTTTATCTTTAGCTTTATCTTCAGTTATATTCACACTCTCACCTTTGTGTGGACAATCTCTGGCCCAATGAAACGTGCTTTGACACACTGCACACTTTGATCGGCGTCCGAACTTGTCCAACGGGTTCGTACCGGGTTGTGGAGTTCTGGGTCTGCCGCTTTGTTGCCAGGTTTTACCTTTATCCCGCCGATGCTGCTCCGTGGCAAACACAGACTCTTGACTGATTCCCTCTGATGCAGCACTCATTTTACCGCTAAATATCCTCTTCAAAGCAGACTTCATCGAGGCGAATGTAAGATCTGTGCATGCTGTTAAAGCCAGCTGCCTGTCAGTCCCATCTAAGCACGCAGTGTCCAACAGCTTAAAAGCTAAAACTGCGTCAGGTAGCTCCATTTTGTGTTTGCGCATACGTGAATACCGCTGTTCAAAATCAATAATATAATCCGCCATGGACACACTTTCATGTTTAACAATGCGGTCAAAATCAGTGTATGCCTCGTAAATACGGTCTTTTTCTTCTTTGAGGAACAAACTGTCAAGTTTATCCAGCAAAATTTTCATTCCTGTGTCTTCATTTAATTCGTCTACCGGTATTTCCATTGCAGTCTCCCGTGCTCATCCCGACAGCGACAAAGCAACAGCGAGGGTTTGTTTTTTCTTTTCCAGAATCAGAATCAGAATCAGAATCATTTTTATTGCCACGTAAGTAACAGGAGGTCACAGACTATGAAATTGCTTTGGCTCAGTGCAACAGTCAAAAAGAGATAATAAAAATAAGAATAAAAAACTTCTAAAGAATAAATTTAAATTTAAAATAGAGTTACAGTTACTATTTACAATATACAAGTGCACATGGTGCACACAATGTAAGGTGACAGCAGTACAGTGAAGTAAAGTGACGTATGATGGGCAGTAAAGTGACTTTATAAAGGGCGGGGGGACAGGTTAAGAAGTGTTCAAGAGTCCAACAGCAGAGGGGAAGAAACTGACTTCTTCATTATTAAACTCCCCACCATTATCAAGTCCGTGACTCTGGCCCAAATGCCGACTTAATTTTTCCAGCTTTTGTAGAGTTTCCCCTCTTCAAACGGTGGTGGAACTCTGTAGTTACAAGCCATCCTCTGCTACCATGTTAAATCAAGACAAACTCCACTTGTAGTTCGTTACATTTATTTCAGTCAACCATACGCAGGTTCAACATACAACCCGCCTCTCACGGTCTGCATAAAAAAAAAACATGTGCGCTATTCCAAGGGCGCTAGAGCCCCCTAGCTGTAAGGCATGGAAGGTGAACATTAAACCAAGAGCTAACAATTGGATCATTCAAAGATCCTCACTGAACTTCTGGAGTGAGTTTGCTGCACTGAAAGTAAAGGGGCCGAATAATATTGCACGCCCCACTTTTCAGTTTTTTATTTGTTAAAAAAGTTAAAATTACCCAATAAATTTCGTTCCACTTCACGATTGTGTCCCACTTGTTGTTGATTCATGACAAAAAATTTAAATTTTATATCTTTATGTTTGAAGCCTGAAATGTGGCGAAATGTTGAAAGGTTCAAGGGGGCCGAATACTTTTGCAAGGCACTGTAAGTATAACATTTTCTAAAACATAAAAATTCAAAGAGAGAGACTTGGCATCTACACAAAGATATTCATAAAAAACATTTACACAAATAACAATAAAAACATAACAGATAAGTTGCAAAAAGATGGTATAAGTGGTCAAAAGGTGCTTAGTCAGGACTACAGAGCTCATTTCTGAGTAAAAACCCAAGACAAGAATACATTTTAAAAAATATACCCCTTTATTCGTCCCACAGCGGGGAAATATCAAAGTCCTCGTCACAGCAGAATATAAAGGAGGAAATAAGAGCACTATGTAATCAAATCCATCAAACTGTAGTTCCTCGCTCTCAAAACTGATAAAGGCAAAACCACAGCCCAAAACTTAAAATAGTGACTGTTTCTTACATATGCCAAAGATCAATGTTTTTCCATAAAGCCGAAAACCGAAGAAAAAAATTCATTTTAATAATCAAAAGATATTTTATGTTTTTCATGTATCCAAACACCTCCTCTGTCCTTTAGAAGTTGCTAGAACATACAGTGCCTTGCGAAGTATTCGCCCCCCTTGAACCTTTCAACATTTTGCCACATTTCAGGCTTCAAACATAAAGATATAAAATTTAATTTTTTTGGTCATGAATCAACAAGTGGGACACAATCGTGAAGTGGAACACAATTTATTGGATAATTTAAACTTTTTTAACAAATAAACTGAAAAGTGGGGCGTGCAATATTATTCTGCCCCTTTACTTTCAGTGCAGCAAACTCAGTCCAGAAGTTCAGTGAGGATCTTTGAATGATCCAATGTTGTCCTAAATGACTGATGATGATAAATAGAATGCACCTGTGTGTAATCAAGTCTCCGTATAAATGCACCTGCTTTATGATAGTGTCAGGGTTCTGTTTAAAGCACAGAGAGAACCATGAAGATAAAGGAACACACCAGGCAGGTCCGAGATACTGTTGTGGAGAAGTTTAAAGCCGGATTTGGATACAAAAAGATTTCCCAAGCTTTAAACATCTCAAGGAGCACTGTGCAAGCAATTATATTGAAATGGAAGGAGTATCAGACCACTGCAAATCTACCAAGACCCGGTCGTCCCTCCAAACTTTCATCTCAAACAAGGAGAAGACTGATCAGAGATGCAGCCAAGAGGCCCATGATCACTCTGGATGAACTGCAGATAACTACAGCTGAGGTGGGAGAGTCTGTCCATAGGACAACAATCAGTCGTGCAGTGCACAAATCTGGCCTTTATGGAAGAGTGGCAAGAAGAAAGCCATTTCTCAAAGATATCCATAAAAAGTCTCGTTTAAAGTTTGCCACAAGCCACCTGGGAGACACACCAAACATGTGGAAGAAGGTGCTCTGGTCAGATTAAACCAAAATTAAACTTTTTGGCCACAACTGTCCCCACTGTCAAACATGGTGGTGGCAGCATCATGGTTTGGGCCTGCTTTTCTTCAGCAGGGACAGGGAAGATGGCTAAAATTGATGGGAAGATGGATGGAGCCAAATACAGGACCATTCTGGAAGAAAACCTGTTGGAGTCTGCAAAAGACCTGAGACTGGGACAGAGATTTATCTTCCAACAGGACAATGATCCAAAACATAAAGCCAAATCTACAATGGAATGGTTCACAAATAGACGTATCCAGGTGTTAGAATGGTCAAAGTCCAGACCTGAATCCAATCGAGAATCTGTGGAAAGAGCTGAAGACTGCTGTTCACAAACGCTCTCCATCCAACCTCACTGAGCTCGAGCTGTTTTGCAAGGAAGAATGGGAAAGAATTCCAGTCTCTCGATATGCAAAACTGATAGAGACATACCCCAAGCGACTTGCAGCTGTAATTGCAGCAAAAGGTGGCGCTACAAAGTATTAGCGCAAGGGGGCCGAATAATATTGCACGCCCCACTTTTCAGTTTTTTATTTGTTAAAAAAGTTTAAATTATCCAATAAATTTTATTCCACTTCACGATTGTGTCCTACTTGTTGTTGATTCTTAACAAAAAAATTAATTTTTATATCTTTGTTTGAAGCCTGAATGTGGCGAAATGTTGAAAGGTTCAAGGGGGCCGAATACTTTCGCAAGGCACTGTAACTGCAGATGATTTGACGGAATGAGCTGCAGAAGTTTGTTACGTATTTTATTTTAGAGATTCTATTTTATTACACAAAGTAGAAAGAAAGTGATACTTTCATACATCACATTTAATTGACTATTTAATATAGTCAATTAAATGTGAAACCAGACCAGATTTTATTTTATTTTTTTCAGCGATTCCTTTTTAAATCAAGTGATTTACTTATGTTGTGTTAACCATGTAAATCTTGTGGGATCTGCCGCTTTTTCAGACTGAGGACATTTTATTTTCTATGTAACTGGCGTCACAGTAGAATGGTCCAACCAGAGGCTGATTTTGTCGTTTAAAATGTCGCCAAAAATGTATTTGTCAATCTTTCCTTTTGATTTCATCAACACTATCTCTTCAATGTGTCTGTGTTTGAAATATTTTTTCCAATCTATGATAGTAATTTTTATTTTTGAGTTATAACCTTTTAAAGTCCAGATACTTTAATTGACACTTTACTGTGAACACACTCAGGACAAACATTGTGTATTCAAGTTAGGTACCTCAGCTTTAATATTGCTGCATATAGGGTCTATCCATTCATTTATAAAGTTAAGATTAAGATCCTTTATTTGTCGCACAGTGGGGAAATGTCAGTGTTGCATCACCGGTTACAGAACAGAAGGAAACAGAGCACACACGACAAGACAAATGAACAATAACTCTATAAATACTATCTCTAACTGTAGCATAATGAAGAAGCAAGTATAATATCTCTAGCTTTAGCATAATGAAGAAGCAGGAGTCTACTTTAGCATAATAAGAAGTGTAAAAATGTATAATTGTTAAGTGTGTTTTAGTTACAGGTGGGAGGACGGCTGACGATTTTGGGCCCTCTGTGAAAAAGTCAGATATGGATGAGCGCCCACTGCTCGGTCACCCAGACAAGAGACTGGACCGTGCCAACCAAACACTCAGGGCGCCCGACTCCACTCCGCAACCACCGAGTTCTAAAAGGACCAGACCAGACCGACCCGAGCCTCCGGACCATCTCGCACCTGGACCCACACAGACACACACAACCCTCCAGCAGAAAACCCACACTCCTCAAAGTGTCCGGAGCAAAACTAGGAAACTGTTTCTACAAGAGCCGCCTGTCCGGGAGGAGAAGCGGAGCGCCAACTGGAGTTGTAGTAACGAGTCGATCCCTCGCTTGTCCTCGTCCGGGCGGAGAGTGGAGCCGGTCAAGCCCTTCTCGGTGTCGGCTTCGAACATTGATTTTGGAGAGTTCGGCGGACTGACGCCAGACGCCTCGGACTTAACCATCTACAATGAAATAGTGAAAAAGGCGCCTGATTTGCAGAACTTTGATTCTCACGGTGCAAAAGTGAGTGCTTTTCGAGAACCTACGCCCGGATCTGATTCTGGAAATCATCATGACCCAAAACGCTTTTTCTCAGAGTTGAGGCAGAAGCAGCAGGACAGTGGGTTTGGGAGTCCGTTTTACCAACAGAAGTGACAGAAGTGACAGAAGTGACGGTAATGACAAGACCTGGTGCTTTAGATTGTGTGGTTTTATTGTATTTGTTTGTTTTTGTACATTTACAAAAAGGCAAGTTTACATTTCAATATTGTCTGTTTTCAGTGGCAGCGTGTGAAGAGATGTTAGTCTGACGACTCATGAGGGACTATCCAGAGTCACATGTGATGGAGCCAGATTCAAGGCTTTAATGACTTTAAACTTGTTGAAAAGGGTATTCGATGTGGCACTAATGTTGCCCCACAACCTACATGAAGTAATTGTGCCATTTACTTTGTATTTATTTTACGTTTTGATTGTGATGGTCCCTGAGTCTTTCCTCGTAAAGAATAAATTGATGGTGATGCTTTAAATAACTTTCATTGGAACCTATACAATCGTCCCCAAACACTGTAAATGAAATGATAAAGCTCTGTATTATTGCAGAACAATGACAGTGACGTTAAAGTCTTTAAGGTCTTGAATTTGACTTTCCCTGGAGCTCCCTGTTCGTTCTCAGTAGTTATCACTGACTCTTAAAGCCTCTTATACTTTTTCAAAAGTTGAAAACAAATGTGATTTGCAGAACCTTTTTGTCTTCAAATATTTTATTTATTTGTAGTAATTTAATATAGTGTAATTTTATGTTTTTATAAAACTGTCTTTTAATAAAACTTTATATTTTTACTATTGTTGATAAAGTGTGTTGCTCTTAAGTATTCGTGTGTTTTGACTAAACCTTTTTCTAGATCTATTTCACCTCGTTAGAAATGTTTTCCACCATAGCCCTGTGTCATATAAAGGCCTGGTACCTGATATAACCATGTATGACCATGTGTTTTGGAGATTCTTGACTAATGCATACATGTGACATCACTGTTTCACTTTTTAATGTTTTAGTGAAACATCAAATGAGCTCCTAAAACCCTCAGTGCTTTGACCTCAGGGGCCGACACTGCAGCTCAATGTGAGAGGCCCCTGAATCATTTTCAATGGTTATATTCACTGCAGCATTGATGGTGAGACCATAAACTACCATGGCCTGTTATATCTCATCTTGAAGATGTTTTCAACATGCAATTATTATTGTTAATTAAACAATTTTGTATAATTGACAAATCCTTTCATTTTGACCCAGTTTTGGTTCAGTGCAAACACAATAACTGAACTAGTTTTGTTCAGAAGAATCTATCAGTAAATGATATCAAACTCGCTGGGCTTAGACCGGTCTAAACCAGTCTGACCAAGAGAGCCAGACGTCACCAAAGATTGTTCGTGTGTGCAGTTAAGGAGGAGTGAAGCAGGGACGTGCAGTCAGGGGAGGCAGGGGAGGCAGAGCCTCACCTGCCATTATTGGAAACTAATAATTATTTTAGTTTAAATATATAATTTATATCCACTGTCCTATGCTTTTAATGTATATTCGGCACGGTTCCCATCAGTTTTGATCATTTCTGAAGTCAAAATCGCCGAAATCCCGTTATTCCTATTCAAAGAGACGAGGTGAGGCAGCGCTCCTGCGTGCCTCACCCCAGACCGCTCCCTCACAGTGTGTGTGTGTGTGTCTGAGTGCACTCAGCTCGTGCAGTTGATATATCACCGTTTGTTTCAAATATCCTGCTTTAAAAACATTTTTTAAACTCCTCTTAGTGTTTAGTAGTGTATTGCACGTATGTGTGTACAATTTATATTTAGTTTAAGTCTTTTGATCGTAGATGAACACACAAGGAAAAAGCTTGGCGTGAGGCAGGCGGTATCTGTGCCTCACCGCTAGGGGTGATAGTGAGCATAAAGTTCATACCAGAGTTGCTAACAAACAATCAGCCCAAAATGCTATTTCTTTTGCTGGAAAATGGATGATTTGAATGAAGATTTTTTTTCTCAATTGGACTTTCAAACAAAGAAAGAATTAATATAGACTGGGAGACCACCACTGGACTTACGAGGTTAGTCCGGCTGCGGGGGAGGAGTTTGTTAATCTGTGTTTTATGTTGAACATTGACAGATACCGGCAAAGTAGTGCTTTTCCGAAAAACACTGATTCAAACACTGCTCAAGAGTTCTGCAACTTGTTTAAATTATTGTTTATGTTCCTCGCGTCTCTCTCTCCTCGCGTCTCCGTCTCTCTGCTCCTCTCTGTCTCTCTCTGCTCCTCTCTCCTCGCGTCTCTCTCTCCTCGCGTCTCTCTCTCCTCGCGTCTCCGTCTCTCTGCTCCTCTCTGTCTCTCTCTGCTCCTCTCTCCTCGCGTCTCTCTCTCCTCGCGTCTCTCGCACCTGCGCTTCTTAAAGATGTTGTTTGATGCGGAGCAGAGTCAGCAGCTAGATTTGTTGTGAGATTATTAAAAGAAGCTGGTTCTCTTATCTTTACAGTATATAAAGTTTGTGGATGTCATTGCATTGGTGATTAAATGCTATTTTATTTGAATAATGATTGTAAATCTGACTTTTAAAGTCAGTGCCTCCCCAATCACAAACCTCACCGCACGTCCCTGGAGTGAAGTATGTGTTTATCTGTAACAGTTTGTGAACTTATCATTGACTAACACTGCCCTTTGAACATCCAGTGAATGTGTTCAGTCTCGGATCTTTAGTCTCTCAGTCTGAGTCTGGTCTAGGTTCTACAGTCTATGGTCTGAGTCTGAGTCTGGTCTAGGTTCTACAGTCTATGGTCTGAGTCTGAGCAGCTCCAACATGCTTCTCACACTAGTCGTTGCTGCGCTTCTGTTGTTTGGATTTCTTTACTCCTTCCCCTACTTTTTTCAGGATCTGTATTTACTTTACTGCAGAAGGCGCATGGGGCATCGCATTCTGAAATACATGAAGACAGACTACTCCATCATAGATCGCTTTGTGGACGTGGCGCAGACTCAGCCTCAGAAGACCTTCCTGAGGTTCCGAGATGAGAGTTGGACTTACAGAGAGGTGGACGAGCTCAGCAACAGAGCGGCCCGGGTCTTAGTGCGCAGCGGCGTGAGGAGAGGGGACGTGGTGGCGCTCTTCAGCTCCAACAGCCCCATGTTCGTGTGTCTGTGGCTGGGACTGGCCAAGGCTGGAGCTGTCGGGGCGTTTCTCAACTCCAACATCCGCAACAGATCTCTGATGCACTGCTTCAGGGTCAGCCAGGCCAAGGTCCTGGTGGCAGCGGAGGGTAAGTGCTGACCGGATAGATGTGGATATGCATGTATTAATATAAGTATGTAAGTAAGTGTCTATAAGTACGTATACAGAAGCATGTATGCACATTGATTAACCTAAGTATCAATCAGTGGCTCCTGTGGCCCCTGTCCAGGATGTGGCTCTGTGACTACTGTGGAGGATGTGAGCGGGACAATCAGGAGATGTTTGTGACAGGTCACTGCTGTCAAAGATGCAAATGAGGCTAAAAAGATTCAACTTTTTTCAAGCACAAGGGTTAGAGTTACAATTTTATTAGAAAGAAACCGAATCGTTTTTAATTCATGCGTTTCCATTTGAGCTGTTCTGATCATGTCCTAAGTAAGTAAGTAAGTAAACTTTATTTATATACCGCCTTTCACAGACCAGAGTCACAAAGCAGTTTACAATTCTTATTGTAAACTGATCATGTCCTGATTGGTGAGTTAAAGCAGACGGTTGAAGGTCAGTGGAAACGCTGTATGTGACAGCAGATGACTGTCAGACTTACAGGAGGCGGTGAAGGAGGTGCTGGTGTCTCTGCAGGAGCTGCAGGCCTCAGTGTTCCTGCTGTCGGACTGCTGCAGGTGTCCAGGTGTGGAGAGCTTCACTCAGAGGATGGAGGAGGCCAGTGCGGCCCCTCTGCCCCCGGACTCCAGGTCTGGTGTTTCTCTGCTCAGTCCCGCCGTCTACATTTACACTTCAGGAACCACAGGTGAGCCACCGTCACTGCAGTCGTTATATGAACTATTGTACTGTTCATTCCACTCAACATGTGGTGATGTAAAGTTGGGTAAAATGATATTCCAATCCACATTCTGAGATGTTCCTCCAGGATGGGACGAGGTGTTATTTGTACTCCTTGCTACTTTGTTACGTACTCTACAACTGTACAGATAAACCAAAAACATTTCATTGAACCCTGAGGTTTTTATAGCGACGTGGCTATTATGTGTGTGTTTTTGTGTAGAGTTCGACTATTGTCAGAGCAGAGTTTCTGAACTTAATATTTTGACTACATTAAGTTTCGTAGCTGTAGGACACTTGTTTGTTGTTAAAATAGACTGGTGAGAAAGTCATGGAAGCTAACGGTGAAGCTGGTACACCAACTCTCTGCTACATTACAACATGAACAACATTCAACTCATCTGTGGCTAATATTCAGGTGTGGCCTATATGTGGACAACATTGTTTTTCTTTTTCAATTCCGATGCAGCGGTTTATACACAGGTGCAGAAAGTACGGTTTCTGTCTGTACCTGGTCTCATAAGTCCGTACTGTCAAGATTATTTATTTTTTTATTTGTCAAACCAAGTGAATGGTTTGAAATTATATTTCTCTCATCCTTGATTGTGGAGCAGGGGTGGGGGAAGAGGGCAGGGAGTTTAGCTTCCTGATGGCCTTGTGAATGAAACTGTTTTTAAGTCGACTGGAACTGTTCCGTAAATTCTGCAGTCTCCTCCCTGAAGGCATTACCCTGAAGAGCCTGTGTGATGGGTGCGTAGGGTCCCTGGTGATTCTGACGGCTTTGCGGGTGAGACGGGTGGAGTACATGTCCTTAATGGTGGGGAGAGGGGCTCCACAGATCTTCTCTGCTGCTCTCACGATGCGCTGGAGGCTCCTTCGGCAGGAGGCAGTGCTGGTGCCGTGCCACCCAGTGATGGAGCTGGTCAGGATGCTCTCTACAGTCCCTCTGTAGAAGTTGCCCACAACGGAGGCCGGGACTCCTGTAGCGCCTCTTGTGACGCCTCCACTGTGCTGCAGATGCGTGGGGCCCTCGGTGACCTGTCAGCGCTTCAGAAGATGATATCTCTGGATTTGTAGGTCTTAAATACTGCTCAAAAAGCCTTTAGCTCAGATGCTAACTGTGTGTTTACTTTTAAAAACACATCCTCTGTTCATTGCTAGCAAAGAGCTTTGGCAGTAAAAAAATCCGCTGTACTCCACAAAAACATGGCAAAGATGTACAACAACATCTTGCAAAACAATGCGGATCACAAAAACTGCAAATGCAGTTTGCAGAAAAGGGTAGGAAATCTCGTCCCCTACTCTACATTCTGTATTTGATTGTATGTTTTTGTGAGCAGGTCTTCCCAAAGCTGCCATTCTGAGCCACACCAAGCTGTGGCGGATGTCACTGGTCCATGGCATGATGGGACGCAGCTCTGATGAAGTGCTGTACAACAGTCTGCCTCTGTACCACAGCGCTGGCTTCGTCGGTTTAACCGGAGCCATCGACCTGGGTCAGCACCGCAACTCCATACTTTTGATTTGCAAAACACATCCCAAAAACCAAATATATTTGTTTATGCTTTTTCTTAAAGAAGAAACATCATGCATTATTTTTGCTGTTCAATGAAATGACAATGAGACTATCTACTTTCATTTCATGTTTTAGATTGTGAAAGAATACATTGAGTAGAAAGTGTTTGGTGAAGGGTAACGGAGCCCGTGGGGAGTAGCGCCACAATCTTTGTCAGCGATTACATTTGCTAAACATTCCTCTTGCTCCGGCTTCAATTTCTTGATAGAATCTGAACAGAATACTTTACTATTGCATTTTTCCATTGCCAAACTAAAACCTGCCCGTTCAGCGCAAACTCGTCACCCACAACTAACTACAACACCCGCCTCCCGCGCTCGCTGAATGGTCGGTCGAAATTCAACCGATTGTATTCACTAACACAGGGACCAGACCCAGACGTTACTTGCAGTGAAATGATGATTGAACGGAGTGTACGGATGGCTAAGGCCAGGCTAGAATAAAGCTAAAGAAGGCTAAGTATTTTTGCAAAGTTGAAGTTGAAAACTTTCATTAGGTTTGAAACAACTTTGCGATTCATTTAAATGTGTTGGAGTTTCTGGATAGTAAAAGGTCCGAGGTCCACATGGATCGTATGTGACCACTGGGCCGCACTTTACCCATGTCCGGCGCAGATACATTTAAAAACTCCAAATCTATTATTAATGAGGGAACAATGTTGTAAAATGATTAAAAACTCATGCTACAATTTTGCATCATATGTCTCCTTTAAGTTTCCCAAAATGTTTCTGTTTCCCTCGGGCTGTAGGTAGTACGGTGGCCTTGAGGAGCAAATTTTCAGTGTCAAATTTCTGGAACGACTGCAGAAAGTACGACGCTACTGTCATCTTGTACATCGGAGAGACTCTGCGGTACCTCTGCAACCTGCCGGAGGTACGAGTGGACCACAGGTACAATATTCACAAGTTTAAAGGATAAGTCAATATGTTTTTTCCCCTCCAGAGTCCCGACGATCGGAATCACAAGGTCAGACTTTTTTTAATTCTATTTTTGTATTGAAGGAAAATAGAAAAGGTACAGTCATTTTTTCAATAAACAATCAAGACAAGACAATAACGTACCACAGAAGGATAACGTAAAACCAGTGAGTGTGTGTGTGTGTGTGTGTGTGTGTGTGCACTTGTTTTCAACTCCTGGTGGGTTCCATAACCTGAGATTCCACTCACGTCATGGGGACTGGTTTTACGTGGTGGGGCCCGTACACCGGACCCCACTGGTCCAAGCTTAATAATCAATGGGTAATGCTTTTCTAACGGTCCTTATGCAGTCTCTGTAAAAATATGGAAAGGACCCCTGGAGGTTTACTTTCCTGAAAAAAGTGTGTTATGTGTCGGAACCCTGGTGGTGGGTTGCGGGATATCAAGGAGGGGCACACTGGGGCAATTTCAGTCCAGCAGGCTGGAGCCAATCATGGAGCAGCACAACAGAGGAAATCAGGTGTCAGGCTAGAAAAAGGTGCAAGTGTGTGGTTCATTAGGCTGCAAGAAATCACAGAGCAGCACACTGAAGCGCACGCTTACAAACCACTGGTAAGTGCTGACTACAAGTCATGACTTCAAATTGTTATATAGAATTATTACAAATTATTTGTTGTTTGTGCAGCTTAGTCAAGAGTCCCTAATTGATGAAGTCGACTCAGATTCTGACGATTTAACTGTCAAGAAGAAACCTGTAAAAAAGTATGGAAAAAGAAAAATCAAAAACACTTTTCTTCAAGACTCGGAAAGTGACGAACCAAAGGCAAATAAGATTGTTATCATGCAGCTGCAAAAGAAGAAAAATGGGGCGAGAGTTTACAGCAAGAGACACTTCTGCCTCTACTGTTCAATGTCCTGCCACAAAATGTCCCGTCATTTGACTAGAAAACATGGAAATGAAAGTGACGTAGCCAGAGCATTGGCTCTACCTGTGAAATCTAAAGCACGTAAACTTCCGTTTGATTTGATCAGGAATACTGGAAACCGTGAGCACAATGTTGAGGTTTTAAAGGCCGGCATTGGAACTTTAGTCCCAGCTAAACAGCCAAATTCCCCAGTTAAATCCAGTGAGTTTTTGCACTGTATAGACTGTGGGGCATTGCTTAAGCGAAAGTCGCTGTGGAGGCATGTGGCCAGGTGCCGGCTTTCACAGAAAGATGCCCAGGCTAAACCAGGTAGAAGTAGGGTCCAGTCCCTCTGCTCCCTAGCCCAGCCTGTACCGGAGGGCATCAGCAAAAAACTGTGGTCTTTAATTTTGGCAATGCATCAGGATGAGGTCACGGGTGTTGTCAAAGCAGAAAAGGGGATTCTGAGACTCGGAGAGCACCTGTACTTAAAACACGGGCATGATAAGACTAAGCATGATTACATTAGGCAGAAAATGAGAGAAGTCGGTAGGTTAATTAACGAAGCAAAAACCGCAGGGAAACTGAAAACAATTAAGGATTTCTTTATTCCTTCCAACTTTAATTTGATTGATGCAGTCAGGTCTGTGGCTGGATATGATGAGGAAACAAATCAATACAAGACTTGAATACATCCTTGGCCCTCAAACTCGGCCATAGCCTCAGAAAGCTAGCAGATATTCTTGAATGTGACTCAAAAATGGAGCATTGTGTTGATGAACTATTTATTAAAAACCTCCAACGAAGCCGGCTGCTTTTTGAGAAGAGGTGGGACGTCTGTGTTTCTTCTGCTGCCCTACAGACCCTCCGGCAAGCCAAGTGGAACACTCCGGACCTGCTCCCTCTGACTGAGGACGTTAGAGCCATGCATGCACATATTGAGGTATGTCGACCTGAATATGTGCAAACCCTAATAAGTGAGCCAACCTCTAAGCATTGGTCTAAACTGGCAGTTTTGACTCTTTGTGAGGTCATTATTTTCAATCGAAGAAGGGAAGGTGAGGTTTCAAAGATGCCACTGACAGCGTTCACCTTAAGAAGTAAGACTGGGATCCATTCTGACATTGCTCTGGGACTGTCCCAACTTGAGAAAAAGCTGTGTCAGCATTTTCAACGCATTGAAATTAAAGGGAAAAGAAGTCGGAAAGTGCCGGTTCTTTTGACTCCTGAAATGATTGCTTCGATGGAGGTGCTGGTGGAGAACAGAAGGGCCTGTTCCATCTCTGACCATAACCCATACTTCTTCTCCCGCCCGGGCGCAGACACCCACATCAGGGGATCAGACTCCCTACGGCAGGTAGCCAAAGAATGTGGTGCGGTGCATCCAGAGATGCTATCCTCAACCAAACTTAGAAAGCACATGGCTACTATGTCTACAGTTCTCAATATGAAAGAGAATAAAATGGACATACTAGCCAACTTCCTCGGCCATGACATTCGCATCCACAGACAATATTACAGACTACCAGAGGGGACACTGGAGCTGGCCAAAATCAGCAAAGTGTTGATGGCTTCTTTCCATCAGGTATCAAGATGGCGCCAGCGTGTGTGGCCGGTCGCCTATCGACTCTATTCATTTTAATACATGTCATCTTATTATTATGTTTTCACCAAAAATATGTCTCTGCTCTATTGGTGTATGATCGACAAACTCTTCTTGATATTCAAACTGCACAAAGTTGGACGGCTAAATGTGATTCCGAACAAACAACGTGGAGTCTACCCCCGCACCTGTCCAGTGTCCCAGCGTACCTTTGGCGTGTGCCAGTCCCAATGCAGAAAAAGCGTCCCAGAAGGCGCGGTAGACGTGCTGGTCTTTTGGTCAAATTGAGATTGTCCAAAGCATACAGCTCTTCAACTTACTTCACCCGCGGAGGCTCCACTCACAGACTCTTCCCAGGTCTGCGCTGGATTCTACCCATCTTCCCTGCTCCAGAGGCCGCGCAGATGCGCTCGTGCCACCTGCCACTGGAGACGCTCGTCTTGAGGAGACGCAGAGGCGACCAACGCAGAGTGGATCTCGGTGCACTCCGGCCTCTCGCCCGCTCCTCCTCGCTTCACCACGAGGACGTAACTATTTGCTTGGGCCTCATGAATGTTAGATCGCTAACAAATAAGACTTTTCTTCTCAACGACCTGATCGCGACACGGGATTTGGATATTACTTTATTCACGGAGACATGGGTCCAAGCTGGTGAGTCCACGGCGTTTTCCGAACTCCTTCCACCAGGCTACTCATTCATTAGCTCCCCGCGTACTAGTGGTAGGGGAGGTGGGCTTGCCACAGTGTTTAAAGACTCGTTTCCATGCAAGCAAATTCCATCTGAAAGCTTTTCAAGCTTTGAATTACAAACATTTATGCTTGAACGCGCTCCTGTCATCTGTGCCTTAATGTATCGTCCTCCTAAAATTCATAAGGATTTTATTCAGGAATTCACAGACTTTGTTACAGGGCTCGTGCTGAAATATGACTGTTTTATTATTGCTGGTGACTTTAATATCCATGTGTGCTGCGAGTCTAAACCATTAGTCAAGGACTTTTTAAATGTTTTAGAAACGTTTAACTTGGCACAGCTGGTCCCTGGCCCAACACATGAAAAGGGACATACGCTCGATCTTGTGCTGTCTTTTGGTCTGAATCTGGAGATTATTGATATCTGTGACACGGGTATCTCAGATCACTACGCCGTGCTCTTTACTCTGACGCTTCCAAAATCTAACATTAAGCCGTGTGCCCCTGCGCGCAAAGTGCGCACATGCAACTCGCAAACTGCACTCACATTTTCGTTGGCTTTCTCTGACTTTATACTGAACAACGACTGCGGCAGTGATTTAGCTGTGGAAGACATGGTCTCTTTATTCAACGCTACATGCTCAAGCATTATTGATCTCGTAGCCCCATCCAGAGTCAAATGCGTAAAGCCTAAAGCTGAGCCCTGGCTTAATGACACAACACGGGCTCTGAGGCGCATCTGCAGACGTGCGGAGAGACGCTGGCAAAAGGACCGTCTGCAGGTGTCGCTGGACATGCTGAAAGACAGTCTACAGTCATATCAGAGAGCAGTTAAAACTGCCAAGTCTAAATTTTTGTCCAACGTTGTTACTATCAATTGCCACAAACCCCAGGTTCTTTTTAATACACTGACCTCTTTGATTAATCCATGCACTTCTCCCCCTGTAGTGGCCTCTTACAAACTATGCAATGATTTTATTGTATTTTTTAATGACAAAATTGCCTCCATTAGGCAGTCTCCGTTGTGTAAGCCCAGTTTTATGAATATAGATAATGGCTGTCAAAATGTATTTGAGTGTTTTGAAAATGTGTCCTTAGCATTTGTGACAGACATTGTAAAAAAGCTACGCCCGTCTTGTTGTCCCCTTGACTCCATCCCATCTCGTCTGTTTAAGGAGGTGTTCAACACAGTGGGGATTTGGGTCCTTAACATAATTAATGCATCTTTAAATTCAGGATGTGTACCTATCACACTTAAACATGCCGTGGTACAACCTCTTCTTAAAAAGCACAATCTTGACCCTACATGCTTGTCGAATTATAGGCCCATCTCAAAGTTGCCTTTTATTTCTAAGATCTTGGAAAAGGTTGTTCTCGTTCAACTACAGGACCATCTTGATATTTACAGCATCACTGAGAAGTTTCAGTCAGGTTTCAAAGCCAAGCATAGTACTGAGACTGCTCTTCTTAGAGTTCTTAATGATCTTTATTCAGTCTCAGACTCAGGCCGCCCTTCTGCTCTAGTTTTCCTAGATTTATCGTCAGCGTTCGATACGGTGGACCATGATATTCTTATTGCACGCCTCGAGCAACAAGTGGGCATCACAGGAACTGCACTTAAATGGTTCCAGTCCTATCTGACTGAGAGAACCTTTTCTGTTCAATTTGGCCAGTTCTCCTCTCAAGCGTCCAATTTAAAGTGTGGAGTGCCCCAAGGCAGTATTTTGGGCCCTACCCTATTTTGTCTTTACATGCTTCCCTTAGGAGCTATATTTGAGAAGCATAATATTTCCTACCACTGCTATGCTGATGATGTCCAAATATATCTGCCCATTCAGACTAGCAGCTGTGTACAGACACTTGTTGATTGTTTGAAGGAAGTTCAGGAATGGATGCAAGATAACTTCCTTAGTTTAAACAACAGGAAAACAGAAATACTTACCTTTGGGACTTCTGACCCTCTGCTGAACTGTGACAGTGCTATAGGACCTCTTATGGTTTATGAAAAGCCCCACGCCAGGAATCTAGGATTTATTATTGACAGCCATTTTAAATTTGATAAGCAGATAAATGCTGTTCTTAGAACAAGTTTTTATTATCTCAGAGTTCTTAGCAAAGTAAAATCTTATATTCCACATGCCCATTTTGAGAAGGCCATTCATGCTTTTATCACTTCCAGGCTTGATTATTGTAACTCTCTCTATGTCGGCATTGACCAGGCCCAGCTCAGCCGCTTACAGGGAGTGCAAAATGCAGCAGCCCGTCTTTTAACAGGGACAAAGCGCAGGGAGCACATCACTCCTGTTTTGCAATCCCTGCACTGGCTCCCGGTATATTTTAGAATTCATTTTAAAATTCTTATTATCGTTTTTAAAAGTTTTAATAGAATGGCACCTTCTTATTTATATGAACTCCTCCAGCCTCACCTTCCCTCCAGAGCACTGCGCTCTGCAGATCAGCACCTTCTTGTCGTCCCTAGGACCAGGCTGAAGACCAGAGGAGACAGAGCTTTCTCTGTTATAGGGCCAAAGTTGTGGAACTTTTTACCTTTGCACATCAGAACTGCACAATCACTCGAGCACTTTAAATCCCTGCTTAAAACGCATCTTTTTTCTTTGGCTTTTACTACCAAGTAGACAGAGACAAATTTTTCGATTTCTTTTTGTATATACATTTCTGTATTTTATGTGTTTTTTTTTTTTTTTTTTATTTTATAATTTTTCCTCGCTGTCTGTTCAGCACTTTGGTAAGCCTAGGCTGTTTTAAATGTGCTCTACAAATAAAGATTTGATTGATTGATTGATTGATGGCCATGGAGCAGGGAAGAGTGACGGAATTCGAAGGAAAGAGCCTCGACCAGATACAAATTGAGCCTGAAGGTAATTCTTGATATTATTAAAATATGTATAATTTTTTTCCCCTAAAGGCCACTTGTATTTTTATTTTCTGTGCGACAGGGAGAGCAGTAGAGATCCTCTCACAAACGGACGGGCTAAAAGAAACTTCAAGCGGAGAACCTTCGACCATTCATCCAGCTGCACCCCATGGTAGTGGCAGTGCCCCTTCTGGTAAGTGTACCAGGTGGGGGATTACAGCCAGGCTGCTTGGTCCTAACCCTGGGAGTGTATATCGCTAATATATTTTTATTTCTCTCCCTAGAACGTGTAAGAAAGCCATGGTCTGCCTCTGAGGTGAAGGCTGTGGAGAAGACCATGACGTCTTTCATACAGACTGGAAAAGTCCCTGGGAAGTCTCACTGCCTGGCCTGCATTAATGCCTCACCAGATGACCTTAGACATCGGACATGGAGTGGCATTAAATTCTATGTCAAAAATAGAATCACTGCAATTCGAAAAAAAAAATCAAAAATAAAATTCCTTTAACTTTTGACTGTTTTGCATTACTTAAAGTAGTCCCAGTAAAAAAAGATTATGTCTATGGGTCCCATTCTGAACGGCCCTGTCAAAGGGACCCACCAGGTAACAAAAACGTGTATGTTTGTGTGTGTGTGTCTGTGTGTGTGCGTCTGTGTGTGTGTGTGTGTGTGTGCGTCTGTGTTGTCTGTGTGTGTGGGGGGGGTTTAAATGTAAAATGTGGTATAAAAGGTATATTACTTATATATACAGTGCCTTGCGAAAGTATTCGGCCCCCTTGAACCTTTCAACATTTCGCCACATTTCAGGCTTCAAACATAAAGATATAAAATTTTATTTTTTTTGTCATGAATCAACAACAAGTGGGACACAATCTTGAAGTGGAACGAAATTTATTGGATAATTTCAACTTTTAAAAAAATTTAAAAAACTGAAATGGGGTGTGCAATATTATTCGGCCCCTTTACTTTCAGTGCAGCAAACTCAGTCCAGAAGTTCAGTGAGGATCTTTGAATGATCCAATGTTGTCCTAAATGACTGATGATGATAATTAGAATGCACCTGTGTGTAATCAAGTCTCCGTATAAATGCACCTGCTCTTTGATAGTCTCAGGGTTCTGTTTAAAGCTCAGAGAGAACCATGAAGACAAAGGAACACACCAGGCAGGTCCGAGATACTGTTGTGGAGAAGTTTAAAGCCGGATTTGGATACAAAAAGATTTCCCAAGCTTTAAACATCTCAAGGAGCACTGTGCAAACAGTTATATTGAAATGGAAGGAGTATCAGACCACTGCAAATCTACCAAGACCCGGCCGTCCCTCCAAACTTTCATCTCAAACAAGGAGAAGACTGATCAGAGATGCAGCCAAGAGGCCCATGATCACTCTGGGTGAACTGCAGATAACTACACTTCACGATTGTGTCCCACTTGTTGTTGATTCATGACAAAAAATTTAAATTTTATATCTTTATGTTTGAAGCCTGAAATGTGGCGAAATGTTGAAAGGTTCAAGGGGGCCGAATACTTTCGCAAGGCACTGTATTATAGATTTTTTTTTTTTTAAATTGAAGAGATATTTTCCATAAAAAAAGACTTATGTATGTGGAAATAACCCAGGATGATTATCAGATTGAAGTCACATTAATGTTGTTAGATCTGTAAAAAAAAAATCAAAGAGTCCTGAAACCAGGATGTCATTTTCTCTGTGAGGAGAATGAAGTGTTTAAAGAGCGTGGTGGCGGGATATGTCCGGTGAATAAGTTGTATTTCTTATTTCTCTTTGTTTGTGACATAAGGTCAGACTCGCGATCGGGAACGGCACGAGGCCCGACGTGTGGAGGGAGTTTCTGCGACGCTTCGGAAACATCACGGTCCGGGAATTTTACGCAGCGACCGAAGGAAATTTTAGCTTCACCAACTTCTACGGCAAGATCGGAGCAATCGGAAGAGAAACGTTTCTGTACAAGGTTTTTCCATCATTCAAATAGACTAAGAACAGAGAATCCATTTGTTTGGTAAATATAAAGTAGCTTGACTTGAACTTTTGCACATTCACGACCATAAACATAAAGAGAAAATTTCCTTTTTTTTTCTGAAAGACCACAACACACGGACGGAGAAAGTGAAAGCAAAATGATATATTATTTTGTTATTAAACTAAAGTGCTTTTAGAAAAATATACAGACGTAATCCTCATGTATGGGGTATAATTTCACTGCACAATCATGTGTTCACTGTAAAGTGTCAACCAACCATCCATCCATTTTCTACCCTTTAATCCATTTCTGGGTCAGGGGGGTGGCAGTCAGAGATGCCACCCAAGTCTCATAGCACCAGCCCCTCACTGACCCTCTGCAGGTGGTGAGTCCACAGGAGGACGGCTGCTCTGAGTGTGAGCATAGCCTTGATCTTTCAGTGGGGGCTTTGGGCAAAGTGGGGTTAAGTGTCTTGCCCAAGGACACAACGACAGCAGTCATCAGTGGGAGTCGATGGAGAAGGTGCAGTGTCAACTATAGTATCTAAAAGTATTTAAAAGGTTATAACTCAAAAACTAAAGTTTCATAGATTGGAAATAAGATTTCAAACACAGATATGTCAAAGAGATAGTGTGAATAAAAAATCAAAAGGAAAGATCGACAAATACAAATTTCAAAAAGACCAAATCATTCTCGGATTTGATGATTCTACTGTGACTCTGTGACAGAAAATAAAATATCCTCAGTCTGAAAAAGCGGCCGATGAACTCTCACAGATGAACATTAACACAACATCAGGAGCAAAAAACGAATCAATAACAATTTAAATGACCCATGAAAAATGTGTATCGGACATGATGGTTTTGTTAAAAATGTTCTAAAAAAGCGTAAACAAAAATATGGTCTGGTTTCACATTTAATTGGTTTACTATGTTAAAGTAATCACTTTGTTTGTGCTCTTTGTAAAAAATCTTTATCAAATGTGAAAATCTGTCTGACAGAAGAGGTGTTACATACATACATGAAGAACATAATAAATATCTTCTGGTTATTAAAATAAAAAGTCTGACCTTCTGTCACACTTTTGTACCTTTAGTGTGAACAGGCCTTTTCTGTGACTTTGTTGTGATCTTTCAAAAAAAAAATCTCATCTTGTCTTATCTTAAAAGAATCTTATAAAAGTTAAAGTTGTACTTTTGCAATAAACTGCCATAAAAAACACTTTATTAATTAGAATCAGTCAATCTGTTGAACCAGGTGAATTTACATATTTATTTTTCCCAGGGTGGTAGGGAGTATTCCCATCACTCCTGACCAGGGACGTGCAGTCAGGGGAGGCAGGGGAGGCAGAGCCTCACCTGCCATTATTGGAAACTAATAATTATTTTAGTTTAAATATATAATTTATATCCACTGTCCTATGCTTTTAATGTATATTCGGCACGGTTCCCATCAGTTTTGATCATTTCTGAAGTCAAAATCGCCGAAATCCCGTTATTCCTATTCAAAGAGACGAGGTGAGGCAGCGCTCCTGCGTGCCTCACCTCAGACCGCTCCCTCACAGTGTGTGTGTGTGTGTCTGAGTGCACTCAGCTCGTGCAGTTGATATATCACCGTTTGTTTCAAATATCCTGCTTTAAAAACATTTTTTAAACTCCTCTTAGTGTTTAGTAGTGTATTGCACGTATGTGTGTACAATTTTATTTAGTTTAAGTCTTTTGATCGTAGATGAACACACAAGGAAAAAGCTTTGGCGTGCAGGCGGTATCTGTGCCTCACCGAGGGGTGATAGTGAGCATAAAGTTCATACAGAGTTGCTAACAAACAAAAATGCTATTTCTTTTGCTGGAAAATGGCGATTTGATGAAGATTTTTTTTCTCATTGGCAAAGGTAATATAGACTGGGAGACCACCACTGGACTTACGAGGTTAGTCCGGCGCGGGGGAGGAGTTTGTTAATCTGTGTTTTATGTTGAAACATTGACAGATACCGGCAAAGTAGTGCTTTTCCGCTGATTCAAACACTGCTCAAGAGTTCTGCAACTTGTTTAAATTATTGTTTATGTTCCTCGCGTCTCTCTCTCCTCGCGTCTCCGTCTCTCTCTGCTCCTCGCGTCTCCGTCTCTCTGCTCCTCTCTGTCTCTCTCTGCTCCTCTCTGTCTCTCTCTGCTCCTCGCGTCTCCGTCTCTCTGCTCCTCTCTGTCTCTCTCTGCTCCTCTCTCCTCGCGTCTCTCTCTCCTCGCGTCTCTCTCTCCTCGCGTCTCCGTCTCTCTGCTCCTCTCTGTCTCTCTCTGCTCCTCTCTCCTCGCGTCTCTCTCTCCTCGCGTCTCTCGCACCTGCGCTTCTTAAAGATGTTGTTTGATGCGGAGCAGAGTCAGCAGTTAGATTTGTTGTGAGATTATTAAAAGAAGCTGGTTCTCTTATCTTTACAGTATATAAAGTTTGTGGATGTCATTGCATTGGTGATTAAATGCTATTTTATTTGAATAATGATTGTAAATCTGACTTTTAAAGTCAGTGCCTCCCCAATCACAAACCTCACCGCACGTCCCTGCTTCTGACATGTCATAGTAAAAACAATGTTGGTCCATGTTTGCAGCGGCTGAATCCTTACGCTCTGGTCCAGTACGACGTGGACAGAGTGGAGGTGGTTCGAGACCCTTCAGGATTCTGCATCGAGGTTCCCACAGGTTTGTTTAACGACACAGAAGTAATAATACGATTGTTCCACAACGTCCCAACTGTGAAGCTACCAGTGTGTAAAAGACATTAAAGAAAAGTTTATTAATTCAGGTACCCCAGCTTTAATGTTATTTCAGATCCCGTCAGACATTTTGAAGCTAAGCAGAGCAGGACCTGGTTAGTACTATGATGGGAGACCTCTGGAAACACATGGTGCCACAGTGGGGCGGCTGTAAAGTGACAAAATGTCATTGTGTCCTTAGGCAAGACACTTCACCCACACTGCGTAGTATGAGTCTGGTGTGTGTGTGTGTGTGTGTGTGTGTGTGTGTGTGTGTGTGTGTGTGTGAGGGGTCGATGGTACTTACCGGTTGCCTCGTTTCTGCCAGTGTGCCCCAGGGCAGCTTTGAGTGTCCAAATAGGCGCTATATAAAACAATTGCAATATTATCATTATTCTTCTTCTCTTAGTATTGACCTCATCTCTATAAATACAATTATACCAGCACTACCCAGACACAAGACACCAGTGGAATCTTCCCTTGTGCTTGGCTCTGACACATGTATGAAAAAATGATGAGGTCCTGATTGTCTTCACACAGTTTGTCGTTCTTTTGCGAAGTTTCTTTTTCTTTCGTATCAGTTGAATATGAGCAAAGGCCTGGATCTTATGGAGCTGTTTACTTTCTCTGTTACGAGGCAGAGCACAGTCAGTGTTTGTCTGAGGCCAGTGGTGTGACTGCTCTATGGCCCCATTGTCTCCTCTGCCCACGGCCCTCGTCCCCTCTGCCTCTCGTCCCCTCTGCCTCTCGTCCCCTCTGCCTCTCGTCCCCTCTGCCTCTCGTCCCCTCTGCCTCTCGTCCCCTCTGCCTCTCGTCCCCTCTGCAGTCTGTACTCTATGTTCTGTTTCAACCACACCACTGCTGTTTTATCTGTTTTCTAAATGTCTAATATAGGCAATAGGGACACAGGTTTTTATTGTCATTATTATTATGTGTCCTCTTATGAATTCCAAACCAAAGCATTGCCAATGTAAAAAGAAAACTGTGCAGCTGTGATTTTGATCCCTTTGTGTAAGAATAGACAGGACAGTGTGACAATCTAAAAAGCAGATCTTTGCCAATCTCTGCAATTTCTCCAAATAACTAACTTTTAAAGTGTTGTTTATCTGTTGGGAATTGGGGCTTAGCAAAAATGAAGAATGTAATTATCTGTGTTGTGTACCTCTAAGGCATGTGGAAGCTAAATGCTGTCAGACCTCTGAAGCTAAGTAGGACAGGATCTGGTTAGTACTGTGATGGGAGACCTCTGGAAACACATGGTGCCACAGTGGGGCGGCTGTAAAGTGCCAAACTATGGTTGTGTCCTTTGGCAAGGCACTTCACCCACATTGCCTAGAATGAGTCTGGTGTGTGTGTGTGAATGGTTGGTGGAGATGGGAGAGGCTGGTGGCACATACTGGATGTCTCTCTGCTGTCAATGTGCCCCAGGGCAGCTGTGGCTACAGTAGTAGTTTATCACCACCGTGTCCGGAGTGAAAGAATAATGACATGTGAAGTGTCTTTGACTGTCTAAAAAAGCACTACATAAAACTATTTTCTCCTCCTCTTCCTCCTCCTCTTCCTCCTCCTCCTCCTCCTCCTCCTCCTCCTCCTCCTCCTCCTCCTCCTCTTCTTCTTCTTTGCCTCCTCCTCTTCTTCTTCTTTGCCTCCTCCTCCTCTTCTTCTTCTTTGCCTCCTCCTCCTCTTCTTCTTCTTTGCCTCCTCCTCCTCTTCTTCTTCTTTGCCTCCTCCTCCTTTGCCTTCTTCTTTGCCTCCTCCTCCTTTGCCTTCTTCTTTGCCTCCTCCTCCTCTTCTTCTTCTTTGCCTCCTCCTCCTCTTCCTCTTCTTTGCCTCCTCCTCCTCTTCTTCTTCTTTGCCTCCTCCTCCTTTGCCTTCTTCTTCTTCTTCTTTGCCTCCTCCTTCTTTGCCTTCTCCTCCTTTTGTCTTCTTGTTCTTCTTTGCCTTCTCCTCCTCTCCCTCCAGGTGAGCCCGGTCTGCTGGTGACCAAAATCACCATGAAGACTCCTTTCTCGGGTTATGTGGGCGACCTGGCACAAACCGAATCCAAACGTCTCCATAACGTGTTGAAAGAAGGAGATGTGTATTTCAACTCTGGAGACCTGCTCAGCGTGGACGCAGAGGGCTTCATCTACTTCCACGACCGCGTTGGAGACACCTTCAGGTCGGGGAAAGTTGTTCATATTGAATACTTGAATAAATGTGACTTTGCGAATGTTGCAGATGGAAAGGAGAAAACGTGGCCACGACAGAAGTGGCCGACGTCTTGAGTTTGTGCGACTGTGTTCAAGAAGCCAGCGTGTACGGAGTCTCAGTGCCAGGTAACGTCGACTTCTTATGCATGAACTAACTTTTTGAAAATCATAAATAGTACATTTCATAAAAGTAAACTTGTGAGCGACAAATAAACACAACATGCTGACATCATCTTATCAGAATATCTTCTGATAAGATGATCTTCTATCTTCTGTGCGCTTGTGACAAACAGCCCTGAGAACGTAGCCTGGCCTTAGCCATCCGTACACTTTGCTCAATCATCATTTCACTGCATGTAACGTCTGGGTCTGGTCCCTGTGTTTACAATTACAATTGGTTGAATTCCATCCGACAAATCAGAGAGCGCGGAAGGCGGGTTGTGGGTGACGTCAAGAGTTTGTGTCAAACAGACAGGTTGTAGTTTGGTAATGGCGAAAAATGCGATAGTAAACTAATCCGATCTGGTTATATCAAGAAATTGAAGCAGAAGCAATAGGAATGTTTAGCAAATGTAATCGCTGGCAAAGATTGTGGCGCTACTCCCCAAGGGCTCCGTTAGCGGCAAAGGAGATGGCTAGGCTAAATGCTAATGCTAACAACTCACTCGGGCGCATTACATACGTCACAGTAAACTCAGATCCAATTGTTTCAATCTGCAAAAGGAGTTAACCCCTCGCATCTGTAAACGGAGCACAATGGAGCAAATCCAGACCTTAGTATGAAATGTAATTTGTACTATGGTGTAGTACGACCAGGCTACTGTGAATGACAGAAAAGCAAGAAAGAGGAAACATAGATTTTTGTATTATGTATTTATTCATGTTTGTATGGATGATGCGTTTCTGATGCTGGACCCCTGAGTATCTATCTATCTACTGTATCTCTCTATCTATCTATCTACTGTATCTCTCTATCTACTGTATCTCTCTATCTACTGTATCTCTCTATCTATATACTGTATCTCTCTATCTACTGTATCTCTCTATCTATCTATCTACTGTATCTCTCTATCTACTGTATCTCTCTATCTATCTGTATCTATCTATCTATCTGTATCTCTCTATCTATCTGTCTATCTATCTACTGTATCTCTATCTATCTGTATCTATCTATCTATCTGTATCTATCTATCTATCTGTATCTATCTATCTACTGTATCTCTCTATCTATCTATCTGTCTATCTGTCTATCTTCCTGTAGTGATTTTGTGTTTGAAAGTTTAGTAGCCCAGCTTTAATAGTAATAGTAATGATGACCTACATAAATCTAATGACGTAGTGTTAGTTGAAAGTGCACAAAGGAAAACTCACAGATCTATCCTTCTGTACCACTGCTCACATTTTGGTCCAATCCTCACATAACTGTTCTTTTTGTTCAGCAAAATTTACCAGAAAAGGAACTCACGATCAATAAAATATGTCAAAGGTGCAAAAGCTGAGCTACAAACAATCTTTAAACTATGATAAAGTTGTGAAAGGTTTGTTGGGAATCAGCCAAAGTCTGGGATCGTGTCTTTAATTCAGACAGAAGACATGTTTTATTGTTGATGGCAGAGCACGAACAAGAGCACACGAACAAGGCATGTTACCGACAGCAAGTGATAATATAGCATGGAGAAACAGAGACCTCCAATCAGCAGCTGCCACGGTGAGCCTTGAAGTTTACCAAAACAAGGGAAAGGTACTGTCTGCTTGTGCAAATGTTAGAATGAGTTTGAACTTTAACAATAGTTGCTTCAAAGTGTCATGAAATACCTAAAGGTTCCAGCCCCTGAGCAGCACTTTGTGATTGAGTAAATATGAAACAGAAGGTACAGTAGTGTCCCGCTCTGGGTGTCATCACTCTATAAATTATCCTTATCATCAATGGGACCATGGTACAAAACGGTTTTCTTATCAAATTTTCAGTTTTTAAATCCCAAACTGTCCATTCCATCCATCCATTTTCTACCCCTTAATCCATTTCTGGGTCGGGGGGGTGGCAGTCAGAGCTGCCACCCAAGTCTTATAGCACCAGCCCCTCACTGATCCTCTGCAGGTGGTGAGTCCACAGGAGGACGGCTGCTCTGTCAATATGAGCATAGCCGTGATCTCTCAGCGGGGGCTTTGGGCAAAGTGGGGTTAAGTGTCTTGCCCAAGGACACAACGACAGCAGTCATCAGTGGGAGTCGGTGGAGAAGGTGGGAATTGAACCCACAACCTTCAGGCCTAAAGGCCAATGCTCTACCAACTGAGCTACTGTCGCCCCTCATCAAAATCATAAAAAAATCACAGTACATTAAAGAAAGATAAAAATATAAAATCCCTCAGTTGTATGCACAGCTAAACAGGACTGTTTTTAACCTGGTTTTAAACATTGTCAGAGAGGAGGCCTGTCTCACACTTTCATGAAGATTGTTCCAGATTTTAGCAGCATGAATCTGAAAAGCAGCCTCCCCATGTTTATTCCTGACTCTGGACACAAACAGGAGTCCAGTCCCTGTGCTCCTCAGAGTCCGGGCCAGTTCATATGGTACTAACATGTCACTAATATATTTTGGTGCGAGGCCATGGAGAGACTTGTACACAAGCAGAGCTGTTTTAAAGTCTATTCTCCAGTAAACTCAAATAAATTCATAAGCTCTTGATATCTTTGCTGTAATTTCTCAAATCTCTACCATTCTCTCTCTAGGCACAAAAGAAACTTCCTTCTCCTCACTCGGCTCTTTTTCACTGAACTCTAAACGCCACGATTTAATTAAAAAAAACCTCACTGTTCCATCAATGAGTTGCTGAGTCTGAACTTTTACCCAGAGATCATGCTGAAACTTTGTGGGTTCAACGTCCTGCCTTTGCCTCTGAGTGGATTAGCTTCCGTTGCTATGTCTGACTAATGCTACTGTGTGCATATGTTGTCTCATTAAAGCGCTGTGCCCTTATTCCTGCTCAGGACACGAAGGCAGAGCTGGAATGGCTGCTGTCATTTTGAGGAAAGGATCCAGATTTGACTCCACGTCTGTATTTACCCACGTGGAGAAGCTGCTGCCGACCTACGCCAGACCCCTCTTTATCCGCATACAAGTAAAATAAAAAATACTTCTTATTCTCCTCATTTATCGGGCATTTTCCTGCTGTTTCAATATCATTTTTTTTGTAGGAGAGCTTGGACATCACCGGCACGTTCAAACACCAAAAGGGCAAGCTCAGAGAAGGAGGATTTGACCCAAATCTAATCTCGGATCCGCTGTATTTTTTCCACGTGAAAGAAAAAGATTACGTTCGGCTGACTTTAAACATTTATGACTGTGTTGTAAACGGAGCAATAAAGCTGTGACACTTTTGATCCATGACTTCCCTGCGGCGTTTGCATCGCTCCTGTTTGTTCCTCTGCACGTTCAGACCTGACACACTTGACTTTGACTTGGAAAAGAAAAACACTCTAATTCTACCGAGCCACAACGCAACATGGAACTGTAGCGAATGACTAGACTGCTGTGGACCATTGTGGACTACTGTGGACTACTCTGGACTATTGTGGACTATTGTGGACTATTGTGGACTATTGTGGACTATTGTGGACTATTTTGGACTACTTTAGACTATTGTGGACTACTGTGGACTACTGTAGACTACTGTAGACTATTTTGGACTATTGTAGACTAGACTACTGTAGACTATTGTTTACTATTGTGGACTACTATAGACTATTGTGGACTACTGTAGACTACTGTAGACTATTGTGGACTACTGTAGACTACTGTAGACTATTGTGGACTACTTTAGACTATTGTAGACTATTGTGGACTACTTTAGACTATTGTGGACTACTGTAGACTACTGTAGACTATTGTGGACTACTTTAGACTATTGTAGACTATTGTGGACTACTTTAGACTATTGTGGACTATTGTGGACAACTTTAGACTATTGTGGACTACTTTAGACTATTGTGGACTACTGTAGACTATTGTGGACTACTGTAGACTACTGTAGACTATTTTGGACTATTGTAGACTAGACTACTGTAGACTATTGTTTACTATTGTGGACTACTATAGACTATTGTGGACTACTGTAGACTACTGTAGACTATTGTGGACTACTTTAGACTATTGTAGACTATTGTGGACTACTTTAGACTATTGTGGACTATTGTGGACAACTTTAGACTATTGTGGACTACTTTAGACTATTGTGGACTACTGTAGACTACTGTAGACTATTGTAGACTATTGTGGACTACTTTAGACTATTGTGGACTACTGTAGACTACTGTAGACTATTTTGGACTATTGTAGACTAGACTACTGTAGACTATTGTTTACTATTGTGGACTACTATAGACTACTGTAACCAAGTTTGTTTATTTCTGTTTCTGTCTCGACTCAAACAAACAAAAACAATAATAATAATAATAATGCATCAGTTTTATATAACTCTTTTCAGGACGCTCAAAGACACTGCACATGTCATTATTCACTCACTACAAACACAGCGGTGATGAAACTACTACAGTAGCCACAGCTGCCCTGGGGCACACTGGCAGAAGTGAGGCAACCAGTCTGTGCCATCCACCCCTCCGACTACCAGCAAACATTCACACACACACACTCTGGGCAATGTGGGTGAAGTGTCTTTCCTAACGACACAATAACACTTTGGCACTTTACAGCCTGGTGTTCCCAGAGGTCTCCCATCACATTAATAACCAGGCCCTGTCCTGCTTAGTTTCAGTGGCAGGATCTGGCTTTCACATGCAAGTTTGGCCACAATTAATCCAAAACAATAAATACAAGAGGTTAACGCGTCTACAGTTTTCTCACATCATTTTCTGTTATTGATTGAAATCCACTGATTTTGCTTCAGTCACACAGCGTCACCTTTTGTCTATTTCACAACATGTTTCTCCATAAAGGGTGAATGGTCTGTGTTTTACTGTCAGCTCAGTTTTTATCTACTTTTTCTGACTTTTACATGAATTATAACCAGTGTGTATCGTCTCATAGCTACACTTTTCTAGTCCGCAGCACCACACAGACTCTGGACTCCGGAGAGGCTGAGGCCTGACAGCAGCTGCCACATTAATGACAGACAACCATCCGCTCTCGTATATTCAGGGGCTCTCTTGTCCTGTCTTTTATTCATGACGGAGCATGAAGTGAAGTTAAAGCTGGGGTACCTATGTTTTTGCCAGCTCCATTTCATGTTCTGTGTCCCAATAGAAAGTCTAAAAGACAGCATGTGTTGTTTACATAACAAGACATGCTGTCTTCAACTTATTGGATTTTTTTCTTTTTAGATCCCTGTGAGTCACTATTAGACGTTTTGGTGAGAGGGGTCTCAATTCTTTCACTTTTCAGCCTGAAAAAGGAGATCTGAATTTCTGATGAAGGTCAAAAATGACACAATGTTTTTTTGTCACTGTTTTAGAGGCAGAACTAGTTACATGTGTTTGTTGTTTAGAAATACCTATCGTTTATCCTCAAACTCCCTTTTAGTTTTAGAAGTTTAAGTACTCAGCGTATGTACCTTTTTGGTCTTTCTATCTTTGTAACGTTTGATCAAATAATTGCCAACAAACACTCTATGGCAGTTAAAGCCCCTTGTCTCAGGGAGCTGGATTTGGACTGATCCTGAGCAGAATAAAAGATTGTTTTTCCACCAGAGAAAAGAGCGCGTGACTACAACTGTTTTTGCTGTTTTTCAGTTAAATCCACCAGTTTGAGCACTTAAAGAAGGTAAAAGAAAAACGCAACCAAATAAAACAAAATAAAAGAAATAAAACTAGTGAAAGCTAAAATAGCTTTCCCCCCCCTGTTTTGTTAGAATATCCTTGATATTGACTACGAGTGGAAACTGAAGTTTCACAAAACAATCCTTGAGTTTGTAGAACACAGAGTGTTGAAAAGACGTTATGAAACAGGTTGGATAACAGCTCAGAGGTTTCCTCCGGGGCCACGGTCATAATATAATTACGTTACATTTGCACCGACTTGAAAAACGTGTTTCACTCCAGACTCTAATATTCGCCAACAAATGAGAGAATGGAGCAGAGACACGCCTCCTTCTCTCATATTGCGCATTTCTGCAGAGGGTTGCCATTTCCTCCGCTTCTGGCAGAGTTTTCTCAAATCTTGGACTTGTGTGTGACATCACATATTACGCACGGACGGATTCAGTGAAGAATGAAAAAGAACTGCGCACGCAACAAAGCGACCAGTCCATTTTCTTTGGTGCGTACTTTCTCTGCTGTACGCGCGTATTCCCTGCGCACGTTCGACAAGAATCCTCCAGGCGCTTGGCATAATGGGTGAAGGTGAATAGCAGTAGGAAACTCCATATTTGGCATCCACAAACATTCCCGAGCGCAGGGGGATCCAGGGGGGCTCAGAAGGACGCGAGCACCGCCCCGAAAACTGGCGTGAACTTTGCCACAAATAGACCCAAGTTACTTAATTGTCTGCAACTTTACGCAGCAGCAGTAGAAGTAACAAGATGTACATGTGGCTCACGGCGTTGGCAGGACTTGCAATTTTATCCTTGTCCTTTTTGAAAAGTTGGTGTGGACCGTATTTTGCAGCTGACTGCGCGTACATGTGGAGAAGCATCAAGTTGGGAGTGAGGATTACGAAGTACAAGAAGAAGAAACCTTTCTATAGTTTATTGGACCATTTCATAGATGGAGCAGCGCGGCATCCAGACAAGGTGTTGGTGCACTTTGAGGGGCTGCAGTACACGTACGCGGAGGTGGACCAGAGGAGCTCCATGACGGCCCGTGCGCTGCAGGAGGAGGCGCGGCTCACGGAGGGGGACACGGTGGCGATGTTTTTGCCCAATGAACCCGCGTTTATGTGGACGTTTCTGGGCCTGGCCAAGCTGGGCTGCCCCGCTGCGCTCCTGAACTACAACATCAGAGCCAAGGGACTGCTGCACTGCTTCTCCTGCTGCGGGGCCAAAGTGCTCATCACGTGTCCAGGTACATATTAACCACTGGAGATTACATGTGGAGGCCTGAGGTCAGGAACCTATAGCTCAGGAGCAGATGTGGCTCTTTTGATGACTGAGATATGCATTCATTGTGAGAATGATTTACATATTGGATTTCTCAGTATGAAAAGTAGATAGATAGATACTTTATTGATCCCGTACGAGAAATTCAGGTGTCCAGTAGCAGCAAAAAAATAATACATAATACAAAATGATTATTCTAAAAAGCTAACAATAGTAATAATCAGCCCTTCAGATCACACAAAAGCCTTCATTATTGGTTAATAATACACAAATTCACAGTAAAAAAAAAAAGTTCATGGCTCCCACAGAAATATATTTATTTATTTTTGGTTCCCGGGCTCTGGTATAGGGATGACCAAGCCTGTGTCTGGTTCTATCAATGTTATTAAAACTACAACAAGAAAACCTTAAAACTAACATTAAAAACCATTTCATTGTCATGTTTGTGAACGCAAATGTCTGCACACATACAAGCATTTGATCCCAATTTAAAACTTGTCTTGAGAATTAGAAAAACAAATCATATAACATTAGAAAGTGTTATGAGACTTAAAGCTGGGGTACCTAATCTTGCAACTATGTAATCCATTCTATCATTAATCTGTCACGTCTTTAAATCTGCCTTTTCCAGACAGAGAGAGACAGAAAGAGAGGACCACCTTCCACTCAGCCAATCAGCTCTCAGCCCAAAGTATCAAATAGTGACTCACAAGTTTGCAGAATACAGCGTTTATATTTTTGATGACAAAACCATAGCTACTCTACAACAGCAGTAGTGTGATATAGCGACATAATAATAGTAGCGGAAGCAGTATAAGTACAAGTTTAATTTATGAGTATTAGTTTTTTGCCATTGTAAGCAACAGGAAGTCACAAACTAGGAATTTGCTTTGGCTCTTGGTACAAAACTAAAAACAAAAAAAGCAGGTATGAAACAGAAATACAAAATTGACATTCTTTTAATTACTACTATATATAAGTGCACTTAAAATTCTTACAATGACTTCTATAAAGCGTTCTCATATATTTGCCATGTTTGCAGTCTCGGCCTCACGCTGGCTCCGCTCTGCTCTCCCATGTGCTTCTATCTCCCTCTGTATTGCACAACCCCAGAGTCAGGCCACATGTGTAGGATTGCAAAACTCCTCGTCGGGCCTCAGTGTGTAAGTGTTTGCTGCGTCCGCTGTGTTTGCAGAGCTGCTGACGGCGGTGGAGGAGGTGCTGCCCACGCTGACGGAGCAGGGCATCTCCGTCTTCGTCCTGTCCAACAGCTGCAGCGTGCCGGGCATCAGGACGCTCTCCGACAAGGTCCAGAAGGCGTCCGACGAGCCGCTGCCCAGAGACCTCCGCGCCAACGTGACCATCAGGAGCACGGCGCTGTATATTTACACGTCTGGGACCACGGGTGAGACTGGAGCGACAAAAACGCGTTAATTTTGTCTTTAAAAATCATTGTCGTGAATTACATTTTTCATTGCTGTTTGAGGCAACATGGGCAGGTCACTTATGGGCCGTTGCTAATGCTCTACGGGCCGCATTTTTCCCCTGTGCCGCGAGTTGGACAGGCCACGAGCTCTGTTCATGTATGCAGACAAGTTATATTTCATTACACACAAAACAGAAAAGGAAAAAAGTATTGCATCAAAAGCATATATCCAATCAAAGGTATAGAACAGTAAACAAAAGCTTATATTCATCTATCATTATTATTATTTGTAATAGTTATGATTATCTCAAAGTTATAAAAGTTAAAATGTTGAATTCTTAGTTCACACATAAACAAGACTAAAAATGAAAGTTTGTTATTTCCCCTAAATATATATTTGTCATCCATTATTCACATCTGTCCTGGATGCTCCACAGCTTTAATGCTTACTGACCATGGATCATAAATATTGTCTTTGGACCATTATCAGATGTGGACCAACAAAAGGATTCAAAAATCTAATCTGAGAGACAGAAACAGAAAAAGAACCACATAACTATTGTAACTAATACCTGCTGCCTGCTGTGTCTTTGTATCGCCCTGATGAGAACTTTGTGAGACTTTACACTGTAAAACGTTGTAAAACATTATTACGGTTCAGCCTCTGGGAACTAAAGACATGGACAGACTTTTGAAGGTGATTTCTGGAGATAAAATGTGTATTTTTGCAAAGACTGACCTGCTTTTTATTATAATAATAATATGACTTTAAACCCAATACGTCAACATGCGGCTTCTTTGAGTTTCCTGAAAAGCTCTAGATTAAACAATACATTATTATTATTGATGCAGTGTCTCTGATGTCTCTGATGACCTCTGATGTCTCTGATGTCGCTGATGTCTCTGATGACCTCTGATGTCTCTGATGTCGCTGATGTCTCTGATGACCTCTGATGTCTCTGATGACCACTGATGTCTCTGATGACCTCTGATGTCGCTGATGTCTCTGATGACCACTGATGTCTCTGATGACCACTGATGTCTCTGATGACCTCTGATGTCGCTGATGTCTCTGATGACCTCTGATGTCGCTGATGTCTCTGATGACCTCTGATGTCTCTGATGACCACTGATGTCTCTGATGACCACTGATGTCTCTGATGTCGCTGATGCCCTGTGCTCAGGTTTGCCCAAAGCCGCAGTAGTGACGCATGAGCGTGTGTGGGCGGCGTGCTTCATCCAGGCCGCCGTGGGCGTCACAGCAGACGACATCTTCTACCTCAACCTGCCCCTGTACCACAGCGCGGGCTTCCTCATCGGCTTCGCAGGAGGCATCGAGAGAGGTGATTCTACTGCTGCTTCTACTGCTGTTTCTACTGCTGATTCTACTGCTGTTTCTACTGCTGTTTCTACTGCTGATTCTACTGCTGTTTCTACTGCTGTTTCTACTGCTGATTCTACTGCTGTTTCTACTGCTGTTTCTACTGCTGTTTCTACTGCTGTTTCTACTGCTGTTTCTACTGCTGTTTCTACTGCTGTTTCTACTGCTCATTCTACTGCTGTTTCTACTGCTCATTCTACTGTTGATTCTACTGCTGTTTGTACTGCTGTTTTCTATCAAACCCGCAGCAGTAAAACCATTGGGATCATCAGTCATTTTAACGTGCAGCTCGGTCTCATGTGTTTCTTGTTGGTCGTTAGAACGTTCAGAATGAAGTGTTCGCGGCTGATCTCGAAACAAAAGAAGAAGTGTTTTTTCTTCTTTAAACGTTTGAAACAGACATTATCATTTCCAAACCATTGAAAATGATGTGGTTCAAGTTTATCTAGAAACTATCAGCATATGTCTGTAATCTCATTCTGGGCCTGTGTGAGAATGTCTCCATCATACACTGTAAAAACTGATACAATATGAGGTATTAAGTTGTTTTTATCTTAGTTTGAGCACATTCTTTTCCAATTGGACAAACTTTAAGTTATTTAGTCTCATTTCATGAACTGTTCCTTTATTTGCCCATTCCAAGGGAGACATTTCTTGTATCTTTTTAAAACAAACCATTTTTGACTCATTTTTCATAACTTTTTGCAGTGTATGAGGAGACTTTTAAATAACGTTTCAACAGTTATTCTGAAAACACAAAACAAAAACTCTGTTCTGTGCAGGTCTGACTCTGGTGCTGAAGAGGAAGTTCTCGGCCTCTCAGTTCTGGGATGACTGTCGGAAACACAACGTGACCGTGACGCAGTACATCGGAGAAACACTGCGCTACCTCTGCAACACACCCCCGGTAAAACACACATACACACACCCCCCCCGGTAACACACACACACACACACACCCCCCGGTAACACACACACACACACACACACACACCCCCGGTAACACACACACACCCCGGTAACACACACACACACACCTGTTACATTACTGTCATGTCCGCTTCTCGTTTTGAATACGTCCATCTTTATCGACAGAAATCCAGTGACAAACAGCACGGTGTGAAATTCGCCATTGGGAACGGCGTCAGGACGGACATTTGGACCGAGTTTTTGAATCGATTCGGAGACATTCAGATTCGAGAACTTTACGGAGCCACGGAAGGAAATATCGGATTTATCAACTACACAAATAAGATCGGAGCCGTGGGAAGGATCAACCCTCTGCATAAAGTAAGAGCATCACAAAGATCCATCATCGACACACAACCTTCACACAACCTTCACACCACTCGCTCTGGGCTCAGGGCTGTCGTTCTATTGGACGCAGATATCACTCTGAGGGAAAGAAACACTTTTTGAAAAGAAAAGTTTTCCCAAATCATTACAATAATACAGAAGCTTGTTAGTTTCACTTGTGTTTTTTTTCCGCTGGTATCATGTTATTTCATGATACTTTCATGTTATTTCAAGATAATTTCATGTTTGTACAAGATACGGATCATGTTATTTCATGATACCAATTTATCACAGAATAACATTACAATATCATGTTATTTCATGATAATTTGGTATCATGAAATAACATGATCCGTATCTTGTACAAACATGAAATTATCTTGAAATAACATGAAAGTATCATGAAATAACATGATACCAGCGGAAAAAAAAACACAAGTGAAACTAACAAGCTTCTGTATAATAATAATAATAATAAATAATCAGTTTTATATGATGCTTTTTACAGTGCATGTTACACTGCAAATAATGATAAAATATGAGGTAATCATTTCTTGAATCGAGTGATTTTTATCTCAATTTGAGCTTATTCTGACTGTCTTTAAACATGATTTGCCAATGGGACGATGTCATTTTTGTTGTTTTTTTTTGTTTTGAGGGGCTGGTGCTAAGTGTACTGGGTGCAGCTCTGACTGCCACCTCCCCGACCCAGAAATGGATTAAGGGGAAGAAGATGGATGGAAGATGTTTTTTTTTTTTTGTCTCATTGGCAAATCTTGTTTTAAGGCAGTCAGAATGTGCTCATATTAATTAGTGGCATTTTTTCTTCTTCACTTTTTGCAGTGTATTATTCTTTCACTCCATACATGGTGGTGTAAAACTACTTTTGTAGCCACAACTGCCCTGGGGCACACTGACAGAAGCAAGGCTTTCAGTCTGTGACGTCCACCATCAGCCATTCTCACACATCAGACTCATTCTCTGCAATCTATGTGAAGTGTCTTGCCTAAAGACACAACCTGGTCTTCTCAGAGGTCTCCCATCACAACACTAACCATGCACTGCCTGCTTAGTGTCAGATGTCTGACAGGATCTAGCTTTCACATACAGGTAAAGCCACATAATAGAATATTAATTCACAAAACCTGCCATATTCTTGTGTCTGAAAGTCCTTTACTCTGACAACATAAAGCTTGTGTTTCTGAAAGAGTAAATCGATAAGTCTCAAAAACACAAACTACACATTCTGACGAGATCCTGACTCTAAACTGTTTGCTTCCACCTCTAGTTCCAGTCATTTTGGCCTCACAACTTTATCAGATTTTTCAGACGGAAAAGTTAAAAATGTTGTAAAAGTAAAATATTTTGAGCAAATGAGAGCACAAGACTCTGTTGGACCACACATGTGAGGAAAGTTAGGTTCCCCAGCTTTAACAGAGCACAGGGCGGACACATTTTTAGCAGAGAGACAAAAAATACTAAATGTTCTTCTGACCCTAACACCTTTTTATTATGATTTTGTGTATTTAAAAAAACAAAAAACATTAACAGCAAGAGCCACACACTCACAGAGCCATACTAGCCTCAAATAAAGGATTTTATTTAATGACGTTTTTATTCTGAAAAATACAATACATAAAAACTATAAATGCACAGTTGAGATTTGTCTGAGAGCCGTACACAATCATCAAAAATATATATTATTATTGTTGCACGATTGTGTTCTTTCAGTTTTTCTTCCCTCACACCGTCATCAAGTTCGACGTGGAGAAAGAGGAGCCGGTCCGGAACGCTGCGGGACTTTGCATCGAGGCCTCACGGGGTAAACGACACAGTCAGGGTTTTAGGGTTTTAGGGTTTTAGGGTTAGTCTGTTGTTATTTTTCAGAATTCTCCAGTCCTCATGGTTGTGTTTCTCTCAGGTGAGACCGGGCTGCTGGTCGGAAAAGTCACCAAGAGGTCTCCGTTCGTGGGATACGCCGCCAACAAAACCCAGACTGAGAAGAAGAGGCTGCGGGACGTGGTGAGAAAGGGCGACTTGTTCTTTAACACCGGGGACCTGCTGCTCATCGACTCGGAGAACTTTGTCTACTTCATGGACCGAGTGGGAGACACCTTCAGGCAAGAGCTGCTTCTGGACTTTGTCGAAAATTCATCATTGATTTAAAAAAACGATTCAAAAAATATTAGATTCAAATATGACATAGAAATAAGTTTTTCATTAACTGTGTCTAGATAGATTTGATAGTTTTGGAATAACATCATCACAGGTACATTTATTTTTACTCTCCCGTCGACTGATATTATTAATTCGAACAAGGCCATTATTTTTCAGTGGTTAAAAGGAAGTGCTTTTTCTACCGTTGGAAAAGCTAATTAGAGATCAAATATCACCGTCACAACACATTTTTTTGTTACTTGGAAGCCTCTTTGTGGAATATGTGAAACTTTTATGTGTTTTACAAATATACTGTAATTTAAGCTAATCTTGGTCCCCTTTTTTCTTCTTCTTTGAGAGCCAGGGTGGAGTCAGGGAATAGGGTAGTATATATTATGTTAAAATAAAACAAATGTTCTGTTTATTATTACTATAAATTTGACAAAAACAAACAAAAAAGTGAAAAAAAGGTGTCTAGAAACAGGTGACAATATAAAAAGATAGTATAAGAATATCCAGACGTCGTTCACATCATTTGGACATTCTTATACTTAACAAATCTGAATGTTTGGTTTTTCAGATGGAAAGGTGAAAACGTGGCCACGTCTGAAGTGGGCGACATTCTGACCGCGGCCAACAGCGTTCTGGAAGCGAATGTTTACGGTGTAAAAGTGGAAGGTAAAGGACCAGCAGCAACATTTCACACACGACTGAATTCTACGCCTAAACTCCAACTATTTAAGGTCACGAGGGTCGGATCGGCATGGCAGCGGTGACCCTGAAGGAAGGAGAGGAGTTCGACTGCACTGATGCTTTCAAACACGTGGTGACCTATCTCCCCCCGTACGCTCGCCCCCGCTTTGTACGCATTCAGGTAACTGTTAGGAGGCTGTTTTCACTGAATATCAAACCATCAGGACCATGGGGTAAAATCCGTACATGTTTGAATACTTACGAGCTGGAGCACCAAACTATGAAACTACAAAAAACTAAATCAGCGTAATAGAACCCATGTAACTCGGTCACAGATCTCAGCTTGGTTCCATCAATAGTTTTCACGTGAATGTTTTCTGTCTTCAGTCTCAGCCAATCAGCTCTCAGTTTGTAAAAAACAGGCTGTTAGAGTCTGATATGTATCTGCAACTTCAATCCCATTTCATTTGAAAGGAACACATATTTTTCACCATTTGACCCTGTAGTATCTAGATCAGCCGTGGGCCATTTCCTTCAGGGGCCACCTTCGGATATTGTCCTATTGTGGAGGGCCCATTTTCATGTGGTAAATTTTTTTGTTTAGATTTGCAAAAAAATGTATGACATCCGCTGTTAGCACATTAAGTTACAAGTCTCCCCTGAGCACTGACCTCTGAGTCACTGAAATAAGCAACAGACGGTTTGAGGTCAACAGCTGGAAATGATCCGCAGACTTGTGAATCCGGCCGGATGTGGACCCCGGGCCAAGTTTTTCCCAGACCTGATCTATATCATTTATTTTTTATAACAAATAATATATTTTTTTAATATGGTCTCTCCACCTTGGAATAAACCTCACAAATGATATTTGTTGGAGTTAGATTATATCAGCTGTCCATTAAGGGTTGAGTTCATTGTGTCCAATCAGGGAGCTGTGGGGGCGGGACTAACAGGTGCATGTTTCTCCATCTTCACCATTTGAAAAGTAACAGACCTTTACTTTAAACAAGCTTGGGCCAAACATACATTAAACAAAACAATAGTTACTCCAACTTTAACAGCACTAACATTTTGAAGCCGCCTCGATCTAACCAACGATGTCTGGTTTTTCAGCCGAGTCTGGAAGTGACCGGGACATTCAAGATGAAGAAAGTGAAGTTAGTGGAAGAAGGATTTAACCCTGCGGACATCGCAGACCCCCTTTTCTTTTTGGACACTGACAAAAAGAATTACGTTCCACTTACTGAAGAAATATACAACGCCATAATGTCACGGGAAATCAAACTTTAACATTTTGGTTTTTATTTTTATTTGACATGGTCCAACAACCAACTAACTCAGGACAGATCTCGTGGGTAAACTAAGCTAAAGGAAGTTATCAATTACAAATATATATATATAAACTGTACGTGCTTCATGGTTGAACTAACATTGAATATATGATGTGGTGTTTTCGAAGTCAATGCCCATTATGGTCAAATGGAGAAATGCTTTGCCTTAAATACTGTGAGTTTTTAATAAAGTCTGATGCTTTTGAATCTGGATAACATTTACATTAAAGCCTCTAGGACAGAAAAAGTGCACGCCATGCACAAAAGCAGCCGGCCTCTCGTCCCAGATGAATTCTTTCAGCTGTTTGGGTGTGGCCACAAACTGCATGTGGAAAAATAACATACAAACTGATACTTTAAAAATGAATTTATTTATTAATACAGTGGTATACTTAGAAATGTGTCGCAAAGGGAGGGGAAAAACAATGGAAGAAACGTTAAAATAAATAAAAAAATGTCAGCCACACAGTAAAATGAACTATAGCGTTGGGTTGAAGCAGTGTTGTCATATCAAAAGAAAAAGTCGTACTGATGTGCCATAATAAATTGTCTATTAGTACAAAAATACATTTCAGGGCACACAATACAGCATCCAGTATCACAAATAAAGAAAACACAAGGGGCCGCTCTTCAGCAGCCCCCCTCAAGTACATCTTTTAAAATCATTTAAACCAAGCACTTGTCTAGTTTGTAAATAAGAATAAAAAGTTCTCTGACCGTTAAAAATGCCTTAAGTAGTGTCTGCGTGTGGTTTAGTGGGTGTAGGTAGAAAACTTTATTACTGCTTAAGTCAGTTCCAAGGCTCAGGGTAAAACCAGAATATAAACATAACCAATGTAACAGCGTAGACCTCTTTTTTAAACAAACATTTTCTCTTTTATACAAAATAACAAAGATGTACAAAAGTTAATTTACAGAGAACCAAGGCCATATGCTAGCAGTATGTACAGCCACATTTTCAATATCTTCTTACCTTTTGAACGTCTCACACTTCATATGCATAGCAGTAAAAGAAAGCATACCTTTTCAACAGCCTCAGTTATTCTCGAGTGTGCTAATCCAAGTTCACTGCTTTAGGAGAAAAATGCAACAGACAACTTTTTCTTCCAAGTGTGAGGTCGAACTCATGGATCCATATTTAAACAAATCACTGAAAAGTTAATATGCAGATAAGGCATCACTGCTTGCAGTGTACGATGGGGTTTTCATGTTGAACTTAGTAGTCGCAGGTTTTTGGACCTGAGTCATAGCACATGCATAGATCTCTAGACAGCAGGAGTTTGTGAAAATCAAGTCAGTATATTTATCTACGTTAAAACGTTGCTACAAAACATCAGTGTTATACAGAGAGCCCCGTCTCTGGCACTAATACTTAGCCTTCATTTAGGCCATTTTTTAAAATATGCCTACATCTTCATTCGTCAGTCTGCCTCAGCATTTCTCCAGTCTTCAGAGATCCTTCCGGAGTGAAACGCATGACCACCCGGCTCACAAACGCAAGTTTAGCATATAACAACTCCACGCTTTGTGAGTAGCATTTTCTACAGTACGCAAAAACATGTTTCCAAAAATCTTTTTTGCACACTGCTCTGACAGTTTTACAAAATGTTCTAAAAATGAGTTCATTCAGTCTGTGGCACTGGTCATGCATTTCCAACTTCAGTCCCATTGTTTAAATAACATGTTTAATCTTTATTTTTTGCAAGCCTTCAAAGCACCGGAGGAAAAGATTTATGAAAAAGGACCTTAACATGAGATCTCCACCTTCTATCCTTCTGTGGAGCTTTTTTCTTTTTTCATATTGGGCACAGTAAACATGTGAGTATCCAGTTTGTACTTCATTGAGCTTTGAGCCCCATTCTCTGGAGAAAGGGTCGAGTGGGGCACACACAGCGCCCCCTGTCTTTCACATTCAGTAACAGGCCAGCTGTCGCCCTCTTCAGAAGTGGTCAATGAGCACAGACACACAGTTTGCACCCACCAGATAGTTGGGGTCTCCTGGGAGAGACTTGTTCTGCCACGTTTTGGGATCACCTGCACAACAGAGACGTGAAACATTAGCTGCTGGGAGCTGCTCACATTTCAACAATAACTAACACAATACATGCACTGGACAACACACTTCTATTCTAATCATCAGCAGTTATTATGATGAACAAAACATGCAGCAAAGCATTTTATCAACATTATTTAAACTGCAGTAATAGTTTCTGTGAGAGTTCTTGGACTTCAGAAGAGAACCTTTAATCGTCCTCTGAACTTGCTTTGTTGGCAGCATACGATTATAAAAATGAAATCAAGCTTGATTCAGGACGATATGTTTTTTTCCCAGAGATAGTTAAAAGATTGTTCTCCTGTAACTTATATTTAATAACGATGCACATCGTAAGAAGGCACCGACAGCACTGCAGCAAAACAATGACAAACACAAGAATAACAAAAGGAAATGAAGGGAATGTGGAAACAGGTGATAGAAATACAGTGACCCAGTGCTTTCCACAGTGTTCTGCTGTGACTATAGTGGCACAGAAGACTTTGTCATTTATCACCAATTACATTCTTTAACAGTGATTATTCAGTTACATGATAAGGCCACAATAGTCTCCTATGAAAAGGAAAACACCGGTCACCAATCACAGCACTAGCCACAGACCCGGAGGACAGAGAGAGGACAGCGTACCCGACGAGGAGTCGGAGGATTTTAGAGCAAAAGACCAACCATCAGGGGTCATAGACGCACAGTGAGGTAAGCGCAGCTCCACCGGCTTCAGGAACTTCAGTCCATGTGGGCCGCACATCACCAGCGGACTTAGCAGCGTTTCTCCTACACACAGGTGTTCGTTAAGAATAAGACCATGAGGAAGTTTAACAAAAGGGAACATCAAAAGGGAACTAGCAACGAACGACTGCGGTTAGAAGCTTTTATAAACAAATATGAATCAGTAAATAAATATCATTAAATCAATAATAATAATAATCAATATCCATCATGTAAAAAGGTCAAGAACATGAAACACATGGTCTTCACAAACGCAGCTTTATGGTATATTTCAAAGTTCTTGGTCCTAAAGTGCAGCACGTGTAAAGCCTGTGGACTGCGGCGGTGACTGACCTTTCTCCTTGTCCAGCGGCGGCAGGATGCTGTTGTCACGACACACCTTGAAGTAGATCTCCTGCTCCACGCTCTCGGGGATGGCTCCTTGGGGGATGATGATGCTGACGCCGGTCTCGATGGAGCTCAGGACGCCGCCGTTACAGTTGAACACGCCTCGCGCTGTGGCCACCACCGTGTGCCCCTCGTCTTCATCGTCATCGTCCAGTGCACTCGGACTGAGGAAGGACAGAGCGTCAGAGTGAGAGAGAGTGAGAGGATGAGAGGCCGGTGGCAGTGGAGAACGATCATGTGTGAGACATTCAAAACACTGTTCATCCAGGACACCATCTTTACAAAAAGGATTCTCTACTTTAAAAAAAAAAAAAAGTCTGATTGATTTGAGACGTTCTCTATGGCTTTTAAAGTTTCAGGGCTTTCATCACATTTCTGAATAAACTCTGGCGCCTTAAGGGTTAATATAATGTACTTCTTACTTAAAGTGATGCAGACTCTGACCGTGTGCTTTCACTGTGGATTTTCTAATGTTATCCGACTTCAACCTCAGATAAAAAGGTCAAGCTGTGGTTTTACAAAAGTTTGCACTAATCTATGACACAGTGAGAGTTTTTGAAAAGCTAAAACCAGCTGTCGTGGTACTGGTGGTACTGGTGGTACTGACTGTTTCAGGAGGTTCTGGGATGTTTGTATGACTGCTCCGTCTCACCTCACAGGAATGGCTTTGGGGATGGCGTTGATGTTGTTGTGCTGGTACTTGGGCCGGTTGTCCATAGTGCGTGTGAATGTGTCCAGGCCGCTGTCGTGGTCCAGGGGCTGAGGGGAGAGCTGGGGCTTCCCCACAGTGTTGCCCAGCCCCCCGGGGATGCTCAGGATGTCCGCCTGCACCGTGGAGTCATTGGGCAGGAGGTTGTGGTTGAACTTGGGGCTCTCAAACTTCCTCTCAAAAGGCCGGGCTGCGCTTGTGTAAGACTTGGGGACATAGCGGTTGTAGTTTGTTGGGGCAGGAGCGCTCTTTGGGGCAGCAGGGTCTGTGCCATTGACCGGGCACTTGTCACCGATGCCCCTTGTGGGCAAGTATCCTGAAGCCAGAGACTCGTCCCGACTGGGCGGCCTCAGAGTGGGCAGATCAGGCTTAGGATTGGGTGAGGCCATGGGTTCAGGTATCGAGTTCACTACAGACAGAAAGACAAGACAATAAACCAGTCAATAATAATCTATGGCAGACATTCTCCCTGAGCATGTTATGTTTAAGTCACAATACAGTTAAGTCCAGCACACACCAAAGCACAGAGCACCGCTAACAGAGGTTAGCAATAGGAGTTTTTCATCATAAGTGAGACTCTCGAGACGAGGACTGGTCCCTTTGCTCTGTGACATCTTTGTACTGCAGTGTTTGAGTCCGAGTCTTTCTTCACGGATGTGGTTTTTATCTCCAGTCGCACGCCCCGAGTTTATCCTCTCATTGAAAACGGTTTCATCGCACAGTAAAGCTTCCCGTCCCGGTGAGTGTTTAGAGTAGACCATTTTGAATAAAACTAGGTTACACATGTACAGTTCTATGAATCCCAGATGACAGCCAGAGGGCGGTGCAAAGCGCTGAATGTTCCCTGTGCATGCGCGAAGGGAAAATTCAGGCGGGATGAAATAGAACCTATGTCCGACATAGGACTTAAACAATCATTAGATTTGCTTTTTCTCTCTTTGTACTTGATCTATGTTGCCTGTTTTGCCTGTCCAATGTTAAACCCAGCTTTAAAATTGCTTTAGAAGGGAGGCAGGATTTGTTTACCTTCATTGGGACTGAGCTTGGGAAGGGTATTGGGAGGGACCATAGGAGCAGCTCCATACTGTGACGAGGGACTGACTTGAGGCATAGCTTCATATCTCTTCTCCACTGGATTAAGTTTCTCCACAGACTCCACTCTGGAACAAAACGACAGCATGAGAAGTGTTTTACCCATGCTTGGTGCAGCGGTATGGAACATACCGGTTGTAAGGGTAAGGGATGTGAGCTGGTTTGGGCAGATCATGGAAGCGGTTGAGGCCTGGGGGCGGTTGTCCCATGGCCTTGCTGTCGAAGCTTCGTCGATCAAAATAAGACAGCTGCTTCCTGTAATACTCCTCATCCTCGTCTGCGTCGTAGTGATTGGTGCGTGCTGCATCATCTAATGGTTTAGAGTGAGGCTTCTGAGGCTCAGGAGTCCTGCACAGTCACAAAGGATCAATATGAGAAAGATCACACGACATCACCAACTTAGAGAGACTTCATTACACTTTAACTCTGCATGCCAGTCAACAGTTATGTAAAAACTCAACTGAGATTATACAGTTTACCATAACATTTCTATGGAAAAAGGCTTGAGATTGACGATCTAGAGACCCATTTATTTACTAATATCATTTATAATAAACTAAAATATTACATACTGAGGTTTTTAAGCTGAAAACTGATACAAAGTAAGAAAAGTAGTAGTAGAAAAGTATTACCGGTATATACAATACAGTATGTAAATGTCATGCATTTCATTTGTGTGACTGTTGAGTTCCATAGAACACTGTAGCCAACAGTGACTGTCACAGTTTTGACAGTCACTGCTGTTCATATTTGTGCCACTAGAGGAAGCATCGAGCAGCCACTAGACCACCATCTGTAAAAGCCTCCTGCTCTGCGAGGGCTGTCACGAGGACGAGTACCTATAGCTGGACTTCTCCTGCTCCAGGTTGCTCAGGGAGTTGGCTTTGAAGACGGGGCCAGGTGCACTTGCAGGTTTAGGAACATCTGCAGGCTGAAACACACACAGCGCCTTATAAAGATATTTACATCAACACAGATTCCAACAGTAAATCCAGATTTCATGTCATTTATGTCTGCTTTATGATCCATTAAAGTTGCCCTTAGATTTTTACTTGAAATGTTTTGTTTTAATAGAAGGCGATGTGTGTATGTTTTTACAGAATCCTGATGCAAGGCCATTCTATGCAGGTTGTTTGACGTTTACCTGAATGACTAAGTATTTAGAATGAAGATAAATAAGCACAATTTATTACATCTTTCAAATAATTATAATAGTGCTTTGCCATTTGTTGTTCCTTTTGTGCAAAGGAACAAAGAAGCCAACATAAGTTACTTTACAAACATCTGGGACAAGCATAAAGCACTTACTCTGAGCGCAGACGACTCTATCCCGTCTTTGGCCCGGTCCATAGAAACCGACCGCTTGTTCTCGAACATCTTGACTCGGTTCAGCACCGACTGGGGCTTCATGGCAGGGTCGTCCTCGTCTTCTCTGGGGGGCGGGGGCAGCGTGGGGTCACTTGGAGACGGTAAGGGCTCCAGGTCGGGAGGAGGGGGCAGCGGCGGTTCAGAGTTGAGCATTGCTTCGTGCGCTGCTTGTTTGTACGGTCGGTTGGCGGGCATGTACGCAGACCTCAGGCCCGCGTCGCCATAATACTGGCTCTGGGCTTCTGGAGTGCGAGGGGAGTTGATGGGAAAGGTGTGCGGCTCGGCGTCATACGGAGAGCGTGCGTCGTAAGAAGGGGGAGGAGGGGGAGGCGGCTCGTCGTAGCGGATTGGCCCAGATTTACTGTGGCGCGGCCGGCCATCGTAGCCCATGGGGGAGGAGTTGTCGTAGCGCGGCTGAGTCGGGCTGTAGTCCCGGGCCGGGCCGTCCTCGTAGGGGGAGCGGGGGCTGTAGGCCAGAGGCTGCTGGTGGGCTGGAGGCTGGTACGCCGAGGGCTGAGAGGTCTGCTGGTCGTAAGGGGGCCACTGCTCGCTGAAGTGAGGCACTCTGTTGTCATAGTGCAGGTGAGAGTCAGAGTTGTGAGGCTTTGGTTCGGTGTAGCCGCCGCCGTCGTAGCCAAACGGCGGGTGGTCGTACTCGCGGTATGGCTGTTTGTCCTGATACGTGGTCGGCTGGTGACTGTAGCTCAGAGACTGCTTCATGCCGTGGTTTATTCGAACCGGGTCCTCCATATTGTACAGGTCTTTTTTGTACATCTGAAAACAGGCAACAGTTTTTAGATCAAAATCTGCAACATAAAACCATCATATCTTAACATCATTAGTAATAAAGCCAGAGCAATAACTGGAAAGTGATTAGCAATAATCTAAATAGAATTTGAAACTTTGTTATTGTAAATGATTGTGCAAATGTACACAAGCATGTTGGTAGGAAACTGTTCTGAATGCTTGTTTGACACGGCGCCTTTCAAGTGGAAACAATTTAGTGTTAACCATGAAATAAAAATGAATGAATGAATAATGTTTTCTGAAAGACCCCATATCAAACGTATGATGTGTAGCCTGAAGACAGCAAGATCAAAGTACTTCCTATGGAGAAAGTTACAGCACAAAGGCCTAGTGCAGTCTGCAAATTAAAAATAAAGTCGTTTTTTTTTTTTCCATAGGGAGGTTTACTTGATAACATCTACAGCACTGTCTGCAGGTTATTCGTCATCATGCACCATTCAGTTTGCATCAAATGCAAAGTCAAACTACTGCCACTACAACAAACAAGTGCCACCAAAGTGCTGCTACTGTCATCTACAGAGTTAAAGCTGAAAGGAACCCAAACATTAGGAGCCATGCAAAGGAAGTGGAGCAGAAGTTCAGCTGGTGGATTCTTGGTACCGGTCAAAGACTCCGATCCTTCTGGTCTTAAGGTCCACTCTTGAGGAGCACTTTGTCACACAGTGAGCCCAGTGAGGCACAAAGTGTGGGCATGTCATGCAGAGAGCGAGTGGAAAGCGTGTGCGATAGACAGGCAGTTAAAGGCAGGCTGGGGCCCAGGCCCGGTCCGAGGTACCTTTGGTTCTGGACCGGGCAGTCCAGCCGGGTGGGGCTCATGTGGAGGTGGTGGAAGGGGCTGTATGAGCTCAGGGGCAGGGCTGGGGCTGCTAAGGGACTCAGACTGAGGAGCTGCGGCACAGGTCTCCCCTGGCTGTACTGGCTGTTCGACAGCAGAGGGCGCTGCCATCGGTGGAGGCAGTGCAGGGAAAGGCAGAGCACCTTCATCCTGCTGTGAAGTATTGGTAACACACATTTATACACACCCTGAGAACCGCACACTGCCCTCACAGTAACTGTCACTGGAACATGTGGCCAAGACTCTAACAGATTCTCAACATCAGTATCTTTACAACCATCATTTCACAATCCCAAACACATTACCTGCTGCGGAGCTGCCATCTTGAACCCTGCCGGGTCGATCCGGCTCGCAGCATCAGGCGTCACCGGATGCTGGTATCCAGGGTAACCTGGAGTGTCCTGGATCACTGGAGGGTCCTCTCTGACAGGTTCAGAGGAGCGGGTGATAGCGGGCTCCGTGGGCAACCCCACCTCATCGTTCAGAGTCTCGTCGAGCTCCTGGTCGGTGTAGGCCCCGCCCTCTGTGTCGGTGTCCTCGTAATCAGACGTGTGGCGGCTGTCCGTGCTGTACATGGAGTACTCGCTGCCCGGTGCAGACAGGTACGAGAGGCGGTCATCGTGGATGTCCAGGTCGTCTTCAGTCGTACCGTCAGCCTGAGGAGTAGATCATCAGAATCAGAGCAGCCTGCAGTGTGTGTGTGTGTGTGTGTGTGTGTCTGTTTGTGTGTGCGGGTGTGTGTGTGTGTGTTTGACATGTGGTGACTTGCTTTACCTTGCCTTCAGAAACCCACACCAGCTGATTCTGCTGCTGCTGAATGGTTTCTTTGAGTGCTCCATACCAACCATCGTTCATATTATTCAAGTTGATTGTAGCTACAAAGAAAACATGTTTTTAGCAAGACACACAGCAATGAGACTAAAGGTTTTCAAGTCAACTCACTGGTGAATAAATGATGATTATTTTTCCTCAGTTTGATGGCGCGCTCATACAACTTTCTGGCACTTTTTCTGGACTCAGGACATAGTCTGGTCCTCATGTTCTTCACTCCTTGCTTAGTGTCTGGATTTAGGAAGACTACAATAGGATACCATTGAGCATAGTTCAGTCTGTCTACAGCATTTGGGGTTATGTCCAACACTGCATGTTTGTCCTGAAAGAAGAAGAATACAGTATTTTACAATGAAGCAAGTGATTGTTGTGTGTGTGTATTTTGTACTACTTACTCTGTCGATGATCTGTTTGATGGTATGGAGTCTGATGATGCCTGAACTTCGCTGGTCTGTTCCTGCATCTCTTGGTTCACTCTCTTATGAAAAACAAAACAATCAAAGCAATTTAGAGTTTATGTATAAAAACAAAACATATATTACCATTTTCTAAACATAACAAAACAGGATTATTTATTCTAAAAACGTTGCCAGTGAACCAAGTTTAGAAATGAGAGATACGTTTTCCCCATCACGGCAACGCCAACAAAATGACTAGCATGCTAACTCACACTTCTGAATTAAATAGATGCAAACTGTGTATTTTTATCCCCGAGAGCTGCATTTGCGATTTCTCTTGAAATTCAAACTTACTTGCAAGTTCAAAAACATCTGGCTCTTCTCGTGCTAGTTTTTCTCTTGCCGTGTCAGCGATAGGCCCAAAGATGACAACAGGTCTGAGGAAACCAGCTGAATAAAAAACAGACAATATAAAAGTCATGTCTAAAAGTATTTGAAATAATGAAATGTCTGAACCAATTCCCACCTTCTCTCAACACTACCCGCTCATACGCCGGGAACTTTGTTTGCACCGGTTGCGACGACAGATCTTCTCTACTTTTCCTCAGGTTCCTCTTGGAGCTGCGAAGACCGCGGAACCTCCAAAAGTCAGCTCTGTCGCCCCCTGCTGTTTTAGGGAGCGTGTATTGCACACTAGAGAGCTGCTCCGCTCTGTAAGGCAAAAAGGTGAAAACGTTCAAACATAAATCTCTTCTGTAATGAGAGGTTTATCTTCTGTCTAATGGCCGTTGTACATTTAGTCTGATTACAATCTTGACAAGCTTAAAATGGATCATAAACGAGTAAAACATGACTGAAGGTGGTACCTGTTTTTGTTGGGAATGATCCCCCGCTCCACCTCTTGATGATTCTTGCCGATACGAATGGCGAGCCACGACCCAAGCTTTCCATTGTAGAGAGTGTCCACCACACGGAACACCTCGCCCTTGTTGAAGCTGAGGCCGTACGGCGACTCCTTTTCATATTCAAAGTGTGTTCGGATGTAAAACGAGTCCCCAACATCGGACTCCACAATTCGGCGGTAGACTAAGAGAACAAAGCAAAGTATGAATCCAATTATATTTACATTGTGTGTGTGAAAAATCCCTCAAAAAACACACACAATTTTACAGTGTGTATAAGAGAAAGAATTGCAGTTGCATAATAATGTATCAGCATATTTCCCTTACCATCTTTTTTCTTCTGGGCCAAAATGGTGACCTCTTCACCCTTAGGAAGGTCCAGAAGGAAGAGCACCGCCTCCTCTCTGATTATGTTTGCAAAATCTACATTGTTTACCTAAAGTAAAGGAGCAAACAACATTACATTGTGTTTTTTCCAACTGTAGTAGAACCCAAACTGTATCATTTCTCCTGCTAATTTGTGACCCACTTACAACATTTTAGCATTATTCAACCACATGTGAATAAAAGATGTAGGACTAGGAACACAAGCAATGCTTATGCACATGAGGTTTAAACAGCTGTTCCTTTCTGTGCCTTTCTTGGTAGCAGCAGAGTTTATGGGACTGCAACAGCTCAAGTCATTGTAGCTAAAGAAAGTAAAGGGTGGTACAGGCAGCATGAAATACGGCCGTCAAGTGTTCAAACAAACACAACAAGAACAAACAAGATTCTTGTCAAAGTCTCCTGGGTAACTGTGTTTAAAAGATAGTGGCCCCGCAAATGCCATGATGTCTTCTCCAGACCCTTAAAATATAAAATAAAGGCCTTGAAAGACCAATGACAGCAGTGACTATCTATGTTTTATTTATTCACTCACTTAACAATTCATGCTGACTTGTTTATCCTAAGTTTTGAATGAATCAAAGCTCACCCTGAGAATTTGGTCCCCCTCCTCCAACCCCTCTTTAGCAGCAGGGCTCTCTTCCAGGACTCCAGCTACAAAGATGCCCACGTCGTTCCCTCCAGCCAGCCGCAGCCCAACACTCTCCCCCTTCTTGAATTTCACCAGCTTCATGCTCGGCCTGACAATAAGATTGTACACAACACTTGAGTTTTGATCATTCCTTTTCCAAAATATTGTGACAAACTTTCACTACATCCACTCTGTTTTACCCAAAATGCAAAGTTTACCGTAGAATGCTGTCATCGTGGGCAGCACTTGGCACAGGAGCGTCAGAGGGACTGACTGGCAGGTCAACATCAGGCTGTCCAGGCTGAGCATACACAGGCTTGGGTTCTGAGAGTGGATAGAAAGTGTGCACGGAGAATTACAATAAAAAAAAGAACCCAATGAAGCCATCGATGGTTTGAGGAAGTCAAATACGACACAGTTCTTTAGATGAGTCTTCACTGATTCACACACACACACACACACACACACACACACACACACACACACACACACACACACACACACACACACACACACACACACACACACACACACACACACACACACACACACACACACACACACACACACACACACACACACACACACACACACACACACGCCTGAGGCCGTGGAGGGACGTCAGATTTGATCAACTCATGGTTTATTTTCACACAGCTCCAGGTGAACGGAGCCAGGCTCAGCAGGCGTCAGGAGTCAACTTTTTCCTACTTGTGTCTTCTAAAAGAGCAGAAATGGCCAGATTTCTCTTATGCCAGTCAGCGATCAAGCAGGAAAAACCTTATTGAATGACAAAAGCCACAAAAACAGTGTGTACCTGGGAGCGGAGGCAGCTGCTTGTCCTCCCTGGTCAGCGCAGACTCCTTAGGTTTGGGCAAAGAAACCTCCTCTGAAATCTTGGCTGGTGTCGAGGATTGTTTTGAGATGCGTTCTTCATCACGACTTCTGTGGCTGAAGATGAAAAACAATATGTCGGGTTATAAATAGTGCATTGTGGAGATGTAGAGCTTGGGGGCAACAAGCGACGTGAACATCTTGACAACACACGCCGCCGGATTCTTGTCCCTATGAAAATCGGCTGACATGATACATTTCCACTTCACTGGAACCCTGAAGGTCATAACTATGCATTCCAGAAGTTTGACGTTACATTTTTAAAACTGCTGATCTCTTGTGTCTAAACCAATGTTTTGTGTTCAGTGTCTTTACAACCCTCAGGTCTTTAGACACAGCAATAAAAAGTATAACATCTAATTGCGGTAGCCTGCATACTGCTCATTTGTAACTTTGTGGCAATAGATTTGTTCCTTTCTCGCCAATGGCCAATTCTGGTGAACAGCAGCAAGAGGAACAACAACAATGAAAGTGCCTTCAAAGACGGCCGGGAGAGAGGAAAAGCAGTTCCTCACTAAAGACCTGCTTTAGTGCCAGCTTCCTGCAACGTGAAAACTGAAAAGAAACTAGATTCCCCCCTGACAACTGGACTAAAATCACATGAAATTAAATGGTGCATCTTAAAACATCTATTAATGTATTTACATGATAGGGACAAGTGCCCACAATAAACATGTGGAACACTAAAACATTTATAGCCAAGGCTAATTTGCGATGTCCGTCCCTAGGAGGACTTGTAACACAATTAAAAACACATTGTACATTATAATATTTACATGATACAAAAGCAAGTGTTTTCCAACTCATTAATGATCACACAACTGGTTTGTTTGGAAAAATCGCTTCAGTTAAGGGGCGTTCACACCGGACTTAAAGCTGCACTAACTGACTTTATTTTCGTATTAATTACGAAAATGCTATCCATGTCCATGTAGTGCATTGGGATATACGTCCTTTTGAAGAAAAAGTAGCGCAGATTTGTGCTGGCGTGACATTATATTTTAGATCGAGTTTTGATGAAACAAGGAAGAGAATGTGTTTTGGGTCGCAGATTGTGACCAATCACAGCGGACCACTGGCCCCCACTTTCGTGAGAAATCTACAGGTCCCTGTTAGCATAGACGGCTGAGTTAGCACAACAAGCGGCGGAGCTAACCTGAAGCTTCCTCGTCTTCGTCACCGGTTACTGCTTTCACAGCGAAACAGCCATCCAAAAGAAAGTCCTGTTCCTCCGCGCTTCCCGGTTCTATCGTTCTATGGTCACGCCATCCACGTGAAAATCCATATCCATGTATTATCCATATTGGGAGAGGCTAGCTCCGTCTCAACAGTGAGTGTGTGTGGGGGGCGATAGCTTCGTGGGTGCGGGGAGGGGAGCAGAAAGAGCGAGCCCAGCGAGTCTGCGGCTTCAAAATCCCAAAGTCAGTTAGTGCAGCTTTAACTTTGGCGTCAAAAGCATCAGGTTTCCATTGAAAGTGAATGGTGAAGCGCGTCAGGTGAAGCCGAGAGCCCCGGCGTCACTTGACGCGCGTCAAAAGCTTCAAGAGTTGCGCGTACTATGCGCTCACTTGTAGCTTTTGACGCGCGAAACGCTCGCGTATCACAACAATCCCTTTGACGCCGAAGTTGAGCAAAGCTGAGCTTTTGAAGCTTTGACGCGGGCTTCAACCAATCAGGAGACGAGGAGCAGCAGCAGCAGAGGGTCTATCTCTGTCATGGAGAGAAGTCAAGTATCTGCTGCTGGTGTTTTATTGTCATTATTGTTATTAGTAATATTATTTGTATGAGTAGTAACGTTCTGAGTAACAAAAACCATTGTACTGGACTCAGACTTAAATTTTAATAGCCACATCAAATCAGTAACATCAGCAGCTTTTTACCATCTAAAAAACATTGCCAGGATCAAAAACATAGTGTCTAAAGCAGACTTGGAGATTCTTATCCATGCATTTGTCTCCAGTAGGTTAGACTACTGCAATGGCCTGCTCACAGGTCTGTCCAAACAGGCTGTAAAACAGCTGCAGTACATTCAAAATGCAGCAGCTCGAGTCCTGACTAGAACCAGGAAGTACGACCATATTAGTCCGGTCCTCAGGTCTCTGCACTGGCTTCCTGTGGCTCAGAGAATAGACTTTAAAACAGCTCTGCTTGTGTACAAGTCTCTCCATGGCCTCGCACCAAAATATATTAGTGACATGTTAGTCCCATATGAACCAGCCCGGACTCTGAGGAGCACAGGGACTGGACTCCTGTTAGTGCCCAGAGTCAGAACTAAACATGGGGAGGCTGCTTTTCAGATTCATGCTGCTAAAATCTGGAACAGTCTTCCTGGAGATGTGAGACAGGCCTCCTCTCTGACAATGTTTAAAACCAGGTTAAAGACAGTTCTGTTTAGCTGTGCATACAACTGAGGGATTTTATATTTGTATCTTTCTTTTTAATGTTCTGTGATTATTTATGATTTTAATGCTTTCTTGTTTTGTTCAGCACTTTGAATTGCCTTGTGTATGAATTGTGCTATATAAATAAACTTGCCTTGCCTTGCCTTGCCTTGTACACATGCTGTGTAGTAAACGTAGTTTATTTAAAGTAAGAACAGGCTGACGATGAGTCTGGCTCAGAGCAAGGCAGCTCCGGGCGGGCGAGAGCCGGGGAGAGGCAGGGAGAGCCGGGGAGAGGCGAGCGAGAGCCGGGGAGAGGCAAGGAGAGGCGGGGAGAGGAGAGCTCCGGGGTTTGAGAACTCAAACCGGGCGAGTGACATGCGGAAGTACCACTGAAAGCGAGACTCCTCCGTACGCAGCTCCTGGAGTAAATGACGGAACTCTGCAAACACTGCAGCCTCTCAAGTCTGTGGTGAACCCAGAACATGTTTTGTTGAAGCCCTACAACAACGTTATTTTGCTTTATATAACAAATAAAGGCTCACTGCTCATTGAAAAATCCACCGCTGTCCTGACTACAGGCAACAGAGAAGCTCCTCCCACAGGCAACAGAGAAGCTCCTCCCACCGGCGTCAGGCGCGTCACTCGCGTCAAAAGCTTCAAGCACCAAAATGACAAAACTATCCCGGCGTCAGTTGAAGCGCGTCAAAAGCTTTTTGAAGCTTTTGGTCTGAACGCGCCTTTAGTGTTTAAAACCAGCCCAGTCAGAGTTCAGTTTTAGCTGAGGGCTTAAAGAGTTCCAGAGCTTTGCCCCCTGGACCGAGAAGACCGACTGTCCGAATGTGGTTCTCCTGAGGGGCACTTTCACATTCCTGTTAGAGGAGCCCCGTGTGACGGATCTCAGAGGAACTATGAGAGCACTCAGGACAGCAGGGGCTCGACTGTGCAAACATTTGTACAATAATTTACAATTACAAAATTTAATAAAATGATCAAAACTAAGAAAATGTAGTCTGGCAATGGTGTGTTCTTAATAGCGTTTTGTCCAATGTGTAATCCTCTGTTGCAGAGGGATGTTAGCTGCATATGACCATTGTAGCAATAAGATCTATAACATTTGAGCTGTACCTGCCGTTGCTGATCTGTGGGGGCGAGTTCCGGGAGTGGTCCGAGGGCTCGGAGCGTCGGTCTGGAGAGCGGGAGCGGCTGCTTCGATGCCGTTCGTGTGAGCGATTGGAATGGTCCGAGGCGAGTGAATGGATGTCTGAGATGTCTGCAAAAGTGAACACGTGTGAGGATGTGCTAAAAATCAACTGGTTGGTTTGTAGTTCAGCTGAGACTCAGGTCAGGTCTGGACTCACCGTCTCTGTCCGAGGCGTTGGCTGAGGGAATGCTGTCATCGAGGTCTGGGATGTTGAGCAGCGTCGCTCGGTCGTCCCTCTGAACCACCATTTTTAGCTTGCCCTTTGACCTTTCTATCAGCTTCTTGGCGTCTATCAAGGAGAGGTTCTCCGTCACTGTGCCGTTTATCTGCAATCAGATAAAATAAGGTTACTTAAAGCTCACTATGATATCAAAATGTAAATAAATATAAATCTGACGGATTGTATACATTATCCTGATGATCAATTACTTCCTACATAAAACTTTTAAAATCACAAGCCACAAAGACGAATGCAGTCAATCACACATCAGTGCAAGGGAATTAAACAAGTAGTTGCAAAACATTGTGTGGTCCTTATTTGATGTTGTCCTTGAAATACAAGATGAGAAGAAACTCCCTTTGGAAAACTACTTTTAAGTGTAACTTTACATATTCTCTAAAGAGACCTGAGCAACATCAAAACAGAAATGCACTGTTAAACCTGTGAAAGCCACACAGAAAAATCTAAAGCACTTAGTATCCAACATTTCAGGGCCTCACCTTCAGCACAACATCTCCTTCTTGGATGTTGCCGTCTCGGGCTGCCAGGCTCTCGGGGGATATGTCCTTGACAAAGATGTGGCTGGCGAGGCGCAGGCCATATTCTGCTTACAGAGTGAACGACACCAACAAAGAGGATGTTAGCACGTTCGCATGCTAGCACTGGGTTTACATAACATCCTCGAACTGGGATGTCTGATACGGCTCTAACCGAGATGAACACTTATTTTGTTCAAAAGATATCGTTTGCTGAGATGCAGGACATGTTGTTTTGTCAACAGCTGCTTCCCACAAATTGTTATCAGTTTACACAAAGCACTTTAATGATCTTGCACTTGTATTGAAACCGTTTTTGTTTCCTGCACTTTTAGTTGGTTTTATTATGTACTTGTCTGGTGCACACTGGGGACTTTTGCAAATGTATTCCAATGTGGTTTTACTGCAAATGACAAATAATATGAATCAGATATATAAATATGAAATCGTTCTATTACTTAGTTTTTCCATGAACTGTAGAAATATGCACTGCGAGGAAAGTTTGTTTAGTTTGGCACATCATCAATACCAATACCTCTATGCTTGAGTGAGAGGCAAGGTCAAAAGATAACAAAACTTGAAAACAAATGGGACACAGACTACTATACTTCTATAACGTCTACATTATGATCGCCCACAGACTACACCCCGACATTACGAGCCTCACCTTCATTTTTCCGGGACTTGACGAGTGTGACCTTGGAGGGGCGTGGGGGCAGATTGTGCGAGCGGTGTTCTGTGCGTGGGGACAAACTCCTCTCTCGTGACACGCTTCGTTCACGTTCCCTGTCCCGCCGTCCACTGCTGCGCCCGCTGCGCCGCCCCATCGCCCCCATGCTGTAGGCCCCGCTGCGGGCGCTCCTCGTCTCGTAGATCTCCTCGTCGTAGCTGTCCTCTTCTTCGTCGTGCTCTGACATAGTTTCCCTTTCCCCGAGTCGCCCCATTGGGACGTGCACCTTCCTTTTTCGTCGAATTGTCTAGTGGTACAAAAAAACAAAAACAGATCAGCTTCAAACTAAGGCATTCAAACTAAAAGGACAGTAGAACAAAATGCTTCTGTGATCATTGAAGACACCGGCTCTAACTTCTCTGGACAGAATGACACTCACAATTTTGGCAATTTTCCCGCTCTTGCGAAGCTGCTGGACTGCATAGGCATGCTCCACATTGTCCATGGACACGGCATTGACCATAACCACTCTGTCATTCTCCCTGAAGAGAACACACATGAAGAGTGTTTGGGACTTGGCCGCTATGATCATTTATCAGTAAAATAAACACAGGATGACTCACTGCAGCAGTCCCTCGGCTGGGCCCCCCTTCAAGACATCGGAGATCACGATGGAGGTCTCGCCGCTCTGAAAATGAGGGTTATCCCGACCTCCTGATATGGCAATCCCAAAACCAAACCCTGGTGCCTACGAACAGGACACATGCAACCGCAATAAAACACATTGTACTTTGTAGTGAGAAGAAAGCCACACATGAAACAGAATGTGTTTTACACTGTTACTAAGAGTGTTGCGCTACTGCGGCATGCAGGATGCAGAATGTCTTGGTTTTATTGATTTGATACTGACCCTGTGCAGTGTTACAGTGTGCTGTTCCCAAATGACCGTCTCCTCCATTGCTGCACTCTGTAAAACAAAACAGGAAGTGGTTACAACGGTTATAAGATTACTAAGATGATATTACAAACCAAGGTCCAGTGAATTTATCTATCATTTCTATTTTATTAGGTTTCCATCTAAAGTTCAACACAAGCTCTTCATTGACTTATTAAATTTGATTTGATTTGATCAAGGAAATGCCAAGATTATACTGGCCACTATTGACCTCTGGCAGCACAAACGTTTTTATTTGAATTTGACCAGCTCTGGTAAATATATCACTGAAGTTCAATGGTGCAAAACTGCCATATACAACAATCTGTGCAGCGTGTATGTTGGCCTTCTAAACACCAGGGAGATAAAAAGCTTCCTGTTCTTCCAAAGAGCCGTGCACATGAGTGAGCAGACAATGCAAACAGACACAACACAGTTAACATTCAAGAGCTGGGGCAGGTTTTACTCTGCGTCCAGTTCAGGGCCTGGATACAACGAGTGCAATGATAAAAACACGGTCGGATACATCGAGGTCACTCCGTCAGTAACTCTGGAAATTAAAACGCCGCTTGTGTCGCATTTAAGACCACAGAGGAGATTGAAGGTCAGCTCCTTCAGCTGTCGGGTCAGCACTGTCCTCGGTCTCACAAAGCCACTCTCTCTCTGCACAGACCACGCCTTTGCTCTGCCATTTCACCTCAACCCATTCGACACAAGAAGATACTCATATTGTCAGATTTAAACCAGTTTACATCATTGCAAAGCATTTTCAACGTGGACTAGTGACTGCTGAAGTATCACTATTTCCAACCATGCAAAGCTACAGTTCGCTTTTGACAACTAATTCAGCCCTAATACTAGGGGTGGGCGATATGGCCTAAAATTTATATCGCGGTATAATTTGGGTCATAGACGGTAGACGGTATATATCGCGGTATAATTTGGTGTGTGAATTTCAATATAGGTCTAGCAGGTTCTTGCATAAAATAGTCAAGATTGTTAATTATTTATATATTAGAATCTAATAAAAACGAATAAAGAGACAAATAACATACATTATTTATGCATGTTACAGTAAATACCATTCACTGTAAAAGCAATTTTTAAAAAGAAAAACATATGCATTCATTTAAAATATAAAAAACTCACAAATGTTGAAATCAAAGTCTGTAGGAGTTAGACATGGTCATTATTTATAGTGTCTGAGAGTTTTGTGCAGGTGCATGACTTCAGTAAAAGTTGTTTGTTTACAAAGCTGGTCTTGCCATTTGTTGACGCTCCCTAAGCGCTTTTCTCTGCGCTGGATGATTCAATGGATTTTATGTTCATTAAAACAGCGCATTGGATTTGAACAATTGATGTAAATGGTCATTTAGGCACAAATAATTTTGTTTAACAAAGTAGCTTTCGTGAGATATTGACCGCGGAGGTCTGAATTTGACGCTAACTTTCCCAAACTTCTGCTGTGATGCTGCGGACACGGCACAAGCATGGATCTATTTCGGCTCACGCTGGCGCTTCGAGCCTACGCCCCTTTGACACTGATTGGCCAAAAGGTAGACTCTTAAACTGTGATTACTGTGTGTGTATTTACCTCTGCTGGGGCCGCTGTGACAACAATACATAGACAGAAACACTGTGTTAATGCCGTGCTGTTGTTCGCTGTTTCCAGTGGTGTCCAATAGTGCTAGGCTAATGCTAGGCTAATGTGCTAGGCTAATGCTGCTGAATGCCGGTTTGTTTTGGTCCTTTCTGCTGGCGTCAGAGCCTGCGCAATTTAATGACATAATGACCTATCGCAATATGCCGGTATAACAAAAATCTCTACCGTGGGCCAAATTTATACCGTCTACCGCTTATACCGTTTATACCGCCCAGCCCTACCTAATACATGAAGTATCTGAGAATCTGCCTATAACTGCGAGTTTATGTCATTACATGGGCCATTTCACTGACATTTACAACCACACGCAACAGTTCATCCGGCAGCAGTCTCGTGTGGCTCCATATTAAAGCATAATAAAAAAGGCGAGAGGGACGGCGAGGCAGTCATTTAAAACAGTTTCACCATTTGGACATTCAAATGACACCACTGCAAGTCTCAGAACAGTAATGTGTCGGTTCTGCTTATTAGCAATTCATTTACAACTTAATTAAACAGACAAGAGGCTAATGGTGCGGCCCATTAGGAGTCCCCAAAGTGATAATGATGCAAAATGTTGTGCACATGCAACGCAACATTAGATTGTTTGATTACACATTTGACTTCCGTCCAACATTTTGATTGGGAATAATTCTAATTTTTCGGAATGATTTGGGGCTTTGCCAAAAATCAAAAGATTGCAATCTCAAGGGTGGAGGACAGAAGAGTTCCAATGTATTCAGTAAAAATAGCTGAGACAGATACAAACAGATATATTTTACTTGCACTAGAATACACAGAACTTTAAACTTTCATTTAATTTTTTCAGGCAATGGAACTACAAGTATATATTTATGTCAAATAGTGCAAAAAGATAAGGACAGGAAGTTAATGTACACAGTTGATTGCATGTAAACATGAGACTACTTGCTTCTTCCTTTTCCTAAGGATAGTAGTAGAGATTTTATACTTCTTTATTATGCTAAAGTCAGAGTTTCTGTCCTCATTATGTTAAAGATAGAGATTTTATACTTGTTCCTTTTGAGGCTATAGTTAGAAAGTATTCTATTTTATTTAGTTATTGTTAATTTACCTTGTGCTACTCATTCCAACACTGAAATTTCCCCACAGTGGGACGAATGAAAGATCTCTTGATATCAACAATCTCATTCAATCTCCTCAGAATTTGCAACATCACTCTTACTAAAAAGAGGAAAACTAAAACATGGGCAGACAAAGCACTATATAATCAATCATAAAACTCTTGCAGGCCTAACCGATACTGCCACAGTGAGCATCAGTTCTTTCTGTCATTTATGGTTTTACCGTACTCTAACACATTGCCTGAATATGTTTTGTGAAGTGAAAACCTTGTGGGAAATGTGGGCAGCTGAATGAATCACCAACAGCGGCCCCGGATGGTCTGGGTTTGGCAGCAACAGTTGCAATCTCCTAAAGCAGCTTATGTCAGACAGGAGGGTGAACCAAAGTTTGAACAAGGGAAGTCCCTGCGGCCAAAAGAAAAGACAACAGAATATTAATTTGCTGTTGAAATCACTGACTCTAACACTGCGCAGGAAAAGTGTGCTACAGTTTATTTATGCCTTTGTCTCAAATCAGCAGAAAGAAAGTGCTGATGGAAAAACCGCCACATTAGGTGTAAATTGAAACAAGGTTCAGTTTCCTGCATTTTAGCTTTTTATTGGCTTTTAGGGCAAACATAAAAATGCTCCAAGAGGCAAGTTGTGCAAACAAGTAGGGATGCAAGAGAAACGATTGTAGAAAGGGTTTTATTGGGCATGACACAACAACAACAAATGGTCGGGTAGGGCTCGGCGATATATTACCATTTGTTTTTATCGCTATAGATTTTGTGTGCCAGAACGAAACAGAAATACCGCAATAGCGTTTGTGTGTTTGCGCCAATGCATGTTGCGGTAAAGACAACAAAAAAGGATGATAATTGCAACCGTTACATTTTTAAAAAAAGACCGTTTTCTATCCAAGTAAGTAAGTAATCTTTATTTATATCGCACCTTTCACAGACTAGAGTCACAAAGCGCTTTACAACTGTTGTGGGCATTCGTCTCTCACTCCAGAGATAGGAGCAGATCGCCAGTACAGGAGGCGACCCCTGCCAGACCTATTGTGCATGATTTTAGTGGTAGGGGAAACCAGAGCACCAGGAGGAAACCTACGCAGATGCGGGGTGAACATACAAACTCAGAAAGGCCCTTTTCCGACCAGGACTCAAACCCAGGACCTTCTTGCTGAGAAGCTTGAGTGCTATGCACTCAGCCACCAGTGGCTCTGTGGTCTCTGTGGGGTGCTGTGCCCGCCAGCTCCACCTTTCCAGGGTGAAGTATTTATCAGGGAAGACCCCTCACCACACTTTACACCAAGACAAGTTATCGGATGTTTACGTATAGGTCTCATCCGTGGTGTGCCTATAAGCATTAAAGCTGGTGTACCCAACTTTTTATCTATAACATTTTGACCAAACAGTCTTTTTGTAAAGAAATCAGATCATAACATCCTGTATTTATCTTTTTAGAAAACAATTTATCTTTTACCGAGAGCTAATTGAGGGTGAAACAGATGAAGATGCAGCAAAAATCTGTATTCAAAACATACAAGTTAAACTCTGAAGATTACAATATCATTCAAGTGTATAGATTTCTGTATTTAATCTTAAAATGTGAAAGCAATACATTTAAAGTGACATATTTCAAGCCTTTGTTATTATGAATTGCAGAAGAAAATGGACTTTTGAACAATAATCTAATTTTCAGAGTTTCACTGTACATTACATTTTCCTTAAATTTTCGACTTAATTCACGATATGGCTGTTAATTAAAGCTGTAATCTTGTAAACAAATCAGACCAAATGTTGAAGCCCTGAAATGTTTTAAGAGAAAGAAAAAAAAAAAAGACTACAAAATTTAACAATATAAATATTGTATAATAAAAAGAATAAAAATAGTATGGAAAATATCATAGAAAAATTGTGTGAAGCCAGGTTGCTGTATAGAAAGTAGGGGTGTGACGATATATCGATTTTTTGATATATCGCGATACTTTCTCCTGCGATTCGATTATTGATATGCATTTGCCAAGTATCGATATCAATTTTGAAAAAAATAGAAAAATTGTTGATTTTTTTTTTATTTTAACACTTTTTTAAAAAAATTGGTATCAATACTTAATATATGGCTACATTACGCATCTCCATTCTATTTATCATGAAATAAAGAGTATTTTTTCTTTTATTTATGCCATAAATTGGCATATTGCATATTTCTAACCAATATACAAATAATCGTCATATCGTGATAAAATCGTTATCGTGATATTATCGTTATCGTGAGCTTTGTATCGTGTATCACATCGT